TTAACAAACTATGATGACTTCCACCACTGAGAAACCCGGAAATGTGAAAAGCATCCATTATCAAAATACTTTGAAATTAGATTTCTTTCAGAACCCAGTGGCATTGATATAAAAGATTGATTAAGACTTTTGTGAGTGATACATTAATATTACATCAAGAGTCACGTGTAGCTTTGTTCCTCTACTACCGTTAATATTATTTTTCAGGGCTGAATATAATCAGCTTGGACTCGTCCCCTCCCATGCCTTCCAAATGGACAGAATCCTCAGAAAAGCGGAGAAAATCACAAAAAGAGAAGCGCAACAAAGATGATGATTACTACCAGCCGCAAAACACACCAGGTAATCTGAAGATCTGTTATAGTTGAAAGTTCAGTCTCATTTATCTGTTCCCAGCACATAACAGGTACAGGTTTTTATTGACGGATGTTGCAGATTCAGAAAGTGATGCTGATTTCACTGAGGAAGAGGAGAATGATGAGGATGAGACTTTCACAGTAAAGAAGAAAAAGGACAAAGTGGTGAAGCAGAAGACAGGAAAAAAGGCCACGCCTGCTGTGAAGGAAAAGAAAGAGAAAAAGCCGACTAAAGCTGTGAAGGCTAAAAGCACAGGTACGTTTTCTGTTCTTAAATGTTAGATTTTCTCAGCTGCTGCCACGCCATAATAAATACCCATTCCGGCCAAGAACACACCTATATTCACATCAAATCCACATGAAGACACTGTACGTGTTGTTTATTATAAGTGTGTGATGCAGTTTTGTTGGCTGCAGTTTTTAATGCTTGAGTTTTTCTGAAGCAGGATGTATTAAAGACACTGAAATTACATTAAAATTAGACATGAGAAAGTTGTATATGCAGTATGTTTATTGAACAGATTGGAATTCATTTAGTAATAATCTCTTATGTGTGTAAAAAAAAATGTATTCAGTAAAGATTATGCCAGACAAATTTCATTTTAATATTTCTTTTATTTATTTATTCATTTATTCATTTATTTATTTATTTTCAGAAAATATAATCAAGATGTCCGCTGTGACTTAAAAAATATATAATTTTAGGCCTTAAAAGTCTTAAATTTACTGAAATATTGTGTTTTAGGACCTAAATCTTTTGAAACAGAGCTTAATTTTCCAATGTTGATGTAAAGTTGCTCAATCAGGCCAGCATCCATGCAATCGCTATCAATCCATCTCAATAAAACATTTAACAAATGCTTTTTTATTAACTCTATTGACCAATGTGGTTTAATTATCTTCCCCACAATAACATTTGCTTAAAAGTTCACCATGTAATCATAACTTGGTGAGGACAGTGAGCTGGACACATTGCTTTAGATACGTTTAGTTTATTATAGTGCTTTTAAAACCTGTCAATTTTTCAAGAGAGAAATATATGTGAATTAAGTGAATGTATTCAACTAGAGCTTGCTTGATTTAACACGTTATTCAAAATGTGTGGCAAAAAAATTAACTACATAACAATTGTTTTTGCTGGTGTAAGTAATATATTTTCCAACCTTAGCAAATAGCCTGGTTTGAGTCTAAAATTTAATTCATAATGGTCATAAAAAGTCTTAAATTTGACTTGCCGAAAGCTCCAGAAACCCTGATTGATAATAGACATTTAAAAAGGTCTCCTGGGGTAATGCAATTGTTTTTGTCATACATTTTTTTATATAATTGTCATTTATTATTGTGTGTTTTTTATTATTTAGTGCATTTATTTTATGGATGTATGTACAGTTGAAGTCAGAATTATTAGCCCCCCTGTTTATTTTTTTTCCCAATTTCTGTTTAACGGAGAGCAGATTTTTTCAACACATTTCTAATCATAATAGTTTTAATAACTCATTTCTAATAACTGATTTATTTTATCTTTGCCATGATGACAGCACATAATATTTGACCAGATATTTTCAAGACACTTCTATACAGCTTAAAGTGACATTTAAAGGCTTAACTAGGTTAATTAGGTTAACCAGGCAGGTCAGGGTAATTAGGCAAGTAATTGTATAATGATGGTTTGTTCTGTAGACTATCGAAAAAGATTTCGCTTAAAGGGGCTGATAATATTGACCTTAAAATGGTGTTTAAAAAATTAAAACTGCTTTTATTCTAGCCGAAATAAAACAACTAAGACTTTCTCCAGAAGAACAAATATTATCAGACATGTTGTGAAAATTTCCTTGCTCTGATTAATATAATTTGGGAAATATTAAAAAAGGAAAAAAAATCTAATAATTCTGTCTTCAACTGTATATTTTAATTGCTTACTTTATTAAAAATAGAATCAGTAAATTATTGTAAACATTTAGAATATTTTTACTGTTATTTAATATTCTAATATCAGTATATTTATTATCCTCATTTTGAACAATCTTTAATATCTCTCTGTCAGCTCCCAGTCCATCAGTCTGTCGGAGTCCAGCTGCTCCTGTCTCAGTATCGAAGAAAGCGCCCTCAACTCCACCGATCTCCAAACCTACGCTGTGCTCCAGTCCTGCAGGGGGGAGACTGCCAAAGTGGAATCCTCCAGGTGAGTCTACAGGCTCAGTATGCATTTGAGAATTTTCACTGGAAGAGCCGTATGTTCAGAATCAGATTGTGGTCCTTTTGTGATTTTTTTTTTTTCTATCCCACTTCCAGGAATGGTTGGTCGGAGTCCCGGTGCATCTCAGAATGGGTCTTTAAAGTCTCCAGGACAGGGGCTGCGTTTAGGACTTTCCCGTCTGGCTCGAGTCAAACCCCTTCATCCTAATGTTGCTGCGAACTAAACAGACTTATTTTAAAGAAATGATGTAAGTCCAGCAGAGGTTTCACCGGTAAGAGAAAATCAGCAAGAAGTCTAAAGGGAGAAAAGTCTGAGTTGGATATTTTTATGCTAAAATTTGTTCATAATTTAAAACCTTTCATCCCACATTTACAGTGACACACAGGGAATATATGACTTTTGTTGTGTTTTTAGTGTTTTTAAATGTCTTTTTTTGTCTGTGTTGTGCTTTAGCTTTGTAAATATGCCTGTTTCGATGAACATTAAAGGTTTTGCAGAATGCAACGATCTGTTTTTGTAAATATTATGCAGCACGTTGCATTGCTGCATGATGTGGATCACTTGTTTTTAAGCAGAAATGTTCTGAATATGTGAAATATTAATATCTTTACTGCTTTATACGTTAAAACCACACTTTGCTAAACCTGAAATATACATAAAAACCACATTAAATGTAAATTTAGCTCATGCTTTAATGTTATTAATGACGTTTTTGAAAATAAAATAGCAAAATACAAATTACATCTGTTTTTCCTTTTTATTCAGCGCAGCATTTATTTATGTAAAAATAATTAACATCCTTTTCCTTTGTAATTCACAATTTTTTTCTCAGAAAACATATTTCTAAAGGTGCTGTTGACTTGAAATTTGAAATACATATATGCAAATCTAAAAACAAATCTAATTAGTTTGCAAATGAAGTTCTGTGTGATAAAATGAAAGAATGCAGGGAAAACACATGAACACATGAAGAAAGAGAGGTGTAGAAATGCAAGGAAAGCCCAGACAGCAGCTGAAATCTCTCAATAGCAGGCATGCGCAAACATTGGGCTCAAACCTGTGCAGTGCTCATGCCTTTTTAGTCTTGGATAGAAAGAGCCCTTCCAAAATGATCTGAATGGATTGGCACAACGTGAAGGAATTACGTTAACTTAATACTTTTTGGTATTAATAGCTCAAACATTGTGTGTGTGTGTGTGTGTGTGTGTGTGTGTGTGTGTGTGTGTGTGTGTGTGTGTGTGTGTATATATATATATATATATATATATATTTAAAAAATTTGTTATATTTTAAATAGCAAACTAATGTGTAAAATCAATTAACTTATTATTAATATTATGCAGTATTTTGGAACTGCACTTATTTCTTAAAACAGAGTGATTTGAAATATCACATCATTAGATTTAAATACGTATTTACACTTTTATTGAGCTTTTATTGTATATCATCAGGCAAAACTCTAAACCCACTCTAGTGTATGCTTTAAGTTAATCTTATTAATAGTGTTGTGTTCCTTAAGTTAATGCTCAAGTTATGTCTCCCTCTAGTGTCCAAACACAGATGAACAATAAAAATAGAGTTTCCTGACACTGTAATCTGGTTTAGCTTGATTTTAGTAAAACCTTTTTTAAACACTATGCATTATGAAATTGCTACGCAAATAAAGCAGAAAACCAGCTAAATAACTCACAGCAACTGCAAACAACGATTTGCGGAAAAGTGTGTGTAAATATTAAGTCTTGTTTGCAGTAGCAGGGTGTGAGGTTTTTAACAATGCCGTACGTCAGCACTTTAAAAAGTCTGTTGTCATTATAAATACTCAAAACTGTTACTAAAACAGGTCATATTTACAGTTTTAAATCAGATTTAATGTATGATTTAATAAATGAGTGGTTAGCACAGCAAGAAGGTCGCTGGTTTGAGTCCCGGTTGGCGTTTCTGTGCGAGTTTGCATGTTCTCCTAATGTTGGTGTGGGTTTCCTCCCAATCCAAAGACATGCGCTATAGGTGAATTGGATTAACTAAATTGTTGGAGTGTGTGTGTGTGTGTGTGAATGAGTGTGTATGTCTGTTTCCCAATACCGGGTTGCAGTTGCAAGGGCTTCCGCTGTGTAAAACATATGCTGGAATAGTTTATTTCGCTGTGATGACCTCTAAAATGGAGACTAAAGCCTCTGGGTTATATTTCATAAATTTGAATGTTCATAAATTAAATATTAATGTTTATTTTTCTATGAATTGTGAATTTATGCAAGAAGAACTATTTTGTACTTAATATAAATACATAAATAATTCTATAATAGCGTGCAGATACACTATAAATATGTTTTAGTTAAATTAAATCATCTCAACTTCAACATCTAATCATATTAACATCAAAATGGTTAGGGTAAACTTTCTATAACCTTAAAAAAATAGTTGAAACCAGAATATTGTATTAAAATAAGTTTAAATAACATTAAAACATTTGTTGTCACCACCTTTTTGTCATATCGTTAGTTTTCAGTGTACCAATATTTAATGAACTAAAAAGCTGTGGCCAGTGTTTAACTACAGTACCATCACTACCAGGATTCAGTGTCCTGGTCTCCTCCCTCATTTCCTTACAATAAAATGATCTAGCCAGAGCGATGAAGATCGGGAAAAACTGAGCAAACATTAAGTAGGAAAAGCTGTTAGAACGATATGGATCCTTGGCAGTCCAGCAGATTGACTGATAGCTGATATCAAACTAATCACTCTGTGTGTGTTTTTGAGTGCTTCTGGTCATCATGAGGATAAGCTTTGTGAAGAGTTTGTTTCCAGTTTTGTCTGTCGCTGTGGTTTTTCTCTATTTGAGCTCTGTGAAATGGGAGATAAAAACGCAAGAGGAGAAACTTCAGCGAGTCCAGCAGAACTTGTCATTGCACAGCTCTCTTCTGCTCCACAAGCTGGACAAACTGGAGGCTCATTTGATTGCTGTGGGTGAGTTGCTGATATCTGACTTGTCAGAAATGTTCTTTATAATTGTTTTATTTCACTCTCTAAGACATTTGAAGTCAATGTGAAATCAAATGGAAGAGTTTAGAGTTTATCTTAGAGTTTAGAGTTTACGTCTAAAAGACATTCGATATTTTATTCTAAAATCTGGATTTTTCTCTGACTCCTGTATGTAGGCTCAGCAGTTTTACCTTTATAGTGACAAATGAGTCCTTTTCATAGCATTTTAAGAGAAATAACTAAGCATAAACTTTAAATTTAACATTTTTTGGAGAACATTTCAGACGGCGTTTAGGGGTTTTTGCTTCTAAACTCTTCAGTTATACCAAAAAATGAAAGGTACATCTTTCGCTCATTTTTATGTCATTCCTAAACATTTCTGTTTTGTGTAACTTAAAGCACTTTATTTATTTTTTGGTTGCACTTTACAAACGGTTTCATTAGTTAATGTGTTTAACAGCATGAAGTAATTAAGAACAATAATCATATGTTTTATGCAGCAACACCAATACACTTTCATTCACACACTCATACACTACAGCCAATTTAGTTTATTCAATTCACCTGTACCATGTCTTTGGACTGTTGGGGAAACTGCAGCACCCGGAGGAAACTCACGCTAACATGGGGAGAACATGCAAACTCCACACAAATGCAAACTGACCCAGCCCTGGCTCAAACCAGCGACTTTCTTCCTGTGAGGTGACAGTGCTAACCACTGAGCCACCGTGACGCCCATTCTAAGCATTTTCTAAAGTAATATATAAAGTTTATTTGAAATGTTTGGTCATTTAGCAGATGCTTCATTTTTCAGTTTTATTTATAAAGTGACTTACAGCTAGGGATCAAGCGAGTCATTGTAAAGAAGCAGTGCTCATCAAAATGCTCATCAAATGTTTTTTTTTGTTTTTTTTATTAGAATATGCAAAAATCATACAAATACAAGAAAACATCAACAAATAACAAATACAAAGCAACAAAACAAAAACAAAACAAAAACAACAACAATAATTTTTGCTAGATAAACCCAAACTATAGTAGGCACGGGGTATATTTTATCGGTATGTATATACATTTTATTTGCTTATTTTTCTTATTTTCTTAAATTATTTGCACCTCAGATCATTATAAGGGTATGATAATTAAAAATGTGTAAATATGAGCTATAATGTGTCAATAGTTTCAGATTTAGTTTGTGTCAAATTGAAACTGAATCTAAAACTATCATATATCAGATATACCCAGTGTTAGTGCATTTCAAGCAACGTTAGAATTACATAATCATATAAGTTTTCTAAATAATGGGTAATGCAATAATTTATGAAATTAATTAATATTTGAGTTGCTTTTTATGAATGTAATGCCACTTATTTTTTAAGTTTATTAATTAGATTTTAAAAAAATGAATTGCTGTATTTAAAATGAGCATCGTCACGTTGAATCACACTTTTTTTTTTCTCACACTTATCCCTTTTTTTTACAGAAGAAAGTCGCCTTAAGGTAAAAAGTGAGAAGAAACCAGCAAAGAAGCTATTCCCAGACTCGGACCTCTTCAAGAGATGGAGTGTGGAGCTTTCAGAGGATGAGCAGAGGAAAGCTGAGGATCTCTTTCAGAAATATGGATATAACGCTTTCCTCAGTGACCGACTGCCTCTGGACCGAGAGCTGCCGGACACTCGAGACCACAGGTCAGCTTCACTGCTTTATCAAATGCATTCAACGTCAACATTCATTCATTTTGCATTGGTGATTTTTGCAGATGCGCTGAGCGTGAATATCCTCCCGATCTGCCCACCGTCAGTGTGGTGCTGATTTATCTGGACGAGGCTCTGTCTGTCATTCAGAGAGCCGTTTACAGCATCATCAACAGAACTCCAGCTCATCTGCTGAAAGAGATCATACTGGTGGACGACCACAGCACTAACGGTGTGTTCCTCTCAGACATTCATGCAGATTGTGCACATCGTGAGCTGATGCTTCCTGAAATCTGTCTTCCACAGAGGATCTGCAGACGCAGCTGCATGTTTACATCAGCTCCATCAATGAGAAGCACCCAGGCCTGGTGAAGATGGTGACGCATGCAGAACAGAAAGGCCTCTCGCAGGCCAGGATCTCAGGCTGGAAGGCTGCCAGCGGCGACGTGGTCGCCATTCTGGACGCCCACATTGAGGTCCATGTCAAATGGTGTGAAACTGCTCAGCCGACTTTAGTCTGCAAACAAAATGAATGTTTACTCAACCAGACAGTATACTTAATTGAAATTGTCGCCGCTCACTCTTGTTCTCATGTAAAAGACCAGGAGATGCGCATTCAGCTGCAGCTTTAATAGGCATGTGAATGATATGCAAAGCTGGATAGGGTATATGGACCTAATTTTCAGTAGCCCAGCTACCTCCGCTGAACTGCCATTACAAAATCGCCACATTTAAGGTCTGATTTCTTTCAAAATCAGTGATGTTCACTTCCTGACTGATATACAATATAAAGCGAGTATCAGATCTGACAAGAAGCACTGCATTAAAGCCCATTCCTCCATGGTCCATGTCTTTAAAATATGGAAATGTATTTTACCCCAGTGTTTTCAATGGAGTTTCTGCACTAGCCTGCTGCTCCTGATGCCTTTAACCTCTCTTTTTTAAGTTTGAACAGCTATAAATGCTTAAGTCTATTTAACTAATTGTATTATAATTACAAAACAACATCGATGCTGTTAAAGCAACCTTATGTAATTAAAAATAATCACATAAAGGAAGTTTATCATTGGCTGAAAAACACTAGCTGTGCTTATTAGTCCGTTCATTACACAATTGTTGAAGAGAGTATACTTAGAAACAGGAAACAATACAAAATAAACATCCCAAACAAGTTGAACAAAGAACTAATAGAATGAAAAGTTACAGTAAATATTTAAAAAGTTGAAGATTGTAGTAAGTCTGCTACAGAAATGACAAGCTGGTGGACGAAATGATAATTTCAGGGTAAAGTTGAGCCAAGATGGAGGCACCCAATAGAACCAAAGGAATAGATAGCCATGATGGAGCTGGTGGAGCTTCAGTAAAGTTAAAGGGTAAAGGCGAAGTTACAGTACTAGAGCAGGGGTTCCCAAACTTTTCAGCCCGCGACCCCCAAAATAACAATGCCAGTGACTCGCGACCCCCAATATCCTCTGAGGTGGTTATAAATACAGAAACCTTGCATGCAATGACGCAGACACACCAATTAAATTTGTGTCAGTGCTTTAAATGTGCCAGAAAGTATAACCTGATGTTATAAAATCAAAATGCATCTGACGCTATTGCTGCCTTTAATATAATGTATTTACCCCTGGGGTCGCAATCTAATAGAACTAGTAACTATAAGCTACTATAGTAACTATATAGTATATAGTAACTATAAACGACTATTTTTATTTTCAGTATAGTTATGGATAAAATATGTTAATTCTTATGGTTTAATAAAAATAAATAGATTTTTGAAAATCACCAGGCGACCCCCCTTCATTGCCCCGCGACCCCTCAGGGGGTCCCGACCCCCACTTTGAGAACCACTGTACTAGAGGACATAGAATACCAGTTTCAGGCAGAAATGTGAAAGGAAAAGAGCTAGGAGTGAATTACAGGGGGGTTGTGGTGGTCTGACCTCCCTAATTAACGCTTGATCTCCCCTGAAGTACATCAATACAAGATGTATGGCTGGGTCTGCGCTTTAATAGATAAGAAATCATTTGCTCTGATCTGTATCTTAAATAATTGTAATAATTAAAACAATAGGTAACTTCAATATACATTTGACCAACCCTATAATGGTTCACGCCATTGGTTTGAATCCGGCAAATCTAAAAAAAATTTAGAGTCTGCAGAAACACTTTGATTGATAGTCTCCTTTTGTGCGTGTCATCAGAGGAGGAAAGCCCCGCCCATTAATTATCATCTCTCCCTTATTAGCATATGACATCAGTCTTGTTTTTAAATCTGCCACTATGCTGGCACACAGGCCTTTGTAGCCCCGCCCTTATTTGAAAAGAGCACAATCTCATTTGAATTTAAAGCAACAGTCGCCAAAACGCCACAATTAGGATCAAATCCTAAAGGGGACAGTTTTAAAAACATTATTTGTGTGGTATTTTGAGCTGAAACTTCACATACACACTCTAGGGACATCGGACACCTATTTTACATCTTGTTAAAAGGGGCGTAATAGGTCCTTTTAATGTTTTTCGTCTACTGTTTTGATTTTATTTTACTTTCCAGTTGATTCAAATTAATGCTATAATAAGGAGCATCAATCATAGATATAAACGCATAATGAAAGTATAATGTGTTTGATCAATGCTTTTACTTTCTCACTTTCAGGGCGGAGCCTCTACTTGCACGCATCCAGGCTGATCGCACGCTAGTCTTGAGTCCTGTGTTTGATAAAATTAATTATGATGATCTGGAGGTGACTAAGTATTTCGCCTCTGCTCATGGTTTTGACTGGGCTCTCTGGTGTATGTATGTGACATTCCCGAAGAAGTGGTACAATCGAAACGACCCTTCGCTGCCAGGAAAGTGAGTGTGCGTTGTTGAATATTAGTTAAATAATTTATTCTAAAATCTGAAAGTGTAACTGATCTGTACAGGAGTCCGTCTGTAATGGGAATACTGGTGGTGGATCGTCTGTTCTTCGGTGAGATCGGGACTCTGGATGAAGGGATGCAGGTGTACGGAGGAGAGAATGTTGAATTGGGAATACGGGTAATTCATCATCATACTGAAGCGTTCATCATTTTACTATATTTACATGTTGAACAATGGTGTTGTTGCTCATTGTTGACTCTTGGATGTGTTTTGGCTCAGGTGTGGCTGTGTGGAGGGAGTATAGAGGTTGTGCCCTGCTCCAAAATCGCACACATTGAAAGAGCGCACAAACCCTACATGCCCGACCTGAGTAACGTCATGAAGAGAAACGCCCTCAGAGTGGCCGAAGTTTGGATGGACGAGTACAAGAAAAATGTCTACATGGCTTGGGGGCTTCCCTTAGAGGTATATCTAGCCTACATGTTTTTGTTGAATTGCGGATATATACATTTGAAGGCAAAATTATAAGTCCTGCTCTGATATTATAATTATATTTCAAATATTTTCAATAAGTGATGTTTAATGGAGGAGAAATAGATCTAAATAACTAAAAATAAAGCTAAAAATAGTTTCTTTTATCCTCACCATGATGACAGCACATAATATTTAAATGAGCTATTTTGCAAGATGCTAGTATTCAGCTTAAAGTGACATTTAAAGGTTTAACTAGGTTAATTAGGCAAGCCATTGGACCGCAGTGGTTTGTTTTTTAGCCAATTGACAAGTAAATTAATAAGGGGGCTAATAATTTTGACCCTAAAATATATTTTTGAAAGGATTATGGTTAGGTTCAGGATTAAAACTGCTTTTATTGCATGCAAACTAAAAGGAATAAAACTAATATTAAAAATAAACATTCTTAAAGATATTGGAAATACTGTGATCATTTCATTGCTTTGCAAATCATCACATATTTGAAGTAGAATTACATTTTCATGGAGGCGCTAATCATTTTGTTTTCATATGTATGTGATTTTTACAACCTCCTGGCTGAAAAGTGAAGTAACACAACCAAATAAAGATCCAAACCAGAAAATCAAATCAATTTCAAAATACTCATTCATTTTTGATCAGCGTAGTCCCTTTATTCAGTAGGAGTCGCCACAGCGGAATGAACCACTAATTTGTCCAGGATATGTTTTTACACAGCGAATGCCCTTCCATCTGCAACTCAGTACTGGGAAACACCCATACACACTCATGCACACACACACACACACACACATACTCAGGGGCGGACATTTCCTCGTGGACTGCCCCCTAACCCCCACTTTTCGTAAGCTCCCCAATCCAAACACCCCCTGCTGTTCACTTTGGCCTGACCTTCAATAAGTTTTCCCAGTTGAAAATGCTGTCCCAGCCCGCTCCTGCACACACTCATACACTACGTCCAATTTATTTTATTCAATTCACCTGTCTTTGGACTGTGGAGGAAACCAAAACACCCGGAGGAAACCTACGGCAACAAACTCCACACAGAAAAGCCATCTGACCCAGCCGGGACTCGAACCAGCGACCTTCTTGCTGTTAGGTGTCAGTAATAACCACTGAGCCACCGTGTCACCCTTAATTTCAATATGTTTAATCAAACATTTATTGAAATGATACACAAAAATTAAGGAAAGAAACAAAAACTCCAAAGCTGAAGAGGAAAGGATGAACACCCAGAGTCCCAATCTCCTGGTGTTTATCTGGATCCACATCACAAGCAACACTCCGCTCCTAGTTCAATCGCAATCATGGCAAAACAACGGCAGTTCAAAACTCTCTCAATGAACACCTCCAGCTAGCGTACAGGTGTCAAACTCAGTTTCTGGAGGGCCGCAGCTCTGCATAGTTTAGCTTTAACCCTGATTAAACAGACCTGATCAAGCTAATCGAGCCCTTCAAGATTGTTTTAAACCTACAGGTTAGTGTGTTGAAGCAGGGTTAGAACTAAACTGTGAGCTACGGCCCTCCAGGAACTGACTTTGACACCTCCATCTAGTGGATAACATCAGACAGGAGCACTCGGGCCGTATCAGTGATGATATTTAAAGTTCATTTCTCTTGGTTTCTGATGATTTATAGTCAGTAAATGATCATTTCTATTTGTCCTCCCTGTTTCCCACAGAATCATGGGATAGACATTGGTGACTTATCAGAGAGAAAGAAACTGAGAGAGAGGCTGAACTGCAAACCGTTCAAATGGTATCTGGAAAATGTCTATACTGAGTTAAATCCTATGGATGATTTGCTTGGTTATGGAGCGGTGAGTGACACGCGGCTTACTATGAATCAACTGAGTGCAGGAAATGAATGAATGGTGTGACAATTTCAACATGAGGCCTTTATCTCCCACCCACAGCTGATTAATGATCTGCAAACAAGTCTATGTTTGGACAAAGGGCCGTCAGAGGAGAACACTCCCATTTTATATCCATGCCATTTTTTAACCTCACAGGTAATCGCTTCAGTTCATTTCTCAGATGTATATTTGATGAACATTTGACACACTTTAGTTTGTCCCCACACAGGTGTTTTTCTATACAACAAGTGGAGAGATATTAGTCGGTCCCCTTCAGCCACTTTTACACAGCCGAAACCGCTGTCTAGCTGATCCAGGATCGGGCCGGTTTCCAGAGTTTTCCTGGTGTTCAGACACAGAGAAACCAAAACACATGTACTGGGACTTCAAACAGGTGAACTGATGATTAAATCCCTGTGCTGGATACTGTGGTATATAAAATGTGGCTAGAAAACTGGTCTTATTTTTGCTTTCAGGGACAGGCCATACAGAACAGAGACACCAAGCGCTGTCTGGAGATCAGCCCCAAACAGACAGGAGACTATAAAAATAACGTTTTCGTTCAGGAGTGCAGAAACCAACACTGGAGGATACAACATGTAATTAAGGACTTATGAACTGCAAGGTATATGTTGTTTATTTGAAATGCTGGAGAAACTTTCCAGAATGACACTTGAGGGACAGAATTAATAATGATGTTGAATTACAGTTCAAGCAGAAGTGCTTCCATGTCACGTGACTGTTATTAACCAACATCAATGAGCCATGAACATCCAATTATGACATTAAATGCATTGGACATTTAGTGTCTTAAAGGTTTGTGTAACAAAACATTTTGATCAAAGCGTAAGCAATTTATTACAACACAATTTGATATGGTCATACCCATACTCCTGATATAGCTAAGAAACTTATGGCGTTTTCCAAATTGCCAATGTCACCCTCCAAAAGGCACTTCAGAGTTTAAAAAAAAAAAATAAATAATGTCCGCCATATTGAAATGTCAAACCAAAGTGCTCAAAACTGGCCACTTGGAAGGGCCTTTCAGAATGAAGCAGTTTAAAAAATACAACGTATGTACACTTCGGGCCATGATCCTTCAAGCAAGGAAGGCGATTGGTCTCGCACAGTGCACACAATTCAGAAGGACTCATCCCTATGCTCTACTCTCAACAGAGGGACCATCTGAAGGGATTAGGGCAGGGGGGTGTCCACACAGTGTCCTGGAGAGTTTAGCTCCAACCCTAATCAAACGCACCTGAACCAGCTAATCAAGCTCTTAGATATACTAGAAACTTCCAGGTAGGTGTGTTTAGGAAGTTGGAGCTAAACTCAGCAGGACCCTGGCCCTCCTGGACGGAGTTTGGACATCCCTGGATTAGGGCATAGGGATGAGCCCTTCCTAATGGAACCCAGTGCTTGTCTAGATATTGTATAGAGCAGGGGTGTCAAACTCAATTCCTGGAGGGCCGAAGCCCTGCACAGTTTAGTTCCAACCCTGCTCCAACACACTTACCTGTAGGTTTCAAACAAGCCTGAAGGACTCAATTAGTTTGATCAGGTGTGTTTAATTAGGGTTGGAACTAAACTGTGCAGAGCTGCGGCCCTTTTGGAACTGAGTTTGACACCTGTGGTATAGACCTTTTTGAGGGATGTAAATAAAAACAATGCATGGTCCCAACGTATTTCCTGGTTTACATTTGTAATTTCTATAGCTTCCGAGAATCCAAAAAGAGCCACATATTGATAAATAATGTTATGACAGCCGTTTTAACGTGAAGTTATGGTTGAATTGAAAATAGTTTGATAACAGCAGGAAATATAACCTATATAACTGATAAGCAGGGAATGTTCATGGGCCAATGACATGACTGCATTGAAATGGTCTATATAGTCTACATCACGTGTTTCTGGAGGGCCTCAGCGTTTGCACGGTTTCGCTTTAACCATAATTAAACACACCTAATCAAACTAGTTGAGTCCCCATGTTTATTCGAACCCTACAAGTGTGTTGGAACTCAACTGTGAAAAATCTCTTAATATTCTACTAGGGTAAATATGTGTCAGCGTACGTTTTTTTCGAAGTAAAACTCCATGCAAATGTGCTGAATGTAAATTCCCTTCCTCAAGCATAAATAAATATTTGAAAAACAGAATAAACAGGGATGTATACTTTTAAGTGTGTTTGGCTGCCTAACTATCCGGCTCTTTTCCCTGCTTTAATTCTACAACTTACATAGACACACAGCCATTAAAGTAGATGCTTTGCTCTGAAATAGTGTTACATTTGTAGAGGTTAATTCATGTTTTTATAGTTGCCTCTTCTATTTCTGCTCGCCCACTTGGGGAAATGTTGTCCTATATTATCAAGGTTTATTAAAGAAACGGTGCAGTCAGAAATGATTCATTACAAATTACTCTCTTGTCACTTACTTTATTATCTGTAGATGATATTAGATATGTGTAGGTGATGATCTTGTATTTGCAGTGTTTTCTACTATATAAATCACAGCTATTTCAACAGTTCCCACTTAGATATTCTTAGCGTTTATAGCAGGTTTGGCATGCTGTCCCAGGAGAGAACCCTGAGCTCGGAGATGCCCCGGTCAATAAGCAAATAAGGGGATTCGAGATCAGGTAGGTCTCGAGAGCTCCCCCTTGGAAAAGGGAGGAAAAGGAGGAGATATGGTGGAAGGGGGGATTCCTCCAAAACGTAGATAGAGCAGTAGGGAGAAAACAATCCATTCATTGTAAACTAGGATCACTCTGATTGGATTCTTTCTGATTACAGATGAGCAGCCAGCCGTGCTCAATCGTATCACGTGCTCCTCTCAGAATTAGTTCATGAAACTTCACTTGTCTCTTGTGAATCTTAAAATGTCATTGAATTAAAAAGCGATGCATGTGGCAGGACCAGTGATAACCGCAGAATTACTGAAAACTCAAGGAAGTGCCTTTATCAGATCAACAAATTATCTGTAAGTATAGCTGGAGCTTTCGAATAAATTGTCTTGTCAAAGCAAATTATCATTGGTATAAACAAACACCTCTAGTAATCATTTGTTTTAAAATTGATTTAAAATGTATCTGTATATTTTAAATTCCCAGCACTGGGTTGCAGCTGGACTAAAACATACTGTTGGTAGTTCGTTCCACTGGGGCGACCTATAATAAATAAGGGATTAAGCTGAAGGAAACTGAATGAATGTACATTTTAAGTTTGCTTCTACACAATACTTTTCAGCCTGCAGTCTAAGTTTGGGTTACTAAATGATAGCTTTAAATTTAAGAAAGGTAAGTGTATGTATGATCACTAATGTTGTTTTTATTATTATCAATAATATAGTGAAAAGCTGTAAAAAGTGTTTAACTACCATTCTGAACAGGATTCAGTGTCCTGGTCTCCTCCCCCCTAATCATTTCCTAAAAATTAATGCAATCATGCTGGAGTGACAAAGTTTGCACAAACCCGAAGCACTCAACAAACAAGAGCGATAACATAATTCAGTGAAGTCTTGCAGAGTAGCTGGCACTTGAAGATGCACAGAAAACAAACTTTCTCTGATTTATTTCATTTAATTTGCTTGTTTCTCTATTAAATTATTGATCATCATGAGGATAAGCTTTGCAAAGAGTTTGTTTCCAGTTTTGTCTGTCGCTGTGGTTTTTCTCTATTTGAGCTCTGTGAAATGGGAGATAAAAACGCAAGAGGAGAAACTTCAGCGAGTCCAGCAGAACTTGTCACTGCACAGCTCTCTTCTGCTCCACAAGCTGGACAAACTGGAGGCTCATTTGATCGCTGTGGGTGAGTTGCTGACATCTATTATTATTTACTTCTGTTTGTTATTTTGTATGTTACTCTTTACAATTGGTAGTTCATTCTGCTGTGGCGACCCCGGATTAATAAAGGGACTAAGCCGAAAAGAAAATGAATGATACTCTTTACAATTTCTGATAAACCAAAATTGACCTTTTTCTTTAAGTTACAAAAATGTCACATTATTTTAAGGTACAGTTATTGTTATTTTAAACCATTATTGAGCCTAAATAATCTTTTTATTTGCTGCTTATTATTTGTTATAAAGTTAGTTAGGTGTAGGCATTGGGTAGTACTGTGGATGTAGAAAAAGATGATGCAGAATATGTGCTTTGCTTTATAAGTACTAATAAACAGTCAATATCTTAATACTAGTCTGAAAATAAACTAGTAATTTAGTGAGAATTTGTACTGAACAAAACATTTCCAAGTATACTATACACCATTATGCTATTACATATCTGTATGACCAACATTGTTGAAAATATCTTCTTTTGTGAAATCAACATTAAATCCAACTGCTTAATATGGTCTAGGTGACTATATCAGGCAAAAATAATTATGCTAAAGTAATTTATATAAGGGGTTTAAACACACTTGTGTGGCAGCAGTCTGTGAATATAACTAGCTTTTAATACTAAAAATCTATTAATTATATAGTGTCTGCAGAAACACTTTGATTGACATTCTCCCAATTGTATGTGTCATCAGAGGGGGAAAGCCCCGCCCATTAGAGATGATCTCTTCCTCATTAGCATAAAAAGTCAGTCTTGTTTTTGAACCTGCCACTATGGTGACACACAGGCATTTGTAGCTCCGCCCTCTTCTGTAAAGAGCACAATCTCATTTAAATTTAAAGCAACAGTCACCAAAGCACCACAATTCGGATTAAGGCTTAAACAGGGCAGATTCAAAGAGTTTCAAAACTTACTTGGTGTGGTATTGTGGTATAACTTCACACACACACTCTAGGGGCATCAGAGACTTACTTTACAGCTTATAAAAAAGGGGCATAATAGGTCCCCTTTAACTTTTAAGTTATTAGACAAGGATTTTCAAATAGATATATGAACAGATGTATGTAAAAGTGAGCAGTAATATAACAGAATAAAAAGCTATAACCACTTTTATTCCCAAAACAAAATATTTTTGGATAGAATATATATTTTTACGTGGTATTACAAAACGTTTTTATTCAGGAAATGTTTTAAGGTGTCTTCTGGAGGAGTTTTAGAATATATTGTCATTGATTAAATTGAAAGATCCTAAATTACTTTCCATCAGTCTTATTGATACAATGCATAACTTAAGAAAACTAGGACTGGAAAATATGCAATATGTGAAATTGTTTTGGAGTGTTGCAATTACTAAATTTCATACTAACTAACTTGAGAATGCTATTTAATCAGCAATTTAAAAAATATATTTTATTTATGTGATGGTTATACTTAAATAACTAATAATAGACTTTTTCTGAGATAACTGATCTAAAAAGGATGTCACGGAGCAAAACGTTTGAGTTTAAAAAAACAATGGATGACTGAAAACCTCTTGTTGGCTGTTTTCATTTTGCTCTCTTGTCTTCTTGCATTGCTACATTGTTTTCAGCTCTAGGTTCACTTAACGGCACCAACCAGAATAATAATGATAAAGATAGTAAAGGTACCATCTGATTGATCCAATTTGGATAAACAACCTATTCATGCAGCACACAAATGCTTGGCATATAAATTACCTTAATTTATTGATTTTCTCTGTTATATGGAAATTCCATATACTAATATTGCAATAGCAATTAATTTTTGATATGTTCTGCAGCTCTGATTAAAACATACATACATTTTACTAACAGAACACTAAACTTTTCGCAGAAGAGACACGCCTCAATGTAAAAAATGAGAAGAAACCAGCAAAGAAACTATTCCCAGATTCATACCTCTTCAAGAGATGGAGTGTGGAGCTTTCAGAGGATGAGCAGAGGAAAGCTGAGGATCTCTTTCAGAAATACGGATATAACGCCTTCCTCAGTGACCGACTGCCTCTGGACCGAGAGCTGCCGGACACTCGAGACCACAGGTCAGCTTCACTGCTTTATCAAATGCATTCAACGTCAACATTCATTCATTTTGCATTGGTGATTTTTGCAGATGCGCTGAGCGTGAATATCCTCCCGATCTGCCCACCGTCAGTGTGGTGCTGATTTATCTGGACGAGGCTCTGTCTGTCATTCAGAGAGCCGTTTACAGCATCATCAACAGAACTCCAGCTCATCTGCTGAAAGAGATCATACTGGTGGACGACCACAGCACTAACGGTGTGTTCCTCTCAGACATTCATGCAGATTGTGCACATCGTGAGCTGATGCTTCCTGAAATCTGTCTTCCACAGAGGATCTGCAGACGCAGCTGCATGTTTACATCAGCTCCATCAATGAGAAGCACCCAGGCCTGGTGAAGATGGTGACCCATGCAGAACAGAAAGGCCTCTCGCAGGCCAGGATCTCAGGCTGGAAGGCTGCCAGCGGCGACGTGGTCGCCATTCTGGACGCCCACATTGAGGTCCATGTCAAATGGTGTGAAACTGCTCAGCCGAGTTAAAATAAATATTTAATCAGCTAGATATACGATATTTTAATGGGACAACTGAACAAACAGAATGACTATAAGATGAAATGAAATGAAATTTCTTGAGAACTATTTGCTTTTTTTTCAGGGCGGAGCCTCTACTTGCACGCATCCAGGCTGATCGCACGCTAGTCTTGAGTCCTGTGTTTGATAAAATTAATTATGACGATCTGGAGGTGACTAAATACATTGCCTCTGCTCATGGTTTTGACTGGGCTCTCTGGTGTATGTATGTGACATTCCCGGAGAAGTGGTACAATCAAAACGACCCTTCGCTGCCAGGAAAGTGAGTGTGCGTTGCTTCTTTTGTATTCCATGTTCATCTGCCTTGTCATTGGAGACCACAAAAAAAAGATCATAAACAAAATAAACTGAACTGCTTTGATATGCATATGTTAAGAAATGTATTTAAATGAGCATTTCGGCATTCTAGACGTTGTGGTCTGGCTCTAGTATGTGGCCCAGTTTCCAATAGCACACTTCTTGGGCACTTGTGGATTTACAATGGTGGCCGGGTGCCTATAGAGTGTCCTGTTTGTTGATATAGCTTTGACAAAAGTGCTAGCATGCGCTCGCTTAGTTCATGAAACATGTTCAAAAATCGAACAGGCTTGTTCCAGTTTATCAATTACAGCAGTGAGTCTGAATTCATAAGCTCACTTTGAAAATAGCAACACATTTCAATAGTGGCTATTAATTTGCACATGCATGCTCAGACACATGCACTCAATCGAGCAATAGAGAGGTGTAGGATGGGGTTAGGTGTAGAAGTTCCTGAGAGTGCATGTCTGAGTGCTCTCATTCTGGAGCCAGACCCTTCTCATAAATATAGAAATGGACATTGTTGTTGGACAGGGACCCTCAAATTCCATTTACATCACATTTTGCTTTGACTTGCTGTTCAAACTGGAAAAACCAAACCAAGATCTGTCCTCTCTGCCTGTTCTCCAGGAGTCCCTCTGTAATGGGAATACTGGTGGTGGATCGTCTGTTCTTCGGTGAGATCGGGACTCTGGATGAAGGGATGCAGGTGTACGGAGGAGAGAATGTTGAATTGGGAATACGGGTAATTCATCATCATACTGAAGCGTTCATCATTTTACTATATTTACATGTTGAACAATGGTGTTGTTGCTCATTGTTGACTCTTGGATGTGTTTTGGCTCAGGTGTGGCTGTGTGGAGGGAGTATAGAGGTTGTGCCCTGCTCCAAAATCGCACACATTGAAAGAGCGCACAAACCCTACATGCCCGACCTGAGTAACGTCATGAAGAGAAACGCCCTCAGAGTGGCCGAAGTTTGGATGGACGAGTACAAGAAAAATGTCTACATGGCTTGGGGGCTTCCCATGCAGGTATATCTAATGAATAGATTCATCCTCATGAATTCTTCATCATCAAGACTGTCAGTAGGAGTCTTGGGTGCCATGTACACTAGTGTGTTTCGAGTTCAAATGCTCATTTCAGAAATGAAAATTCTCATCAGACAGGCATTTTGATTGGCTTTCAGAAAATCCATCTCCATCCACAATAAAAAAAAACTCAACCTAAAGCGCATGACCTGTAAATATTCACTGGACATGCTTATATATTTTGTATTTGATTTGTTTATTCATTTTTGCTGGCATCCGTTGTGTCCTTGCAGTCTACCTGTTGTGTAATAGCCATATGAGAGGATGTTGACAAATCAGGGAATGACAGCAATAGTCCTGCAGACCAATCAGAGAGTAATTGGGGATGACTGCACCTCTGTTTTCAAAAGTTTCTTTTTCAATTTATCTAGACCAGGGTTGTCAAATTCAGTTTCTGGAGGGCCGCAGCCTTGCACACTTTAGTTCCAACCCTGCTTCAATACACTTACCTGGAGGTTTAAAACAAGCTTGAAGGACTCGATTAGTTTGCTCAGATGTGTTAAATTAGGGTTAAAGCTAAACTGTGCAGAGCTGCGGCCCTCCAGGAACTGAGTTTGACACCTGTGATCAATACTGAAACAGAACCCCCCACGTTTTCAGACTAAAATGGGGCACATGGGCGTAGATTTGCTCTTGAGATTGCTGAATACCTATAAATCAAACTCTCACCTACCAAAATCGAAATTGACTCAAAACTGACTTTCGATTAATTGCACAACCCTAAGTACCATTAATATGACAGACTCCTTCAGTAGCGAACTTGACATTAAGTCACTTACTGTACACATTTTTTGAAAAGTGGTTCCTTATGTCCACTTACCTTTTTTCCTGTCATCCTGATTTTTCAAACCACCCACATCAAACCTGAGTTTTGAAGGTGAGGGGATTTAATTATTGGTGGGGACAATGGACCCATTTCACAAGACTGTTATGACGCATTTACCAGTCTCCAGCAACTTAAATCCTTGAAAGTTTTTAATATTCAAATGTTAAAATGTATATTTATGTTTGTCTTATATCATCTTCGCATCAAATTTTGAAAACAAAAACAAATGACCGCTTATGAGAGGTGTTTCTAATGCAGTGTCTGTTGGAGGAAGACAGTAAATCTGACATTATTCTCACTTCTCTCTGCCGTTATCAGTCTCACACTATTATTTTTCTCTGTCTGAAAGTCTTGATAAAACCATTGTGGAATTTTTCTTTTATTATTTGAGCAAATAGGCTTGTACAAGAATTATTTGTTTTACTTTTCCATGAACTATGATGATTTCCACTGCTGAGAAACCCCTTAAATGTGAAAATCATCCATTAAATATTTGTTTTATATTGCTGGGGACAAGTCACCTCCATCCATTATACTTCTATGCCCTTGCTGCAGAGTTTACAAAATGCTCTGTTTTTGCAGGTGTAATCAGTGCATCATAATGCACTCAGCGGAGTGAGTGACGTCACTGTTATGGGTAGGGTTAGATGCAGCTTAGATTGGATGCAGCTTAGATTGGACTGCACCGAGTCTGCAGCCAGACCCCTCTCGGTCAAAGGTGTCTGTGTAGTGTTGACGCCAGGTGTACACTTTTTTTTTAAGCAAAAATAGACTAGTGTAAATAGTATCTTAATGTAATGATTCTTCTATGTTCATTTTGATTCAATTCAGCTTTATTTGTATAGCGCTTTTACAATGTAGATTGTGTCAAAGCAGCTTCACATAAATGGTCAAAGTAACTGGATCAGGGTAGTTCAGTTTTTTAGTGTTTAAGTTCAGTTCAGTTTAGCTCAGTTCAGTGTGGTTTAAAATCATTACTGAGAGTCCAAACACTGAAGAGCAAATTCATCTATGCGTAGCTCTAGCGATCCTGACCCATGCAAGCCAGAGGCGACAGCGGAGAGGGCAAAAAATTTGGGGGAATTTTGAGAACCCTAAAGATAGCTGACAAGTTTAATGATATGTTTTGAGGGTCAATTGCAGATTGTGCTGTATCTGTCCTCCCCCTTTCCACAGAATCATGGGATAGACATTGGTGACTTATCAGAGAGAAAGAAACTGAGAGAGAGGCTGAACTGCAAACGGTTTAAATGGTATCTGGAAAATGTCTATAATTTGTTAAACCCCATGGATGATTTGCTTGGTTATGGATCGGTGAGTGACACGCGGCTTACTATGAATCAAGAAAAATGATGAAGGGTTTGATGGTTTAAAATAATGTTCTTGTTATCTCCCACCCACAGCTGATTAATGATCTGCAAACAAGTCTATGTTTGGACAAAGGGCCGTCAGAGGAGAACACTCCCATTTTATATCCATGCCATTTTTTAATCTCACAGGTAATCGCTTCAGTTCATTTCTCAGATGTATATTTGATGAACATTTGACACACTTTAGTTTGTCCTCACACAGCAATTTTTCTATACAACAAGTGGAGAGATATTAGTCGGTCCCCTTCAGCCCCTTTTACACAGCCGAAACCGCTGTCTAGCTGATCCAGGATCGGGCCGGTTTCCAGAGTTTTCCTGGTGTTCAGACACAGAGAAACCAAAACACATGTACTGGGACTTCAAACAGGTGAACTAATTATAAAACACTGATAGGATACTGTGGTGTACCACAGTCTAAACATTGCATGAAAGGCCTGTTGTTACTCTTGTTTGTTTTCAGGGACAGGCCATACAGAACAGAGACACCAAGCGCTGTCTGGAGATCAGCACCAAACAGACAGGAGACTATAAAAATAACGTTTTCATTCAGCAGTGCAGAAACCAACACTGGAGGATACAACATGCAATTCGGGACTTTTAAGCACAAAATATAATAAATTGTTTGTAAAGAAATGTATATATATGCGTTGAATTCTCTCTTTAAAATGAAATAAGCATTGAAACCGGGAAGCATTTGGTCAAGTTTTAGCTGTAGTGCAGTGAAAAAGTGTTTACCCAATGCAAAATGATACTCTGTAAATGTTTACAAAATGAAAACAAAGTCTAACACTAAAGGAAAAGCAGCCTGGGTTGAACCAAAAGGTCATTTTAAATGATAAAATGACATACTGATGCAAAAAGTCATCCAATTCTAACTGTAAGCCTGCGTGAAAAAGTTTTTGCCCCCTTATTCCCCAATCCATAAAGCCAGTTTCATATTGTGAATACACCTGATTACTGTCAGTATTGATTCATTGCAACTTTAATTAATTAATTTTCAGAAGTTGGTGAAAAGATATCACTGAGTACTTTACGACAAACACTGAGAACGTATTCCCTTTTTTATATGTAGACATGCAGTTTGTTTTCCTGTTTCAGTTTGCGGCCATGCTTTTAGTTTCTTGGCTGGTTTATTCACCCATGATGGGTATCTGTATCTGTTGTTATTCCTTGTGTGGATTGTGCCTTTCCTGTGGTTTCACAATCAGTTGTTGTCAGATTGTGTGTTTAAGCTTCTGTTCTTTGTTTTTGTGCATACCTGTCAACATTGGGATGTAAATATAAGGAATGCTAACTTTTTATGCTCATTTTCACTATGTCCACGTTCACTCTGCTTCAAATCGCATGTACAGAATCTGTTTGTCTACTGTATTTACTCTAATGGAAAGGAAATGAATCCAATAGTTTCTATATTTACTTCAAAGTGTTTTCATGCCTAAATAAAATAATAGCACTGATCAGATTCGCATTTAAGAGCAAGGGAGTCCCCTGGTGGTTCGGCGGTATGGATGGCAAATAGGGATGATCGGCTCTTTAATTATTATTGCCACCCTTCATAGAAAGATTAAAAATATGGGAGAAATATGGGAAAGTATTTTTGCGGGATGATAGCAGGATAGAATTGTAAAATACAGGAGAATCCTGGGAGGTTTGACAGCTATGGTTTCCGCTATTCAGGTTTTATATTTTATCATTAAATAAATGTCGCAGTGAATTACGGTAGATGACTGGACCAAATCTGGCTTCCAGACAAGGCCCAAACACGGATTTTATCTGGACAGAGTCTCAGCAAAGTTAATAACTCAAAACTGGGCCAGATAGGTTGGTGTGTCACGATTGCAATGAAATTGATAAACCCATGAAGTGTTGCACTTTTGGCACACTATAGGCACGCTTTTTCTCAAAGTGACCTGATTGGTCGAATTTATTTTCTTTAATCAAAAATTATTTTAATGTATCTTAAATGTGGGTCAAGACTGACCAAACTCATGCGGCCCACATATCAATTTTTAAAATCTGGGCCAAATACTACATTTTACATCTGGCCCAAATCTTGTGTGCCGCCTTAAAGACGGCGCCACCTCTGCCAAACTCGGGCCATGTTTGGCCCACATGCTGTATGCCAGTGCTTGATGAATGCCTGCTGTGCCAGCTTTATGCCAAATCTGAGCCAGAATTCTTTGCTACTAGGGTAACTCCATTTCAATACCATTTAATTTTCTATATCATATTCTTATTGCATTTGCTGAACTGTTTTGTTATGGTTAGGCTATTTTATTCTTTTCAGGCTTAACTCGCAGTTCAAATGCAGTCTGTACCTGTTAACTAACACTGAGATATGCAGTCTTAGCTTGCATCATCTAGGCTGCATCCAGATACTAATGGATCTGAGTAGGGCAATGTAGAGACTGAAGTTTGGATGGGTAATTACAAGAAAGATGTCCACATCATCTGGCATATTGCAATACAGGAATGAAAGAGCTACAATTCTGACTACAATGTGAGTTAAACTTGGTATAACCAAAACAAATTGCTGAAATATTGATTGACTTAATAAATAAGGTAAATATACATCAAAATATTTGTTGTGTTGACGTTTTGTCATTGCATTTTTTTACAGTGTACATAGAAATGTCCATGGGTCTCATTTAGAAATGTGTACGCACTAAACCAGGATGGAAACACCACTTCCCATGCAAAAGGTGACGGGAGAATGTGCACAGCTGTAAGTAAACTAAAAATATTTAATCTAAATATTGACTCAAGCACTTTTAATCATCTAACAATCGCATTTATTCTGACGTACAGTCACTTTTAAATGCATGGTGTTATAAATGAGACCCCAGAGCAATGTTCTCTGTTGACACATTACTTTGCTGCTTTCATAAGATGACATTCTTATACAGGTTTAATATTTATCTATCAAACATCTCTGCTTGATTTATTAAACAGGTATTTCTTCACCAATAATAGTCTAACAACCAGTGCCTCTGTTCTTGTCTTCTACAGAACTATGTTGTATTGATACTGACATCAGTTAATCCCCATTGATGATGTACTTGGTTATGCCGCGGTGAGTAACATTCTGTTTACTAATGTTCAAAACATTCAGGGTCAGCAAGATGTAGCTTGATTTAAAGAAGCCAATGCTTTTATTCAGAAAGGATGCTTTAAGGTAATCAAACATAACAGTGAACACATGTATAATACTTTATAAAAAAAAGGTTAAAAAACCTATAGTTATTAGTTCTTGAGCAGCAAATCAACATGTTGGAATAATTTCAGAAGTGTTATGTGAGACTTGAGTAATGCTGCATGTAGCTTTGCATCACAGAAATACATTATATTTTAAAACCCATTCAAATTGAAGCTATTGAATAATGTAAACATACTGTAAACCACCTCTTGTGGTCAGATAAAATCTGGCAGAAATATTTTCCTTATAATCTTTCCCTGTGCGTAAATGTGTTTTTTACCCTGCAGTTTAATTTTCTAAAGTGTTTTTGTCATGGTTATGAGTTTTCTGCTATAAATGTGTTCCACTTTTCCTGCCATACGGTCATAGCTTTATCCTGCAGTTGTGCTGATAATGAACTGTACCTGTTAACAAAGAGGGAAAACAGCTTTTTAAATTCATCATCTACACAATGGCAATCATTTTTCAAATAAATAGTGAATATATATATATATATATATATATATATATATATATATATATATATATATATATATATATATATATATATATATATATATATATATATATATATATGTATATATATATATATTTATATATATATAAATATATATACATACAGTTGGGGAAATAAGTATTCAACACGTTAGCCGTCTTTAAGCTGGCATCACCAATAAGACCTTTTATATAAAGTATTAGATACTTTTCAGAAAATCAGTATTTTCTTCTTGCGTCATTCCGTGTTATTAAGCACAACATTTGTTTTCTTTTTTTTTTTCTTTTTTTTTTGGTTTTATTTTTATGTGTGTATTGTTTAACTTTTTACCAAAATCTGGTTCAACTCCATGTCAACAGCTCCTTTAGAATCATTATTCCCAGGAACAAAACAAAACGCGTTCAATACTTATTTCCCCTGCCGCGTTTATTAGCTAAGAAAACAAAAGAATGGACTATTTGACTAAGTTTAGGCTTTTTGGTGATGGCAGCTTAAAGACGCCTCTCATATGGAGAATGAAGTCAAATGCATTGCTCAGGTGTGATTTTATCTTCAACAGAGTGTAAAAATCTTGATGGTTCTGTTGGATTGTAGTCAGGTGATCGGCTAGGCCATTCTACAGCTTGATTTTCTTTCTCAGAAAGCATTTGAGAGTTTCCTTGGCTGTGCTTTGGGTCATTTTCTTGCATCTTACTCTGAGGAAGGGCAGAGGGTTGCTGAATAAATAATGAAATTTCAGCTGCTGTCTGGGCTTTCAATGCTAAACTACACCTCCCTTCACGTGTTCAATACTTTTTAATTTCATTTTATTACACCGAATTTCTTTTGTAAACTAGTTAAATTTGTTTTCTTTTTATATATGAATTTCTTTGGTTGCCATCAACATCTGGTGAAAATTTCAAGTCAGCAGCACCTTTAGAAATATAGGTGAAAAATCTGAGAAAAATGGTGACGTGTTGAATACTTATTTCCCCCACCTTATATGTAAGTGAAGTTTTATAAATGTTTATATTCATTTTTTAAACGGCAATGTTTTGACTTTATTTAAGGAATCAACATTTTGAGCAAACAACTCTTATTTTTAGTCACTGCAAACTTAAAGGTCTTAGTTCTTCAGTCATGTTAGAAGTGCTGCAATTCCTTATACAGGGTTCCCACGCTTCTTGAAAACGCTTGAGTTAAATTTGAAATTTGTTTTTGGGGTAATTTTAACCGTTGTCATGCTGCTACCAAAAGCAGAATAAAAAAACTACAAATTCTTAATTTAAATATCCTAAATGGAAATCTTGTACAAGAACTTATTTTAATAATGTGCATTTTATCAGTATTTCAGAAGCCGCGATTACCGGTTTTGAATTCAACAACTTTTATTAACGTCCTATGAACATGACTATCAAAAAATACCTACTGATATAATTTATGGTCACTTTGTCTTGATGGTCCAGTTGAGTATTAGTAGACTGTCTGCTTAATATCTGCTCATACTGCTCCTTCAACAGACATTTAACTTTTAGAAACTTTGCAAGTACATGTCAACTTTAACCCTATAACCTAACAGTTTACTTATAATCTAATGAGAATTAGTTGCCATGTAGATGCAATGTGATTTAAATTCAACAAGCAGACCATCAAAATAAAGTATGACCTAATGTATTAGTAATATAATCTACTTAATGTAAATATTAAGAGCAAATGAAATGTTAAGCACAGTTAGAACTTTCACTGGACTACATAATGTATGCTGGGGGTGTGAATTACAATGGTGCTCGATATGAAGTGCTTTAAAAGTCCTTGAATCTGCTGTTTCTGAAAGAGTGGGAACCCTGCTAATGATGTCTATAATAATATTGTCATTATTGTTTTGTATCACAGTTGTGTAAAGAAGATTGTGCCTGACTGTGACCTGAGCAGCTCATAGGAAAACATTACAGTCTGATATGTTGCATTAAATCAGGGGTGTCAAACTCAATTCCTGGAGGGCCGAAGCCCTGCACAGTTTAGTTCCAACCCTGCTCCAACACACTTACCTGTAGGTTTCAAACAAGCCTGAAGGACTCAATTAGTTTGATCAGGTGTGTTTAATTAGGGTTGGAACTAAACTGTGCAGAGCTGCGGCCCTTTTGGAACTGAGTTTGACACCTGTGCATTAAATGTTAAAAGTTACAATGAGTTACACTGCCCAACATAATTGCCAATTAATTGCATTTGTCATATTGCAACTGGCATTTTAGGTTCTGTTTGTAATAAATAAACATTCTCACACCTGATTGAGTTGATAGCGAGCTCCTTTAGAGTGCCCAGGTTTGCACTCAATCCACCAATACCGACAAACACCTCATAGAAATCATAGGACAGTCCTGTGGTCCCGAATAAACTGGGATCATCGGAGCTGACCACCATAGGATGTCCGTCAGACATTAACACCGCGGCTGGATGATTTCGCAGATCTGAGACCAGCTTTAGCACCTGCAGAGGAAGAATCACTGCTGATTTAACCAAACCAGTTTACTTAAACAGAGCACGGCTACTGTACCTGATTGGAAATGGGACACAACTCCACTGCCACCCTCCTGCTCCTGGAGAGCTGTTTTGCTACGGGATGATGAACAATTGCAAAACCGTGTCCGATACGGCTGGTGTTAAACAGCAGAGCGTCTAACACATTCCTGTCCACATCGGTCCCATCCAAATCTGAAAGCAAACACTTATAGTATAGACAAATAAATCCCAATCCACACTGCACAGTGAGAAAATGAGCTGCATTTGCTGACCTGTTTCTCCAGCGTGGAAAAAGTACGGAAGTTGTGACTCTGAAGGGAGTGATAAAGCATCCCGAAAATACCAGATTGACCCTCCGGTGTCTTCACGACCAACCTGCAGCATTCAATGATACAATCAGAGAAAGTAATGTTAATGTGACTCCAATCACTTATTAACAAAGTCATCTGGAATGGCAAAGAAAGCCTTCTTGCAGGACTCCCAGAGTTCATCAAGATCCTTTGGATTCATCTTCAATGCCTCCTTCTTCATCTTACCCCAGACATGCTCAATAATGTTCATGTCTGGTGACTGGGCTGGCCAATCCTGAAGCACCTTGATCTTCTTTGCCTTCAGGAGCTTTGATGTGGAGGATGAAGTATGAGAAGGAGTGCTATCCTGCTGGAGAATTTGCCTTTACCTGTGGTTTGCAATGTAACGGGCAGTACTAATGTCTTGATACCTCAGGCTGTTGATGTTGCCATCCACTTTGCAGATCTCTCGCATGTACGCATACTGAATGTAACCCCAAACCATGATTTTTCCTTCACCAAACTTGAGTCCATGTGGGTTCTGAAACATCGACCTTCTGCCACTTTTCCAAATGATCCACTTGAAGTCAAGTTATCATTTGTTGCTCTTACAATCAGAGTCAACTACAAGACTTCTCTCAAGTAGTGTACTTGTGTAAACAGACTATAATAACAGCATTTAATGAAATGATTGCTGTGTTTTTCACATAAATATTTGCATTGATGTGAATTGTAGCCCAAGGCAAGGGTGAGATTACCAGGTCAAATCCTGCAACAATCTCTGGATATTTTCTCTGCATCTCAATGGCCTCCTGCACAGCCTGCTTCACTCGAGACACACTAGAAGACCTGCACAAAAATGCATCCATATCAGCAGGAATGCAGATTAATATGCAGCTATAATCATCTGCTGAATATAGATATGTCTGTATTATATTAAGGAAATTCTATGATGTAATTTAAAAGGTGTACTTCATATGCTTCGATGTTCAATAAACAGTATTGTTTACATTATTTCAGCACGTCTAGTCTGTCTAAAACACTGTCATTGAGTTCCTGTATTAATAATAATAATAATAATACCTTTTATTTTTAGGCTCATTTCAAAGCACTCAAGGACACCTTACAGCAGATTACAAGCACATCATAAAAATGCAAGCAGTAAAAATGACAATCAGCATAATTAAACCAGCAAATCATTAAAAGCTATCCTAAACAAAAACGTCTTTATCTGAGATTTAAAATTGGAAATAGAGTCCATAATAATACACTATTTGCTGAACTGTAAAAAGTGAAAACTTAAACAAATTACTTCGACTTCTTACAATTTAATGAATTAAGTTTGACAAACTTAATTTATGACAGTTTTCAGTAATAGATTAATTTAATTATTTTAAGTGTAACAAGTTTTATTAGTTTATTTAAGAAAACAAGAATGGAACAGAACAGTTCATTACAAATCATTCAGTATAATCATTTTAATATAATAATAATAATAATAATAATAATAATAATAATAAAATACTTTTATTACAAAAAATAATTTCCTTCATTTTAATATAATAATAATACTTTTATGTTTTGTGGCAAGTATTGCTCACTATTAATAGCGAACAATACTTATACTTGCCATAAACAAATTACTAAAACTTGTTACACTTAATTTATTACTGAAAACTGTTCTTAATTAAGTTTGTCATTTTTTTAAACATTTAATAGTAACAAGTCAAAGTCATTTTTTTAAGTTTTCAGTTTTTACAGTGTACTGTATATACACTATTTAGCTTTTTTTTAGTTGAATCAAATCAACTTTCCTATTCATCTCAACATCAGTGAAGCCGGCTAAATTATTAAGTTAAACTTCATATACCTGAAAATGTTTGTTACATCTTGTTAACTTATTAAAATACCCATAATGTACCCATAATGTCATCCAGTATAATGTTTAAATATGAAATAAAATCAAAATAAAACATTGACTGAGTTCTTTCTTCAAGCTCCTCCTTCTAAAAGCCTAAAGTGCTCTGATTGGCTTTGTGATTGGCAAACGACTCAAGATTATGTCTGAAAATGTTACGCCCCTTACCATAATTGTGAATGTTAGCTTCCAAGGCCACAAACAGTTAATAAAGATGATGATTTAACCACTTCAGCATGTGCCAGATCAGTTTTGGACAGAGCTTATGACCAAGCAGACTGATTTGAACCAACTTTGCTAGCAAAAGTCTTCTCAATGGTAAGTTCTGCTTTTGTATCTCTTGACAGCATATATTGGCAGTGTTAATTCACTGAAGCCTCTATGTTTGGACAATGTATTTGATGCTAATGCTAAAGCTAGGGAAAGTACTACTTGATTGCATGTGTTAGAATGAGAGTAGTTCCCCATTGTGTAAAGCTATTATCTTTGAAACTTTGCGTTTCTTGTATGTTACATGTGCAGACATCTCATTCTCTGTGTAAAACAATACAAGGGCATCATATGGCCTCTTTCCTGCTGCCAAAATAAAAGCCCATATGCTGTAGCTATCGTTAAACCTTTTGAATTGAAACAAAAATTTCACCAAACTTTCCTGCTCGGCAGTAATTTATGGCATGTTTTGTTGTTTTTGTAGTCTAAAGGTAAAGGTTTAAGGAAGCATCTTAATCCATAATCTCATTTATAATCAGAAATGTGCTACCTGTTAGACTAGAAGTGCCATCTCAGTTGGGAAAATGCCATTTAGGTAGTAAAAATGTGTTTAAATACAATTACAGCGGCTTTATTAAATAAAGAAAATGCATTTCTGATTATGATTATATTTCATTATTTGCATTACAAGCTGTAAATATTAGATGTTGATTTAAAACCAGTTTAATCTAAACACACATTCTTATTTTAATGTCAAAATTTGGGAAAATTTCAATTTGCACTAGATGTTTAAATAGCATTTTTTGGCATTGTCAGGAAGTTACCTTGAAGTCTCATACGTTTCTAAACTTGTTACTTAATTGTGGATTTAATTTATATGTTGAGTGATTTAAGTGTGTGTTTCACCTGTGAGCGGAGAGGATTACACGAGTTCCTATAAAGTCTGGATGATTTGCTCTGAACTGCTCAGTGATGTTTCTGTAGACCTCGATAGTCCACGCTCTGTCATGGGTAGTGCCGTCCAGTTCATATGCCTAAACAGAACAACATATGATTATATACAGTTGAAGTCACAATTATTAGCCCCCCTTTGAATTTGTTTTCTTTTGTAAATATTTACCAAATTACGTTTAACAGAGCAAGGAAATTTTCACAGTATGTCTGATAATATTTTTTCTTCTGGAGAAAGTCTTATTTGTTTTATTTCGGCTAGAATAAAAGGAGTTCTTAATTTTTTAAACACCATTTTAATGTCAAATTATTAGCCCCTAAATTTGTTTACGATTGTCTATAGAACAAACCATTATTATACTATGAGTTGACTTATTTCCCTAACCTGCCTAGTTTAACCTAGTTTTTATTATTATTTTTATTATTATTTTTATTTATTGAATGGGATAGCACCTTAAGATGAATCATCTCATTTTCAAAGGGGTCCTAAAAAGTTTATAAATCAAACAGAGTACAACACATCATAACGTACATACACCTAACAAGACAAACAAACAAGCAGCACACTCCACCTGAAACACTTCCCACAATCCGAAGCTTAAATAAACAAAACATATAATCGAAAGTACAAACAATTTGATATACAAATAAATAACAAACATTTAATTTTTAGTTAATCCTTTAAATGTCTCTTTAAGCTCTGTGTCTTCAACAATATTTAGTCAAATATTATGTGCTGTCATCATGGCAAAGATAAAATAAATCAGTTATTAGAAATGAGTTATTAAAACTATTGTTTAGAAATGTGTTAATGACTTTAACTGTATATATAGATAATAAATATTAGAAATTCATAGAAAAAAGTCTTATCTATTATAATCTATATAAGTGTAAAATTCAAAGTAAAGAAATAAGTATTTTCTTGTCTATGATAATCTGTTTAAGTGAAATTCAAAGAAAAAAAGTAGGGCGGGACTTGATTTTGTGTGCTGATTGGATGGTTGGATGACTGTGAGATGCTATTGGTGGATTTGATGTGAGTGACAGGTTGATTTTGCTCTTTAAATAATGTAATTGAGGAAGGGGAGGGAGTTTCATAATACAAATATATACAGTTGAGGGCCAAATTATTAGCCGCCCTGTGAAATATTTACATTGGAGGAAGCAATTTTGCCTATAATATTTTGTCTTCTGGAAAAAGTTGGATTTGTTTTATTTTGGCTAGAAAAGTTTTACATTTTTATAAAACAATATTATTAGCCCGGCGACGCAGTGGCACAGTAGGTAGTGCTGTTGCCTCACAGCAAGAAGGTCGCTGGTTCGAGCCTCGGCTGGGTCAGTTGGCATTTCTGTGTGGAGTTTGCATCTTCTCACTGCGTTTAAAGATTAATAAAGGGACTAAGCCGAAAATGAATGAATGAATATTATTAGCCCCCTAATAGCAATATTTTTTCCAATTGTCTGCAGAACAAACCGTCGTCATACAATGACTTGCCTATTTATATTAACTTTAACCTAATGAGCCCACTTAAGCCTTTAAATGTCACTTTAAGCTGGATACTAGTATCTTGAAGTATCTTAATTACAAAATAAAATGTTTGAGTTCATAGTGATATCCCAAACCTTGGCCTGTCCAATCCTCAGCTCCACATACATGATGTTGTCTTCATAAAGCTCTTTCAAACCCTGGTAGATGTGATCCTTCAGGACAGGAGCATATGTGATCAGCCCAGACAGAGCAATGAAAATCTTCTCAAACCGCTTCCATATATAGTCCTGTGTGGGATAAGACGTCTCCGGGTCTTCCGTAAAAAGCGTTAGATTACGCATCAAGCTGAAAGATAATGGCTGAGTTAGTCTACAGTAGTCAACGTTTGGATTTGGTTAATTAAATGAGAGCTATTATGCAAAACTCACTCTTTAACTCACTTGTTGTTTAAAAAAGGTTGTGTGGCAACAATCTGTGAATATAGCCAGCTTCTAGTGGTACAAATGTATTAATTAAATCTGTTTCATCAGAGGGGGAAAGCCCCGACAATAGTGACCATCTCTCCCTCATTAGCATACGACGTCAGTCTTGTTTTTGAATCTGTCACTATGCTGACACTTCGGCATTTGTAGCTTCGCCCTCTTCTGATAAGAGCACATTCTCATTTGAATTTAAAGCGACAGTCACCAAAACGCCATAATTTGGATTAAAGCCTTAAAAGGTCGGTTTCAGAGAGTTCTAAAACATAGTAACTTTACATACACACTCTAGGGACATCAGAAACTCACTTTACATCTTGTAAAACAGAGCATAATAGGTCCCCTTTACTCTTTATCTTATCCTTTAACTTAAAAGCACGTACAAAAACCCACCACATGGCTGCACTACTTTTGCACGTCACATTTCAGCTTAAAATCATGCATTATATTCGCTAAACGCTCTTAATCCGGTTCAATGAGGTGTAAATGCCTGTCATTCTTTTGAGCCCCAACACACAGCATGATTTCATGTAAATTAATAGCATTTTAGCAAGCACCTTTATGACGTTTTAAAGGTGTAATAACTTTAACTTGAGATCAATTTACTGTATTGGTAATGCATAAGGAAGGACATACAATATGAGGAGAGTTCTTTAAGTTCTTTAATCTGAACTACATATGTTCAGAGCACAGAAGGTCTAGAAGCCTTGTTCTCTCAGCCTCTTTCTCTCGGTCTGTGGTCTTTTGGGAACATAGACATGGTGGGATTTGCAGAAAATGTCACGTCCATCACACTCATCCCCAAAGAGACATTGTCCTTACACTGTCATATAGTGCATTTGATATGTCTTTGTTTAAACAAAGCCCCTTTTTTAATCTGGGGTTGCCACAATGGAATGAACCGCCAACTCATCCAGCATATGTTTTACACAGTGGATGCCTTCCAGCTGCAACCCATCTCAGGGAAACATCCATACACACTCATTCACACTCTTACACTACGGACAATTTAGCCTACCCAATTCACCTGTACCGCATGTCTTTGGACTGTGGGGGAAACCGGAGCACCCGGAGGAAACCCACGCGAACTCGGGGAGAACATGCAAACTTCACACAGAAACGCCAACTGACCCAGCCGAGGCTCAAACCAGCCACCTTCTCGTTGTGAGGCAACAGCATTACCTACTACACCACTGCATCACCATCCTTTAACTCATTAAATTCAAATACATGTCAGTGCATAGACGTTCATCTTTTTAAATGTGATTCAAACACTAGCTTAAATGGTCATGAACTAATTTCTCACGCATTTCTTTTCTTAATACACTGTAAAACCGTAGTCAAATTCACCAAATGAAATGAGTGTAGTTGACTTAAACCTTACTGGAAATTATTTCTACTTATTCAAAAAGAGTTTTGAGCTCAATCCGTTTAAAGAGTTTGTAAATCGGATACCTCAAACGGTTTGAGTTAACTTGTTATGTTTTACAGTACTCAATTTGTATAAGATCTCTTAATTTATTGGGGTTTTCTGTGTTCAAATGGATTGAGTTAGGATTAGTTTTTGAACTTAAATAATTTGCTTCAATCGGTTTCCTCAAATGGTTTGAGTTACATTTACTGGGTTTTACAGTGGACATGCAGACGTGTTGATAAAAGATAAATGTTCTTTGATCGACAAATCTAATTATCCTGTAAAATGCAGTATATTATGGTCTGAATTGATTTAGGTAAAACTATTCTATTTATGTTACAGAATTTAAGGCAAATATAACTGTAATAAAGTTGCCTAAAGTAGTGTTTTCTCAACCACGTTCCTGGAGGACCACCAACACTGCATGTTTTGGAGGTCTGCTTTGGATACAACACCCATTACTAGTCGTCCAATCTGATGAGCTGATAAGCTGAATCAGGTGTTTTGGTTAAGGAGACATGAAAAATAAGCAGAGCTTGTGGTCCTCTAGGAACATGGTTGAGAAACACTGACCTAAAGTTTTAAAATAACCCGTTACCTGACTTGTTTCATCGGAAAAGCAATTTAATTAGTAAAAAATTACCAAAACAATTACTAATTTCACCAAACACTGTCTGAGAATATTTAATATCTGTACATGCGGCAGAATTGACAATAACGCTGTCTTTAACTTTGATGTTCGCTCACCTGTTATCAAAGGAAGTGACATCACCAAGACTGGCTCTTAAAATGTCTAGCCGTTTCCAAAAAGAGCATCCCCAGCGCGGAAAGGGTGTACTGGTGGAGAACATGAACCGAACCGATCCGTCCCAAGTGAAGCAGATGTAGCAGTTAGGCCTGTATGTGGCGTTCAGCAGCCAATCAACACTCACCATAGCAGAGTTATGGATGTGAAGGGCAGCACCTGAAACAAAACTCCAAAACTCAGCTATTGTTTGATCTTTTTTTAATCGAAACAAAAAAATTCCCAATATAAATCCTACTCTGCTGTAGTTTCTGGCATGTTTTGTTGTTTTTGTAGTCTAAATAGGATGTTTTAAGGAAGTATTTTTATCCATAATCTCATTTATAATCAGAAATGTCTACCTCTAAATAATAATTACATGCAGAGTAAACGTGTTTGAAAGACAAAAAAAATAATTAAGGTTTGTCATCCTTTACTCACTTTTCACAAACCTTTATGTGTTTCTGCTGTTGAACATAAAAAAAGATATTTTGAAGAATGTTGGAAACCGGTAACCATTGACTGTCATTGAAACAATTATTATGGAAGTCAATGGTTACCAGTTTCCAACATTCTTCAGGTTTTCAGCTTTCTTCAAAATATTATTATGTTTTTTCTACCATGTATATACATGGTAACCAGTTTACAATACCACCAAGATATCTTCTTTTATGTTTAACGAGGAAATAAATTCATAAGGTTTTTTTTTTCATTTGGCGACAGAGCCACCCTATATAATATATCTAAAGACAAAATACTACTATAAAAACATTATAGTATGTAAATCATAAAAGAAATATGCATATTGTTCAATAATATTATTTAAATTAATAGAAATTCTGAATAAATAGCTTATATTTTCACTCACTCACTCAGCTTCAGCTATCTATGCAAGGAACCACCAATTACTTTGGCAAATGTTTTTATACTGCGAATGCACTTCCAGCCGCAATTAATACAGCCACTTAGGTGACACAGTGGCTCAGTGGTACGCAGCAGGAAGGTCGCTGGTTTGAGTCCCTACTGGGTCAGTTGGCATTTCTGTGGAGTTTGCATGTTCTTGGTGCTCTGGTTTCCCCCACAGTCCGAACACATGCAGTATAGGTGAATTGAGTTAACTAAATTGGCCGTAGTATATGCATAGTGTGCATGTGAGAGTGTATGGGTGTTTCCCAGTAATGGGTTGCAGCTGGAAGGGCATACACAGTGTAAAACATATGGTTCATTCCGTTGTGGTGACCCCTGATGAATAACGGGATTAAGCTGAAGGAAAATGAATGAATGATTTATAAAAGTAACTTTAAGTGCAAATTTAGCCAGAGGTATAAAGAATTTCGAGCTTGACTCTATGTTTACACACATGAACAGACATAGTGTGGGTCTACTGTACACATGAGCAGCCGTGTTGTACCTTTTGGCATTTTCTGCAGCAGTTTGAATATCGGGCTTTGCTGTATGATGTGCCGCACTTTGAAGAAGTGATTGGCCGGTGGGAAAGGTGAAAGGGTGATTTCCTTCATCTTCAGCATGTACAGCAGTGAATCCATCCGCTTTTCGGCTTCATTGAGCTCCATGTTTCCCCCGATCTGCTGTAAGAGCTCCTGCTGCAGCATCTGCTCTCTCTGACGGGGATCTGGCATTGATTTACACTCGCTCACACACACCAGCAGCACCACCATGACTGCTGCACTCACATCCTGACACAACGACACAATCATTCGTGTTAGTTTTTAGAGGAATTTGTCTTTAAAGGTGGAAAAGTGGATATTATGTGTTTATACTAAGATTTTTCAACACATATCTAAACAATAGTTTTACAGTTTTTTGTTTTTTTTTGATTGCTTAAGTACGATTTTCTAAACAGGGCCCGTGTTTTCAAAACGGTACCCTTCTAGGGATTAGTGGCCACATTTTAGCTCTAGTGTCTATTTAAAATACTCTGAATGTTTTATATTTTGTTGCTGACATACAGTGTCATCCTGCAACTGTTTTGCAGCATATGAAATGTCCCAAACACTATCTTAACTGCCCAAAATGGGCAAAAGACTGTAGTTTTTACTCTCTGATAGTCAAAACATGTTGAATATGCATTAAAAAACCATCAGGAAAAAGTATTTTATGTGAATTCAGACCACAAGGCCACATGTATGGACATAATTTTTCTCTAAAAGTACATCATATCAAAAGATGATACTAATTATTCTAATCAGGTTCCAATAAACCCAAATAGCAAAGAGAAATCAAATGTGCATGTAAAAAACAGCTTGGGCCTTAAGAGGTTAAAGTATACAGTAAATCTAAACTTGTAGGGCTCTATTTTGACGATCCATGCGCAAAGTGCAAAGCGCAGAGCGCAAACGCATTAAGGGTGTGTCAGAATTCACTTTTGCTAATATAAGGAAGGAAAAATCCACTTTGCATGGTCTAACAGGGTTGAGCTTGTTTTCTTAATGAGTTATAGGTGTGAGAATAAACCAATCAGAGTCTCATCTCCCATTCCCTTTCAGAGCCAGTTGCATCGCGCCATGGTGCATTTGCTATTTACATGGCGGACTTTATAAATGGAAAAACTGAGCATTTCACTAGCGAGAAAACAGTTAAACAGAGCATCTACAGCACGAGAATGAGAGATGAGCCTCCTCATTATTTACTTTCACTTTCGTAAATAAGCAAACGTGTTGTACGCACACACATCCATTAGCCTATAATTAATTTTGTTTGTTTGTTGTGATAACATGAAGGAATTGTGTTAAACCCTGCATTATTAACAATGCTGATACACAATAATCATGTGTATTTCGATATTTAGTACATTGTTACACTAAAAGACCCCTTTGTTCAAACTATTTATTTAAAGTGAGCTGAAACAACTCAAATCTTGATTATTTATTGCTTAAAACTCAATATGTTATGTTTAATCCACTTACATTTGTAAAAACGATGACATTAATCGATTTGTGTTGTGATAACACGAAGAAATTGTGTTGAACCCTGCATTATTTACAGTATTAATACACAATAATCATGTTTGTTTCAATATTTAAAATTTGACACTCAAAAAATGACCTTTTGTTCAAGCTACTTATTTAAAGTGAGCTGAAACAACTCAAGTCTTGATTATTTATTGCTTACAACTCAATTGTTTTATGTTCAGTCCACTTAAATTTGTAAAAACAATGACGATAATCGATTTATGTTGGGATAACATGAAGGAATTGTGTTGAACCCTGCATTGTTTACAGTATTAATACACAATAATCATGTGTGTTTCAATATTTAGTACATTTTTTCACTCCAAAAATGACCTTTTGTTCAAACTACTTATTTAAAATGAGCTGAAACAACACAACTCTTGAATTTTTATTATTTACAACTCAATTGTTTTATGTTCAATCTACTTAAATTGGTAAAAACCAACAAGTTAACTTAATTCCTTCATCATATATCTTAATCCAGCATTTTTAACTGTAGATCTACATATCTGTTGTAAAGTTTACATGAAAGCTCGTCCTCCGGCATCTCCAACATTCAATCAAATTGACAACCTAATCCAATACAAAACCTCAGCGGCAGGAAAACAACAAGCCTTAAAGCTCAATGCATCAGAAGTTATACCTTACCTTCAAGCTTATGCTACTCATTGCTCCCAGCTATCAATCAGGCATGTGTTCTCAGCCGCTGTGCATGTCGAATAAAAGTTCCTCTTTCAGGAACAGCGCATATTAAGAATGTGATGACAATAGAGCATGTGACACACTGTGAAATCTTAAATGCCTCATAGAATAAGAGCCTTGAGCAATGCCTTGCCAGTGGGACGCTATTATCCAAACCAGCCAGTCAATAACAACACAACGAGACGAGATCTGGGCCATATGGGTTTTCATTATAGTTTTCACATCAATATAGTCTTTTTGCATCATCGACAGACACGTTTGCTTCAGATATACAGATCATGCTCCTCATTACAGGAATGCAAATAAAAAAAAAAGTCATATTTTCTTCATGAAGCGAGGGTTATGCATCACTTTAAGACTTTATAGGAACATAACGGAGCTTTAATTTATTCATAATCTAACACAGAAATGTGCAGGACACTATTTTGATCTTTATACAGCAATGATGAATCATACGCACACACACACACACAGGTGATGTCTTCTTAAATACAGTACAGATAGAGACGCAGGAATGGATTTTTAACATCAAAATAAAAATACAACATCAAAACACTGCCGATCTCCAGAAAGATCCATCAGTCCATGAACTTGCGGTTCTGGTTCGCACCAAACAGGGCGACTCGTATTTCAGGCATCATCTGAAAACACATCAACATTTTAGTGTGTGCGAGTGATTTCAAAGTGCTTTATATACACTGCAAAAAAGGTTTTTCTTGCTTAGATTTTTTGTCTTGTTTCTAGTCTAAATATCTAAAATTTCTTATATCAAGAAGCATTTTTTAGACAAGCAAAACATATTGCCTTGTTTTGAGAAATAATATGCTAATATTGAGAGAGTTTTTCCTTAACAAGCAAAATAATCTGCCAATGGGGAGAGCTAATTAATCTTGTTTTTTTTGTTTTTTTGATGTAAGATTATTTTGCTTACCCCATTGGCAGATTATTTTGCTTGTTTTAAGGAAAAACTGACTTAATATTGACATAATATTTCTTAAAACAAGGCAATATGTTTTGCTTGTTTAGAAAATTCTTCTTGATTTAGGATTTTTTAGATATTTGGAATAGAAACAGGACAAAAAATCTAAGCAAGAAAAGCATTTTTGCAGTGTACAGTTGAAGTCAGAATTATTAGCTGTCATGAATTATTAGCACTCCCGTTTATTTTTTTTCCCAATTTCTGTTTACGGAGAGCAGATTCAACACATTTCTGAACATAATAGTTTTATTAACTCATTTCTAATAACTATTTTATTTTCTCTTTGCCATGATGACAGTAAATAATATTTGACTAGATATTTTCAGGACACTTCTATACACCTTAAAGTGACATTTAAAGGCTTAACTGTGTTATTTAGGTTAACTAGGCAGGTTAGGGTAATTAATATAATGATGGTTTGTTCTGTAAACAATCGAAAAAATATATAGCTTAAAGGGGCTAATAATTTTGTCCTTAAAATGGCTATTAAAAAATTTAAAACTGCTTTTATTCTAGCCGAAATAAAACAAATAAGACTTTCTCCAAAAGAAAAAACATTATCAGACATACTGTGAAAATTTCCTTGCTCTGTTAAACATCATTTGGGAAATATTACACTGCAAAAAATGCTTTTCTTGCTTAGATTTTTTGTCTTGTTTCTAGTCTAAATTTCTTATATCAAGAAGCATTTTCTAGACAAGCAAAACATATTGTCTTGTTTTGATAAATAATATGCTAATATTAAGAGAGTTTTCCCTCAAAACAAGCAAAATAATCTGCCAATGGTATAAGCAAATTAATCTTGTTTTTTCTTTTAATTTAAGATTATTTTGTTTACCCCATTGGCAGATTATTTTGCTTGTTAAGGAAAAACTCTCTTAATATTAGCATATTATTTCTTAAAACAAGACAATATGTTTTGCTTGTCTAGAAAATTCTTCTTGATTTAGGAATTTTTAGATATTTGGACTAGAAACAAGACAAAAAATCTAAGTAAGAAAAGCATTTTTTGCAGTGTAAAAAAAGAAAAATTCAGAGGGGGGCTAATAATTCTGACTTCAACCGTATAATCATAATGGTGGCCGTTCAGTTTCTGTACCTGCTGTGCGATGAGCTCCAGTCGGCTCTCCAGAGTGTTTGCCACTTTAATTTTCCCGTCCGCATTATAGAGCTCAATACCTCCAGAGCTACACACAAACAAACACACACACACATGCTTTAGATTCAAAGATCGCACCCATATCTGAAGTCGCTATTTCTGTGAATAAGGAACTGCTCGGTAAAGGCAGATGCTCACATTTCTGGAGAGAGGAAGTTGTCTTGGTCGATGCGCACTTCTAGATTGTTCTTTACTGCTGCTTTGTAGATGGAGATGTTTTTCTGCACGGCGGCCTAATGAAAAAAAACACACGCTTGTCTGTAAATCATGATGAGTTGTTAGTAATTGTCAAAGTCTTGTTGATGCCAGGGTTATTTTATTAAAAATTTTCCAATTTTTTGTGTATTTATTTTTGTCATATATGTTATATACAGGGTTTTTACATCTCGGTTTTAGTTATTTTAATCGTTACATAAAATTTTATGTCTATGAATTAATATCTATTTAAAATATTTCAATCTATACTGAATAATTATTGATTGTTTATGTTTAAACATTTAGAGTGCTTTTTAAGCATATTCATTGTATTTGCGGTGTTGTTCACAACTTTAACGCTGCAATAAGGCTCTAATAATTGATGTTAATTAAATTCAACTAAACTATATAACAATACAAACCTTATATTAATCATGTTAACTTCTTTTCAATGCATATAATATAATTACAATATGATATGATATGATTTAATAAAATATGATATAGTATAATATAGGTGTAGCGGTGGCACAGTAGGTAGCACGATCGCCTCACAGCAAAAAGGTCGCTGGTTTGAGTCCTGGCTGAGTCAGTTGGCGTTTCTGTGTAGAATTTGCATGTTCTCCCCGTGTTCACATAGGTTTCCTCCGGGTGCTCGGGTTTCCCCCACAGTCCAAACACATGCGCTATAGGTGATTTGAATTAGCTAAATTGACCAATGTATATAGGTGTTTCCCAGTGATGGGTTGCAGCTGGAAGGGCATCCGCTGTGTAAAACATGCTGGATAAGTTGAGAAATGTTGTCTTGGAATGTACACAATACACATATTAGCCAAACTTGAATCATTTAGTTGCATGTCATTCATTGTAATAGATTAAAATTGTTGCCTTTTTCCATTTTATTTCAATTTCAGCTATTTTAATACACAAATTTCATTTTAATTAGACTTAAAAGTCTGAATAGTTGTAAATTTTAGCAATGTTTGTTTTATTACATGTGTATTATTTCAATTTCAAGTTTTTTTTTTTTTTGTTTAGAATATCAACTTAAAATACATGTGAATGAGAGATTTATTTGTTTATTTATTTATATATCTGAAGCTAGATATCTGAGACAATTTGAGATGAAAGTTTTTAATTCACATTTTGAATAATTCACTATAATTTAATTTCATTGAGCTATTATTAATTTCATGAGTTTTAAATCAGTGAACACGTAGCGTTGGACTAAAGGCCTGTATACACTATCTAGCTTCATTTGATCACATTTACCATTCATATAAGTTCAAGAAACAACACTTTTTTAATTCACTTTAATAAATAACCCTGGCTAAAGCATCTACAAACCTGCACAATCCCCACATCCTGTTTGCGGCAACGGATGGTCACTTTAGGTTCCAGCAGCTGGTAAAAACCCTACAACAGAACGATATTAAAACGGCAATCACTACATATCTCTTTAAAAGCACTGTGCATTTCTGAAGTGTGCCTCACACGGGTGAGTGGGCTTGACAAACCACCTGTAGAAACACTTTTCTCACTATATGCACCACACACTTTACTTAAACTCCATCTTATGACTTAATGAGAAAAACAAGGTTTACTTGTGAATGTACCACACAATCATGTTGCACTGCTCGTTTCCTTCAACCTTAAAATACTTCTCTTAGATAATATTGTTCTGTCTTATGTAAAAGTACTTGTATAGTCTGTCTTAGATTATGTGTATAGTATTTACAGTATTTATGGTATATGTATAGTAGTATACACTGGAAATTAGCAGTTTTTCTGTATTTTCTGTATTTATTTATGCTTTTGAAATGCATTATGGAAGCTTCACCTTTCTTCCAACCACTTTTAACTTTGATAAGTTGGATTTTATTGTCATTTTTAATAGTTCAAAGTGATCTATTCGCTGGGTTGGTGTTGTGTATTACCCAACAAACGCCCTGTAATAAACTGCCAGCACATTTTCTGTTATTTTACACACTTATTTGTCTATATATTATTTCTTAAACATTATATTACTTTAAAAGTCACTTTGTTAAACTCTAGAGTTGAATTTTCAACATTAAAAATGGACAGAGCAGAGATCAACATCCAATAACTGCAAATAAATGTAAAAACTAGGTTTAAAATAGCTCCTGCATCCAGTGTGTTAATACTTCCATACTTTATTCCACTATATGTCAACACATGTATCGTAATAACTTGACTTATTAAAACTAAGCGAACGGTTTTTAGCAGGGCTGATTTGTATCTGTGTGTTTGTGTGTATACAGTCCACCGCTCACCTGCAGAACCAGTCCGTCCATCAGAGCCGCGTATCTGGACGGATCTCTGGCTACATTCGCTAGTCGCTGACGTGCGTCGTTTAGTAAATCCTGAAAAACGTTGTACAGTATAAACACACAATATTTACCATAGTATATCAAGCTGGCACAAATAGAGAAGAGGAACTGACCGCAATCATGTCATCTCTGGCCTTCAGGACCTTCAGTCTGGCCTGATTCATCAGGTTGGACATTTGACTACGGATAAAAAGACACAATTAAGACATTATTATAGACTTATGATGATTTTCATTATATATCATGAACAAATCTGATATCATGGCCCTTTGAAATATAGTGAATATTAATTTATTATTTAAACTTTTAGACTGCTTTCGAAGAATATTTAATGTATGTGCAGTGCTGTTTATAATTAACATTGCAATACGGCTCCAATAATTAACCTTTATTAAAAAAGTACAAATGCTTTTATTAATCATGTTAATTTTTTAGCTAATGCATGATAACAAGCTAAAATTTAAGCTGTTATCTGATTACAAGTCATTATCTTTATAAACGGAGCTAATAACTAATAAAATAAAGATGCATTATTATTTTTAAATTAGTATCAACATAATAATTGTAATAAATCTGGCTATTTCGTCATAAAATAAAGATGCATTATTATTTTTAAATTAGTATTAACATAATAATTGTAATAAATCTGGCTATTTGGCTATTATTTAAATATTTCAGTGTTTAAAAATTACAAGTAAATTTTGAAAAAGTGACTTTTATTGTCATTTTTAATAGTGTAAAGTGCTATATTGTTTGGGTTGGTGTTGTATATTACGGTGCAATAACCTTGTAATAAACTCCCAATACATTTTCGGTTATTCGACTTACTTCTCTGTTATTTCTTAAAAATTATATCATTTCAAACTACTAAAATATCAACAAAAGTCACTTTGTTAAACCGTAGAGTTGAATGTACAACATCAAAAGTCATCAGAGCAGAGATCAACATCCCATAATGCAATTCACAACCGTAAATAAATCCAAAATACATCAAAATTGTTAATTAAAAGATCTATTTTGCAGTGTTGTTAGTTATGTATGGATTTAAAGTAGCTCTTATTATTAATCTTGAACAATCACAAATGAGTACATGATCTGAAGCGGCTAGGAATGAGTCAGAGATTTTGAGGAAACTGGGAGTTTCTGCAGGGAGGAAGTCACGCTCACATTTTCTTCTGCTGTTCGATCTGTTTCTCCTTCTTTTCGTAATACTCCATGATCTTCAAGCGCTGGGTCTGAACCAGTCGACCTTTCTCAATGTTAAACTCCTCCTCCGCCTGCAAGGAAAGTCACTTATTATAATATCATAATCTAATTTAGTGCATAAGTTAAAGCTCAATGTTTAATCTGAAATATTACCTTGGCGTCTATCTCCTCGGCTTTTTCATTGGCCTCCTGCTCAATGAAAGCCATCATGTGCTTGATCTAAAAAGACGTTGAAGAAAAAAGATAATGTTGCTTAATAAAATGGCTTTGATTGGTCCTGAAATTAATTTTATAAAATGGGTTATTTAAAAAAAAAGTCATTTTAAAAACATAGAAAGCATATTATATGAATGAAAAATGTGCAGTTTAATGTTTTAGATAATATAAAAATAGGTAAAGTAAGGTTAAGCATATATTTATGTAACATTTAAATGCATATTCTAGCCTCTACTTGATTAAATATGTAAAAAAATATAGCATTTTATTATATGCTAAATGATGTAAAACCATCAAATGACTATTTATGAATATTCATGAGCAGATTTTGTCTGTACATAGCCTACTTTAACAACGAATGACATTTAGGTGGCTTGTTTTCTTGTAAATGACTTTTAATATGCATATTATCCATGTTTTTTCATTATTTTACACACTTTCATGCACTAACGAATGAAAAAAAATCAAAGTTATATTACTAAATCTCTTCAATCTGATTATACAGTAGCACTAGGGGCTGTTTTTGTGGCTTATAACAAGAATGTGGAATGTATTTGCCTAGTGTGTGTGTTCAGAAAGCTTTAAGTCTGTTATTAAAGATAGATAATCATTCATATTACAAAATATGATTATCTAACGTTACACTCTGTCTTGTTGTTATTAATATTGCATACTATTATTCACAGATTTGATGCATTTGAACATTCTAAATTTGACATTGTTAATTATTTACGTACTCAATAGTCATCCTATGCAATATAATGTAATTTAAAATAATTTAATAAACGTGCTGCTATAATTATAATAGAGGCAGGTCTCGTGACAGACGCGCGTGTGTAATGAATAAATGACGAACAACCTTGAAGGCCTCGTCAGAACATCACGACACTCCTGTCAGGCTCGTATGAAATAATACATCGAGCAAAGCACTCTATTGTCAATTTTACTCTGTTATTAAGCTGCAGTGAAGGTAAAACAATACATTTTAAAGCGTTTTCACCTGTTTCTGGACGTCGGCATCGCTGAGCGCCATGACTGCAGATCCTGCTCCTGCTGCTTTAAGGGGATTTTAAACTCCGCCGAGAGATAAAGCTCGGTTTGCGGCAGAGGAAAGGCGTCTGCTTTGCAAATACAGCTCGAAAATAATCCTGAAAGCCTTTAGATTTTAAATTTACTCGAAAAGGGTTGATCGTGACAGTGTCAGAGCCGTGAAAATAGACTGGAGGGATCAGCTGATTCTCAGTCTACGATGACACAGACGTCACATGACGCGTATTTCCTCTATGGGAACCAATCAAATTGCAGTGCGCGTGCTTTATTTATTATAGCGGTTTGTGTCTAATACATTACAAAAAAACGATTTTATTTGCTTTTTGGGTTCCTTTTACAAAACATTTATGTATTTATTAACTAAAACTGTATCTGATTAGACTTTCCTCATTATCCACAAGAGGAAGTCGATGTGTCTTTGGTCTCAACACATACTGTATTTACATTCAACATCATATGTCACCTAAAAAACAAGCAACACAAATAAATGTAGCATCATATATCTCACTTTAAAACATAACACAATTAACCCTAATTAACCCTAAATTGTTTTTTGAATGTCTCCTTGTTTATTTACTACATTTTATACATTTAATCAATTAGAATCTCTTTGCAGTTTTATAATTACTCATAAAATATACCAAAAAGTCTATGATATGATAAAAAAAATGGCCTTGATATTTACACGATGCCTCAGTGGTTAGTACTGTTCTCTTATTACATGAAGTTCGCTTATTCGAGACTTTATTCACTTTCAGATGAAAAAGGCATCAATGTCTATGCGTCTATCAGCGTTCCTCTATTTATTTATTTTTAACTGGCTTAATGTACACCTTACTTAACCCTAAATACAGATTTGGCCTATTGCCTTTTTTGGTTTGGAAATTAGTTTTATGTGTATGTATTTATGTGTGCATGTGTATATGTATGTATGTGTGTGTTTATATATATATATATATATATATAAATTAATGTAATTTTATTATTTTTTGTTTGTTTTAGTATATCTTTGTCATTACTGTTCAGTTTTTGTTTTTACTGACAATATTGTTGTTATTGCTGTCATTATTATTAATACTATTATTTAACAACTTGTATATTGGTTATTACATATATATCTACGCAGTTTGTTATATGCTGATTGTCTTCGGCATGTTTTTCTGTGTTAAAAAAATCCAAAATGAAAGAAATATTTGATGGGGAAAAAAAGGGATCAATGTTGCATCCTGCAGTGATTAATTACTTATTTAATTACTAATGTGAGATACAGAGACTAGGCCAAATATAGTCTAATAAAGATTTCTGAAAACTGAAAAAGTTTGCTTTTATACTGAAAACAGCAGTTTTTAGACATGTTCCTCTTCCTGATTAAAATAAATGTGACACATGCACTTATTCGGCTCCAATAAAAACAACAAAAATATTTATAACAATTCAAGATTTTAAAAAGGAAAGCAGAAATTGCACATTCGTATACCTTAAATGATATTCACTTTCGATCTTAAATAAGGTTTATAAGAATTAATAATAATAATAATAATTATAATAATTCTAATGTTTTTAAAAAGAAAAGCAGAATTTGCACATTTATACACTGTAAAAAATCCAGGTAGCCTTACATTTTTGAGCTGAATCAAATTAACCTTATGAGTCCATTGAACTTATATTAAATAAAAAATATAAATAAAACAGCTTAAAATAACAGCTTTTACAGACTTAAAATAGCTCACTTAACTTATAAAAATATGTTAGAACATGACTGGCATGGTTTAATAAGTTACAATAAACTAAAAACACATGTTGTTAGGACTAATTAATCATTTATTTTTTATAGTGTAGACACCGAATGCTATAATCACCTCTGTTCCATAAATAAAGTTTATTAAAAATATTCATTCATCATTTCATTCTTTTTCCTTCAGCTTAGACCCTTTATTTATCAGGGGTCGCCACAGTGGAATGAACCGCCAAATATCCAGCATCCAGAACATGCAAACTCCACACAGAAATGCCGGGGCTTGAACCAGCGACCTTCTTGCTGTGAGTGCTAACCATTGAGCCACCGTGCCTCATCCATTCCATTCATAATAAAATGACAGAAAGTATGCGTGCACGTTCTGATTGTCAAAGTTTAGTTTCAAACTGTGCAATGATGAAAGATATATCAAGGTAGACTCTGTCTTTTGCAAACAAAACTCACGTCAGGCACAGATCAATGAGTGGAGCAGATCAATGAGTCACGGCCCTGAGTATATCACAGTTGATGGCAGTTTTGACTGTCATGTCCCTGTGAGTATGTCAGATTTACTGGCATCGGGGAGGGGTTTGTGTGGGACTGGGAAAGGGAGGTGCTGAATTGCATTCTGTTGTAGCAATACTCAACCTCCAGTCTGCATTCATCTGCTGACTAAAGCCTGTGCTCAGACGAGGTAAGCTCTGTTTTCACTATAATTACTCATTCATTTCATTTAGTCTGGCATGAGGAGGTTACAGTTGTATACTGTATTCTGTGTGTGGTGGTTTGTCTTTAAGAGGACAGTGTTTTACTTTATTCCAGTTGGTGGGTAATATCCTTTGTGCATGTCCTTTATTGCATTACATTCATTATTGTGTGAGAGAATATGAGCTATTTTGGATATCTGCCATGTGAATGAACAGTTGTCATCTGCATCTTTTCCATTACTGTGTGTTTCATGTTAGGATAGGGTTATATGTGACTCTGGAGCAAAATATTAGCCTTATTAATGCATCGTATGGGTCAAAAATGTTGTTTTTTTTTTCTTTAATGCCAAAAATCATTCAAGATCATCTTCAATAAAGATGTTTTGTCAATTTCAAACTGTAAATATATCAAAACAACTTGTTTGATTAGTAATATGCATAATTAACAACTTACTTTCAAAAATTTAAAGGTGATTTTCTCAATATTTAGATTTTTTAGCACCCTCAGATTCCAGAATTCCCATAGTTGTATCTCAGATAAACATGGTCCTGTCCAAACAAATCCATGGAAAGCTTATTTATTCAGCTTCATTCCAATAATTGACCATTATGATTTGTGTTGCCCATATCTTTCATTTCTAATAGGCTGAAAGGTAATTATATCAGCTCATCTTATTGCATTAAATGATTACAGTGGATGTAAAATGAAAATGACTTGCATATAATGAAACATTCCTGCTAGTACTTTAATGTCTCTGATTGTGTTCTTTGTCAGAGGTCTCATAGTTAAAATGCACCATGTATTTCTTGCACATCTGATCCCTTTAAGCTCTTTGACCTTTGGTCTTGGCCATGGGCTTTAGTTTACTCTCTCTTCACAATCTGACTGTTGACGCTGCACATGTTTTCACTGTGACGTGACTTCTGCGCTGGTGCAAACTATTGTTTACCATCGTGTTTTATACTTCAACATGACTGGGTATTTAAAAAGCGAGTTATGATTCATTTGAATACGTCAGCAGGAGATTTATATTGTTTAATGGTAAGAGTTATCTAAAATGGTAAAAGTATCAATAGATTTCATTAATTTTCCTTCGCTTAGTGCCTGTATTTATCAGGGGTCGCCACAGCGGAATGAACCGCCAACTTATCCAGCATGTTTTACGCACCAGATGCTCTTCCAGATGCAACCCAGTACTGTTAAACAAATATCTAAATTTATATCTATATTTATTCCGTTTCATTCCATTTCATTTCGTTCTGTTCCGTTTTGTTCCGTTCCTAATACATTCTGTTTTATTCCGTTCTTATTCTATTCTGTTCCATTCCTATTCCGTTCCATTCCTTTTTGTTCCTATTGCGTTCCATTCCGTTTTGTTCCATTCCATTCTATTTCTGTTCTGTTCATTCCGTTCCATTCTATTCCTATTCTGTTCCATACTTTCCATTCTGTTTGTTCTGTTCCTATTTCATACCATACCATACCATACCATACCATACCTTACCTTACCTTACCTTACCTTACCTTTCTATTCCATTCCATTCCATTCCAATTCCATTTCTGTTCTATTCCGTTTCGTTTTTTGTTGTTGTTCCTATTCCGTTCCATTCCGTTCCGTTCTGTTTTGTTCCTATTCCGTTCCATTCCATTTCATTCAGTTTTGTTCCATTCCTATTCCATTCAGTTCGGTTCCATTCCGTTCTATTCCAATTCTGTTCCATTCCATACTTTCCATTCCATTCTGTCTGTTCCATTCCCATTCCATTTTGTTTTGTTCTGTCCCTTTGCGTTCCTATTCCATTCCATATCGAATCGTATTGTACCATATCAAATCCATACCTTACCATTCTAGTCTATTCCGTTCCATTCCTATTCCATTTCATTTAGTTTTGTTCTCTTCTGTTTCATTCCGTTCTGTTCCTATTCCATTCCTATTCTATTCTATTCTATTCTATTCTTTTGATGATTCTATTCTATTAGAAATGCTAACACTTTAAAAACATGCCAACAGTACAAATCATCATTCATGCTAGCAACTAATAAAGTAAAACCAAAAGCTACAATAAGTCATAGCATTGTGTACTTCTAGCAAGCATGTAATTTGTACTAAAACATCAAACAGGACAAAAACATGTAAGCAACATGATGCCAACAAGTTGCCATACTAGCTCATTCATGCACCCACATGCTCAACATGGCAGTGACATGCAAGTTCAAGCTGGTTCATGTAGCAACTATATTTATTAACACGCTAGTCATTAGACAAGACTCTTTCAGATCCTTGTCAGCAGGAGATTTATGAGTTCTTAGCTTGAAAAATGACGGTCATAAAAGAGTAAGTTTACATATGTGCATGTAAGTTGTGTGCTACGTGAACTAGATCCTGCCATGCTGTGTGAAATATCTGACATCCTCTGATCATGGGAACAGATGGAGATATATATAGGGTGCATATTCAGCCAGACATGTGCTTACTGGCCTATACATAGAGCAGAACATGAAGATATTAGGATGTTTGCAATTCTTTGTAATTTGCCATCCACACAGTTATGAAATGTTGCTGCGATCAAATTTCAAAGTTGGATGAAGTCAAGCCCTGTCCCATTATTTATACGTATCAGCTGACCTATTTCAATATACACTACCTGACAAAAGTCCTGTTGCTTATCCAAGTTTTAGGAACAACAAATAATAACTTGACTTCTAGTTGATCATTTGGTATCAAAAGTGGCTTATATAAAAGGCAAAGGCTTCTAGATTATGCTTATTATACCACAATAAAATATGATCATGCCTTGATTTTTAATGATTTAATTAGGACAGTAAGGTCTAACTTTGCTTAGACAAAAGTCTTTTCACTTAACAGAGGTAATGTCCAGTATAGAATATAAAGTCATGCTGCAATGGAAACAATAAATATTGTGTCTGACTTTATCATGAGCTTGAAGGACTGCATCCATATATCTCTGCAGTGACTCAAATCACTTATTAATAAAGTCATCTGGAATAGCAAAGAAAGCGTTCTTGCAGGACTCCCAGAGCTCATCAAGATCCTTTGGATTTATTTTCAATGCCTCCTCCAACTTACCCCAGACATGCTCAATAATGTTCATATCTGGTGACTGGGCTGGCCAAAACCTTCTTTGCTTTTAGGAACATTGATGTAGAGCAGGGGTGGCCAACCCTGTTCCTAGAGAGCCACCTTCCTGCAGATTTCAGTTGCTACCCATATCAAACACACCTGAACCAATTAATTAGGACCTGAACACCACGTGTTAATTACAGGCAGGTGTGTTTGATATGAGTTGCAACTGAAATCTGCAGGAAGGTGGCTCTCCAGGAACAGGGTTGGCCACACCTGATGTAGAGGCTGAAATATGAGCACAAATGTCTTGATACCTCAGGCTGTTGATGTTGCCATCCACTCTGCAGATCTCTCACACGCCCCCATACTGAATGTAACCCCAAACCATGATTTTTCCTTCACCAAACTTGACTGATTTCTGTTAGAACCTTGGGTCCATGTGTGTTCCAATAGGTCTTCTTACTACATCAGAGACAATATACACCTACATGACTGATTTAATCTTGTCTCTTATCTTTATAGGAATCACTGACCCTGTGAACATTACTACGATTTTAAAGAAGACTAAATCATCTTTCATCCTGTCTGAGGACAGGCAGTCTGTGGGGTCCGACCCTCCCCAGGATTTGGGGTCAGTCCACTGGCAGCCCACTAGCCTGGGTGAGTCCTGGGCGTCTGTAAGCAACATGGAGCCCGATCTCAGAAGTCTGGATACCAGTGAGATGTTTCTCCTGCAAGAGGACCACAGTGAAAACCACTCCTCCACCTCTGACATCATCAATCTGGAGGCGGAGCCACATGAAAGGGCGGAGTCAGATGATGAAGACCTCCAGTGCAGTGTTTTAAGCATTGATAAGGAGCTGGCGGAGATTGAAGCACGTGTCTTTTCTCCATGTGAATCAGATCTCAGGCCTCCACAAGCGGTGGAGCTTTTAATGTGTGTGGAGGAGCCAATAGTTCAGGAAATTGGGTCAGAAACAGCTGCTGAGCCAGTCTTCACGCACACGCCTCTTCTGTCTGAGCCTTTAGATTTTACCCTGGCTTCAGTTCCCATTCCTGAAATCATCTCGCAGGTTTTAGAGCATCTCCCACAGTCTGATGAATCAAATATCGCTGAATCTGATGCTCTGAGCGTGTCTCGCCATAACACAGCGTCTCCTGCAGAAGAGGTCACACCCAAGCCAGACTCCATTTCCAGCTCAGCTTTTGAACTTCCTGTGCTGCTGGTTGGTGGCGCCGCCCTGGTGGCGGTGGTGGGAGTGCTCACATACACCTTAAGTAGAAAATAGCACAACTGTGTGTCTTTTAAAAGTTTCAGTATTGTTCAACAACTCAACAAACTGTATGGTTGATAACTTGATTTACAAAAATACAATGTTATTATTAAAGATCACTTGTCTTATTTTGGTTTTTTTACATACAAATACATATAGCAGTGAGTAAATCTCATGTGTGGAGTTTGCATGTTCTCCCTGCGTTCGCGTGGGTTTCTTCCGGGTGCTCTGGTTTCCCCCACAGTCCAAAGACATGCGGTACAGGTGAATTGGGTAGGCTAAATTGTCCGTAGTGTGTGTGTGTGGGGATGTGTGTGTGTGTGTGTGTGCGTATGTTTCCCTGAGATGTTTTGTGGCTGGAAGGGCATCCGCTGCATAAAAATGTGCTGGATAAGTTGGCGATTCATTCCGCTGTGGCGACCCTGGATTAATAACGGGACTAAGCCGAAAAGAAAATAAACGAATGAATGAACATACAGTTTAGTTCAAACAATTTAAACTTCACACAAAAACACCAACTGGCTCAGCCAGGACTCGAACCAGCGACCTTCTTGCTGTAAGGGTACAGTGCTAACCACTGAGCCACCATGCCACCTTAATTTTCAAAATATTGTATATATGGCAGCTTATATATATATATGTATCTCTCTTTCTACAATATTTTGTATGGTGAGAGTTAAACAAATATATTTTTAAACATAAACTAAATGTTTTTTTACTATACAAATAACTACAATAATATTATAATAATGTACTGTTATGTAATAATAATAATAAAATCACAGAATTAACTATCCATCATGGAGCAGTCCTTTTTCCTCATAAACGCAAAGTTTTAAATTAACTTTAAGAAAACTAATAATTTAAAATGTAGAGATTGCATTAACTTAAAATGTCATTTAATGTAAATTTAAATGAAATAAAAGTAGACAGGGTGCATTTCCAGACTTGGGGCCCCTGGCTGGAATTGCTTAGAGCCCCAAAGCTACCATATACTGATAACCTCAGCCTTTATCTTTAGTCATTTATCAAACGATTTACAATACAACATAAAATATATAAGTATAAAATATTATAAGTGAATTAATTAATTAATAATCGATTAGTAAAAATAAGTAATATTGACTTCAGTAAGGAACCGCTCCGCCGGCAGATGGCAGTATGATTGTCATTATTGACTGAGGCAGGAGAGCGAGTGAAGGAATCGTGTACGGAAGTATTTCCCAACATTTCTTTTCTTTAATTAAACCCTCAAGCTTTCCAAAATGACCAGAACAAGGACCGTAAAGAAAGAGAAAATAAGTGTGGCGAGTGAGGTAAATGTCGTTTGTACATTTATGACGTGTTATGAAACGCTTGACAGATGTATAGTATAACGTTACACAGCAATTTACCAGAAATATACAAAACAATGCAACTTTTAAAGTCTTCATGACAGGATAATTTCTCTGTCAAATGTCTGTTCTGCTATATATTGTAATATAATAATATTAACGTCTTAATTTACAATGTTTTTAAAGATTGACCGCGTAGAAGAGCGTAAATTGCAGTGTAAAAACAGCCTGGAGCGGGCAGAGTTCAGAAAGAGGAAACAGCAGCTCTCAGACGACGACAGGTGATTTATTTACACCATCAGAAACGCATTGCAGCATTTTAGACTTCATTTTATTTGCTGGATCATTTTGATTTGCTCTCAGGCTGGCTCTGGAAGATGAGATGACCATACTGAATGAACGAGTAGAGAAATACGGTGAGTCTGATTCATGGTTGGTGGTGTAAAATTCATGTACTAATTGTTTTTGTACATTTTGTAATGTATAATTCACATTAGGGTTGAACATTGTATCATTTGAGCATCGATGTGTGTATCAACAATAGTCATATATAAAGAAATTACTCTTCATTCATTCATTTTCCTTCGGCTGGTCCTTTAATTAATCTGGGGTCACCACAGCGGAATGAACCGCCAACTTATCCAGCATATGTTTTACACAGCAGATGCCCTTCCTGCTGCAACTAGTACTGGAAAACATCCATACACACTCATTCACACACATACACTACTGCCAATTTAGTTTATTCAATTCACCTATAGCGCATGCGTTTGGACTGTGGGGGAAATCAGAGCACCCGGAGGAAACCCACGCTAACATAGGGAGAACATGCAAACTCAACACAGAAATGCCAACTGACCCAGCTGGGACTAGAACCAGTGAATTTCTTGCTATAAGGCGACAGTGCTAACCACTGAGCCATTGTGCCGTCATAAAAACCTTATCGGTTCATTATTAAATTTAAGATGAGCATGTTATTTTGCATTTGATTGTTCAATGTCTGAACTCGAATACTCTTAGACTCTCCAGGAAACCATAAAGCACTGTTTATTTATTTATTTTTGCTTGTAATTTATTATAATTTATGCAGATGCACTGCAAAGAGAAAGACATTGCAGATGATCTAAAAATTAATGAAATCTTTACAAATAGATCTGTTCAAGTTATTGTGTAATAAATTCTGTTTTTTTCTTTATTTTATTTCACAGAAAAGGATCTGCAGGTGCTGAGAGGAGAAAACCGGAGGAACATGATGCTGTCCGTCGCTCTGCTAGCCATCAGCGCTCTTTTCTACTACACATTTATATATTGAAGAGGTATTGTCTGTCATGTCAAACACAAAGTATGAGGAAACCAATATCCCCCTCTGGGTCCACTCATTATTCTGCTGTGGGAAACATTTGTTTATGCACAGATTTATGAATCTGTCATTTAAATCATGAATGCATTATGCCATCATCATCATGGCATGTTGGATTGTCTGAACACGGCTTTCTGTCTGTGGTCTATAGCAGAGATCTTGGTGCTTGCTTGGTGATCGAGGAAAGACACAGATTGGGGGTTTTATTTATGCGTATATGCTGGTCAAAGATGCATTAAATTAAATAATAAAAGACATGTTACATACATAAACATAAGTGTCTACTTTAAAAATGTTCAAATGCATTTTGTGAAAAACATATCTGGGTAAAGTAAGGTATAAAAATGCATGGTCATTCAGTGTAATGTACTTTCATTAACCTTTATAGCATTATTATTTTAGGCAAATCATTGTATAAAGAGGGTTTGTTCAGTAGACAATTGAAAGAGAAAAATTTCTTGAACTAATAATCGTGTCCTTAAAACAGTTTTAAAAATAAATTAACTGCTTTTATTCTAGCCGAAATAATACAAATAATTTCTACTGAAGAAAAAATATTGTGGGAAATACTGTGAAATTTTACTTGCTCATCACTTGGGAAATATTTGAAGAAGAAAAACATCCACTGCAGGGTGAATAATTTTGACTTCAACTGCACAGTGGGTATGGAAAGTATTCAGACTGGAGAAGAGCCTTTGTGAGAGGTAAAGAAGACACCAAAGATCACTGTCGTTGAGCTCCAGAGATGCAGTCCGGAGATGGGAGAAAGTTGCATAGTCATCCATCACTGCAGACCTCCTCCAGTGGGGGCTTAATGGCAGAGTGGCCTGACAGAAGCCTCTCCTCAGTGCATGACGCATGGAGTTTACTAAAATGGTGAGAAATAAGATTATTTGGTCTGATGAGACCAAGATAGAACGTTTTGGCCTTAATTCTAAGTGGTATGTGTGGAGACAACCAGGAACTGCTCACCACCTGTCCAGTCTCAACAGTGAAGCATGGTGGTGGGAGCATCATGCTGTGGGGGTGTTTTTCATCTGCATGGATAGGACGACTGGTTGCAAGTAAGGGAAAGATGAATGCGGCCAAGTACAGGAATATCCTGGATGAAAAACCTCTCCAGAGTGCTCAGGACCTCAGACTGGGCTGTAAGTTTATGGAGTCAATCTAGTGCCATATACACTTGCAAAATAAAAGAAAGTTTTGCAAACAAAAAATAAATAATATGAATATTTTCAATAATTAATTTTTTGAGAAATAAAAATGAAATTTGCAAACGTAAAAAGAACTGCAAAAAACTCAAGTATTTGCATTTAAAGAAAAAATTTTTTTATATATGAGCAATTTCATGCAAATGTCAACCTTGCCATGAAAAAAAAACTTTTCACCAAAATGCGGAACTAGTTTCTTACTTTTTTGTGTAAGTGTTTTACAGTACTTTAAAAATACACAAAAATGCATCTGTCAATGTTTTAAAACAATTATATTTCATTTACCAACGACACACAAGTGGCTATTTCACATCTGTCATATCCATAACGGAGAGACGTCACATCCATAACAGCACTTTTTCCTCATAAAAGCAAAACTATTAAATCAAATCAATAATTTTAGTTTTATAGTGAGACAGCTCTTTTTCTTTTGATTAGCATTATTTCTTCTTTTTTAAGTATGTTGTATACTGTAAACTTTTGTATTGTACTGTACTGAATACTGCAAGACTTTTTTGGTCACATCCATAACACAGGTTTATTCTCATCAATTAAAGTGCAAAACACGTTTACAGATTGGTGAGTTAAAAAATATAAACAGATGTTTCAATATAACATTAACATATGCTTTCTATGTGAATTTATGTTTTGAATTTTGACTGCAAACATCACATCCATAACGCTGGAATTGCTTAAATATATATTTGCAAGACATTTTTATAGCATTGCCTTTTTAAAACTTGTCAATTGCAGTGCTCATTTTGATTTGCTTTTTAATCAACTGAGAGTTTGTGATGCTGTTTTCATTTTGCACTTCTGGGCGTTTCACTTTGTGGCCCTGATTTGACAAGGGTGCGGAGTCAAAGGAACTTGGGCGTTTACGGTAAGCCCTGACCTGCTTCCATTTAAAGACGCCATCACCTGGAGGCACTTTTTTTTTAATTGCAAATAATTTATTTATTTTATTATATATTTATTTTGCACTGCTTGATTTTTATGTGCGGTTCTTTTTTTGTTTTTAACTTTTATTTCTCAAAACTGAATTTTCCCTTTGCAGTTCTTTATTTTTATTAGCAAAATTAACTTTAATTCTCAAAAAAATGTTTTCGAATTGCAATTTTTATAAATGTGCATTTAGTCATATTATTTTTTGCTTAATACTTTATTTTTTGTCAGAAAAACTTTCTTTTGTTTTGCAAGTATATATGGCCCTAGATTGACTCCATCAAGGTTTCCTTCTACCTTCTAAAACTGGACTGACACATTTTCAATTTACTTAAACTCCTGTGTGAAGCTGCTTTGACACAATCTACATTGTAAAAGCACTATTGAAATAAACATAGATTGAATTAAATAACAAGACAATGACCTAAACGCACCGCTAAGATAACAAAGGAGTGGCTTCACAACAACTCTGTGACTTTTTTTTAATGGCACAGTCAGAACCCTGAGCTAAACCCAATTGAGCATCTCTAGAGAGACCTACAAATGGCTGTCGACCAACGTTTACCATCCAACCTGAGCATCTGCAAGGAGGAATGACAGAGAATCCCACAAAAAAAGGTGTGAAAAGATTCATGGCTGTATAAGATCAAAAGGGTTCTTCTACTAAATACTAAGCAAAGGGTCTGAATAGCTAGGACCATGTATTATTTCATTATTTCAATTTTTACTAAATCTGCAAAAATGTCAATGACTCTGTGTTTTTTTCTGTCAATATGGGGTGCTGTGTGCATATTAATGTATGACGTGGGTATTGAGAACTCGGGACGAACTGCTTCTTAACGCATGGGAGAGGAAGATCCTAAGGAGGATTTAGGGACTAAAGTGTGACCAAGGTGAATGGCGCATAAGGAATAATGCAGAAGTGGCAGACATGTATGCGAAGCAAAGCCTGGTCACGGAAATAACGAGGAACCGTATAAGATGGCTGGACCATTTCCTCCGAACACCTCCGAACAAAGAGCATACAAGCTGTAACTAGAAGGAAGGAGACGTGGTTAGATGATGTAGAAGATCTTCTCTACGTACCCTGAGAGTGCATGCCTGAAGAATGCAGGCTTTGGATCGGGAAGGCTGGAGAGGAGTGGTGGAAGAGGCCAGGGCTCTACACGGGCCGTAGTGCCGCAGGAAGAAGAAGAACTGTGTATATTAAAAAACTAACTTAAATGATTTTAGCAAATGGGCGAAGCAGTGGCGCAGTAGGTAGTGCTGTAGCCTCACAGCAAAAAGGTCGCTGGTTCGAGCCTCGGCTCAGTTGGCGTTTCTGTGTGGAGTTTGCATGTTCTCCCTGCGTTCGCGTGGGTTTCCTCCGGGTTTTCTGGTTTCCCAGAAAATGTATTCTGTAAAGCATGTGAACAGGACACATTTTAATGCATAGAGAAATATTAAACTGCATTAATGTTTATTTTCAGCTCATTGTGAAATCCTTTACCCAATAATGACTCAATGGCGTTTTCTCCAGATCACTGTTTATTGCATTTCAACAGGACTAACATGCACAAAGGTGGAAGGGCAGAGGGTGTTAATCCATCCAAAAATAAATTAATCGAACAAAAATGTTCAATTAAAATAAAATAAAAATCAGCCATCGATAAAATGCAACACTGTCCCGTTAAAACTGCTGTCTGTCCCTTTATAATCCTGGATACTTGCAGCGAACAGAACCGGTAGTACACTCACTTTGCAATACATCAAAAACACCAGTTATACTGAGTCCTGAATGAAGTTTGCTGCTGATAGAATTGGATCTGGCTCAATCGCGTCCCGTTCACACAACAGAAGAATAACATGCTGTGATAATAATAATATACATACTAGCAGGACTGGATCGCCGCCTTGCGATCATGTACACAGACTTTTTCCTGTACAAATGGGATTTTACCAACTAGCCATGTAGTATGTAAAGTAAACGTCTGACATAACTAAAATATATTCCAACTTTTTTTTTTTTTTTTATCTCAAAATAAAGACTAAGGATATTCAAAAAACAATCCGTCATTTAAAATATTCTAAAATGCATATGTAGTTTCATCAGATATAGTCACATGTTGCATGTAACTCACAATCAATAGAGATACGAAAAGAAGAATCAAATCAGGGCGTTGATTAAAAACAATGCGTGAGACCCTATCGTAATACGCGGATATTGTTCCCACGGAAGATAAAAGATTGTTAATACTCGACTGATGATGACACAGACTGGCCCAGTGATATTTACCACAGCAAAAAAAAAAACATTTTCCACAGAAAACGTCACACTTTTTTGATTTGATTTTTCCCACGGTAAGCGAGTGAGGAGAAATGAATGCACATCTATCAATTAAGAGTTCTGCAGACGCATGATCAATAATGCATCTGCCGTTACTCTTCATGTCATTATCATTTTTTTTAAATATATAGATCTGAAGTAACTGAGAACATTGAAATACAAACACACGTACACACGTACTTAGTCACGGTCACGGTTTGTGCTACAACAACAGGGAGGGAGGGAGAGATGGGAAAGAGAGAGAGAAAGTCAGACTGGTGGCCCTAAATATGATGAATGGAAGATTTAGAGAGAGAGAGAGAGAGAGAGAGAGAGAGAGAGAACGCACATCTGATCCATCAGGGCTGCACAAGAAGTGTGACATCTGCAATAGAAAAAAACAACAACAACAAAGAGCTCTTAGCATTTTGTTGTATAGCAATAGAACTGAGCACTTTAATTCTCATAACTGTATGCATTTACACACCTGTCAAAATTTTAAATAATTACGAGTTTCATGTTTTTAAAGAAGACATTTTGCAAGAGGCTGCATTTGAAGCTCCATAAATAGAAATAACCTTGGTTTAACGTCTCATCCAAAAGACAGCGCGCACTAAGCAGTATAGAGTCCCCTTCACTATACTGGGGTGTTAGGACCCACACAGACTTCAGGTTGAGTGCCCCCTGCTGGCCTCACTAACACCATTACCGGCAGCAACCTAGCTTTCTCATATGGTGCCAAATCCTGGTACTGACCGGGTGCAGCTCTGCTTAGCTTCAGTGTGAGAGTTGCAGAGAGCTAGCTGCCAGCATGCAGCTTATGTTTTGCACCTGCTAGCATGCTGTTTCCAGCAGTATTATAAAAGGTGCAGTAGGTAATTGTCTTGAGAAAGTATTTCTGTTATGCTGATTGAAAGTCTTTTGCAATTCTTAAATTAAGTGGTCCAAATATTTAATCCTAATATTTTAATATATATTTTATATATTTTAATAATAATTTAATTTAATATTTAATCCTGTGGACGGTATAGGACCAAGCAATTGGGTCCAATCAAAATGTTCCTTCCAAACATTAATGATAGGCTGTCCTAGCTGCCTGTTAAAATATTTCATATTTGTGCACACTTGTTCATTGTGCATGTGCATGTTTTTTTTGTGCACTCTTTTTTTTTTTTTTTTTACATCATCAACTTGAGTATGGCAGGAAATTCAACCTAGCCTGCTGGTTTTTTTAAGTTTAAGTCAAGTAAATTTAAGTTTGGTATTGTAATTAGTAACTATATTCAGGGGTGGATTTACCCAATAAGCAAGGTAAGCAGCCGCTTAGGACCCCAGGAAATCTGAGGGCCCCCAAATAAGTAAAAAATGATACTATAAAATCGAAATAACCTTGTTTTTTTATCATATTTTGTACGGTGAGGGTCTAAAAACTTAAATTTTAACATTATTATTACATCTGGGCAAATGTGTCCCCTACATTCAATAATGGGCCTGTCCAGCAGTCAAATCAGTAAAGATTTAGTTTTTAAAAACAAAGTAGAAATCTTTGGATATTATTAGGCAAGTCTCATATGCACAAGTGTAAATGATCCAAGTGGAAGCCTCTCCCATTTCAAGGCTGATCAAATGTTTTATTTTGATACTCTTGGAGGTCTTTCAAGTCGTAAAGCAACCAGAACTGTAAAACTTCCCAAACTCCAAAAATAGTTCATTTAGTATGTTTAGTTCGGAATTCATCCTAAGAAAACAAATCGCTTCAAAAGTTTTACAAGGTGCTTAACATGTGGTTGTTATTTTGCATTAAGATACAATGTAGGAAATGAGATCGAATAATATACGAACAAAACAGAAAAAAATGATGAAAAATTAAAGTACAAAAGGTGCATTTTAGATCTTTTGGGCCCCCGGCTGAAAATCCCTGACTATACTATACAGTTTACTCCCTGGTAAATGTTATGTGATGTTCTTTAGTGCTCGTGTATTCTATAGTCTTCGGTGGAATGTAAGATGTCAGTGTTCTCGGGCTAATCCTAGCATTTTTCAAGATCTCCTATCATCAGATGAAGAATGTCATTTAGTGTCGTCAAGCTAAACTCACAGCAGCTGCTCATCTACATGAAGTCTTTGATATTGAGGTCAGCGAGTGGGTCTTTAGGAGGCGGGGGCTTCCTGGGACTCTGGGCCATTCCTGGAGACATCTGTGGAGGAAACGCAAATAATTAAAGTATCTGTTAGTTAGGGCTGAGCGACATGACAAAAATCTGATATCATGATACAAGTCATCTCATAACTTTGATAGTGATGTAAATCACGTTATAGCACCATTTCTGTAAGTTCAATCAGTAGTTTATATATCATGATCACATGTAAACTATTTATTTTTTTGCATTTTAATGTACTGTCATAATTATTAGCCCTCCTTTGATTTTTATTCTTCTTTTTCAATCATTTCCCAAATGATGTTTAACAGAGCAAGGAATTTTTTCACAGTGTTTCCTATAATATTTTTTCTTCTGGAGAAAGTCTTATTGGTTTTATCTTTTTTTTATAAAAAAAAAAAACCAAGCATGCACACCTCATGAATAGGCGAGTGTAAAGTAGTGTGTTTTCAAGGATGATTGAAAAAAATCTGAATGATTCAATGTGTCTAATGTTATACGAGAGAGAGAGTTTCAGAGCCTCTGAGCCAGGGAAGAAAAAGCCTTGTCACCCATATGCGCAGATGAGTAGAGAGGACTGTTAAAAGACAGAGGTCACGTGAAAGGGAGTACCCTGTTCAAAGTTCGCCTATAGTGTGGAGCCAAACAATGCAGGACCTTGTACAGTTGAAGTCAGAATTATTAGCCCCCCTGTTTAATTTTTTTCCCCAATTTCTGTTTAATAAAGAGAAGATTTTTTTTCAACACATTTCTAAACATAATAGTTTTAATAACTTATTTCTAATAGCTAATTTATATTATATATTTATATATTATCAGTAAATAATATTTGACTAGATCTTTTGTGGATGTATATCTGAGTGTCATTAGCCTAAAGGTGGTACTTTACTTAATGTGCTGAAAAAAAATCTTCTCTTCGTTGAACAGAAATTAAGTAAATGATTATTATTATTATTATTATTATTATTATTATTATTATTATTATTATTATTATTATTATAACCATTATAACATTTACTTTACCAGGAAAGACACATTGAGATTAAAAATCTCTTTTACAAGAGCGTCCGGGCCAAGATTAGGCAGTATAGATGTCACATGGGTCTAACAGACAACAATAAAAAACAATTAACAGGTAACATGAATCACACTGACAAACTATTTAAAACATCTACAAACCTGTGTTTCAACTTCTAAATCTTTTATAGTCTTTTTAAAAGCATGCAGTGAAATCAATTCTTTGAACTGCAACTGTGTTTGCAGATTATTCCTTGCAAAAGGTGCTGCTTACTTAAAAAGCCTTTTTTTCCCCATCTTAGTCCGCACTTTAGGAACAGACAGTAAATAAACATCCTTTGACCGAAGACCATAGTTAAGAACAGGCTTTTTACAAATGTAATTGTGTAGATATGATGGGAGTAAACCCAGTATAGATATGTAAACAATGATATGACAGTGTTTGAGCCTATACGAATGGGCAGAGCAGACCAACCTACCCTAGTATACAGCACACAACGATGAGTAAGAGATTTAAAAGTAGTTATAAATCTTAGTGCACTATGGTAAACAGTATCCAATGTATGCAGACTCTGAGATGAAGCATGCATATTGATAACATCACCGTAGTCAAATATCGACATAAATGTTGCATCAACCAGCAGCTTTTTAGCATCAAAAAGGCAGTTCTTAATTCCAAAATACAAGCCTAAAATCACTTATTTTTTCATTTTTTTCTAAAAGAAAGTGTATCATCAATTAAATTTACAAGATATTTGTAATGGGACACCAATTCAATCTCTGCACCCAAAGACGTAGCAATAGGACCTAGCTTTTGCATGGTTTGTTTTGAATTTGAAAATGGCATAGGTTTTGTTTTATTGACATTTAAAACTAGTTTTAACTCAGATAAATTATGTTCAAGTACATTAAAAGCGATCCTGTAGTTGAGAAAGGGCCAGATTGGGTGTAGATGCAGCCGTGTATATGACTTTATCATCCGCAAAATATTGACAATTAGCATTTTTGATAAATATACAGGAGGACTAATACTTCTGACTTCAGCTGTATATATTTGCAGTCATGCAGAAAATCTTCATTATACAGCTAACTTAAATTTGGTTTATGAAGAAAATGGATACAAATTATTATGGTGAACTCCATTAACAGTGTGTAATCCTGCAATCGATGTATTGTTAAAAGAAAATACATCCTTTACATATGATCGAGTCTTTATAAAAAACTGTTTTATTTTCTATAATATATGAACTACCGGTTGTCCAGGGGCTCCTGCTGGAAACTGTGGCCTCACTGGTTGTTGAGCAGCCATCATCGGAGAGCCAGGCATCATGGGAGCAGCTCCTCCTGCAGGCTGTGGGTCACAGAGAGACACAGTAAGAGACGCAAACACACACATCTGCACAAACACACACATAAACACACACTCTTACCATGCCAAACGGTGACGGGGATCCCATGACAGGACAGACCCCGATAGTGGGAGTCTAAGTGGGTGGGAGGGACGAGGGGGGGGGAGGGTTAGCAACAAATGACACAGGACAACACTTGAACAAAATGACTCTTATGGGTGCGTCTCAATTCACTACTCAGTGCACTGATCAGGGAGTCAGGCATTTTAAGTTCGCTCCCTGAAAAGTCCCACAATGCACTGTGAAAATCAGAGTGCATTACAATAAATAAATACAAATTTCTGGTAACAATTTAGAGTGGCTCATTAGTTAATGTACTCTTTAACATTAATAAATGCTTTACAAAATTATTCATGCTTATGTAATGTTAGTAAATACATGAACTAATGGACTATTATTCTAAAGTGTAATCCAGAAATTTGTATTTATTTGTATTAAACATGAACAAGCATAGCTAGGCGGGCTAAGAACAAGCTAGCAAATAATTATCTATCTAAAAACTTTACATTATATTTACATTTTGTCATTTAGCAGATGCTTTTGTCCACAGCGACTTACTATTGAGGAGGCATTCAACAAGAAGAGGCAATACACACAACAAGTATTACACTTCAAAGGAACTGTTTGTGCTCAGAGAATTAAGTGCTAAGGTAAGTAAATTGTCTGTTAAATATATAGATTTTTTTTTATAGTTTATACAGGTGGTTTGTCAAGCCCACTCGCCTAAAGCACACTTCATAAATGCACAATGTTTTTTTTTTTTTAGAAATACAGTGATTGTAATAAACTGTCTGGTGCAAATGTGCAAACACTAATGCAAGTGTGAGTTAAAGTGTCAGAGAGATGAAAGAGTGTGTATTTTACAGGTGGTTTGTCAAGCCCACTCACCTGTGTGAGGCACACTCACAATTGCATAATGTTTTGGGGTTATCGTGTGGTGTGTAAATTTCACGCTTTAAATTTGAAATATGAAAAATATTAGTTCTGCTATTGTTTATATATTAAAGTTTTGATGCTTTGGCTGTGTCCCTAGTGTAGTGAACCAAGCGTATCATTGCTCTTACTAGTGCTCCAATTTGTGTACTGTACATGACCTACTGACCCAAAACTTCGGGAGCTAGGGAGCTGATTGAGACGCACCCTATGACATACACACACACACACACACACACAGAGAGAGAGAAGGGAATCTGAACACACTGGGTTTGGGGGTTAGCAGTCTGAGTTTAGTGAAAATTAAATGTGCATTAAAAAGAGAGAGAGAGGGAAGCGGCTGTCAAGCCAGATTTAAAGCTCTAAAGCAATACTAGCTACATTTACATGCACTCAAGCATCTGTATATTAATGCACAAATGGCCTAATTGACTGAAAAAACTTTGTGTAATCTCTTCAGTCATTGCAGTTAAACTCAATTCAAATATAAATCAGATTGGAACGGATGATATACACCTTATATAATCTGATCAATTAAAAAAAACTAAGCATGTAAACACTTGAATATGGCTATGATGTGAATAAAAGTCCAAAATACTTTATGCACATGCGCAGCGCCATGATGTGTGTTTATTTCAGCTAGATTGTCTACAAAACACACTATTGTGATACAATGACTTACCTAATTACCCTAACTTCCTAATTAACCTTAGTTAAGCCTTTAATTTAAAGTCGAATACTAGTATCTTGAAAAATATCTAGTCAAATATTATGTACTGTCATCATGGCGAAGATAAGAAATCATAAAAGAGAAAGCTCCGCCTCTTTAGTCCTGTTTACTGAGTTGATTGGAGCAGAGAGTGAGTCAGAGAGAAGCTTGTGATTGGCTCCACGCCATGCTGCTCAAAGCCATGCGCCTCCACCCTCATGCTCCACATCTACAGAACAACACAACATTTACCATTGTAACGCCCCAGCTAGGGGTGGGTACCTGCGCTTGCCAGTTCGCCCCTCCTGCTGCTTCACCCCTATGAGAGAGAGACAGAAATAGAGGAGGGATGGATATGCATGAATGATTATTTTAAGAAGGCAAGAAAATATGGTGCAGTAAAGAGCAGGAAGTTATGTGTCTTACGGTTTCTGGTTCCCCATTCCCAAATCTGAAAGTACACAGAGGGATATTTTATTCTACAATCTTACAATGTGAAATTTGGCTCACATTTTTTTGTAACACTTAATGTACACTAGTTAATGTATTCACATCCCCATATCAGAAAAGGTTGTGACAGTATGGAAAACGCAAATAATAAAGAAAGTAGTGATTTCCAAATTTATTTTGACTTGGATTGCATGGCAGACAATACAACAGCATAATATATAACTTGTTTTTCGTGTTGTTGTTTTCTTTAAATCACACATATTCCAGTTTTGGATCTCGCAACACTTAAAAGACGCTTAGGGACTGAAGACACCAAGTGTTGAAGTGTTTCAAGTGTTTAAACAAGTCTTAACAGAATGGGCTCTTCATTTTTGCATTTTGGACTTCAAAATGCGCCACACATTCTCTATTGGAGACAGATCGGGACTGCAGGCAGGCCAGTCAAGAACCTGTATCCTCTTCCTCCACACCCAGGACATTGTAATGTGTGTAGAATTTGGTTTTGCGTTCTTTTTAAAAGATGCATGAGCGTGCCTGGAAAAGAAGGCAGTTTACTGTGCTCCAAAATCTTTATGTACTTTTCAGCATTAATGCTGCCATCGCAGAAGCGCAAATTACCTTTGTCATGGCCCATATTACGACAGACCCTTGCTTTTGGAGTTGTTGATGGTAACAGTCTAGATCAGGGGTGTCCAAACTCGGTCCTGGATGTCCAGTGTCCTGTAGATTTTAGCTCCAACTTGCCTCAGCACACCTGCCAGGTAGTTTCAAGTATACCTAGCAAGACCTTGATTGTCTTGTTCACGTGTGTTTGATTAGGGTTGGAGGTAAAATCTGCAGGACACTGGACCTCCAAGAACAAGTTTGGTAATCCCTGGTCTAGATGATTCTCTTCTTATTTTGTCCGGAGCACACGATCATCCATTTCCTCCAAAAAAGTACTTGAAATACTGATTTATCTGACCACACTACATGTTTCCACTGTGTGATGGTCCATCCCAGTCGATGGCGCTTCTGGACACTGTTAACATAGGGCTTCGTTTTGACACAGTAAAGTTTTAAGTGGCATTTGTGGATGTAACTATGTATTGTGGTACCGAACAAAGGTTTGCCAAAGTAGTCCGAAGCCCATTTGGTGATATGGCTTATAGATGAATGAGGATTCTTGATGCAGTGTCGCCTGAGGGATCGGAGATCGCCGTTCTTCAGCTTAGGCTTTCACCCTTGTCCTTTATGCGCTGAAATTTCTCCAGATTCTTTGAATCTTTTACTGATGTTCTGCACTGCTGAAAGTTAAATATCCATGTCTTCATATCTTTTTTGAGGAACATTGTTTTTAATCATTTTAATCATTTTCTCAGGTATTTGTTGACAAACTGGCGATCCTCGACTCATCTTTGCTCCTAAAGGACTAGACCTTTTTTGGATGCTGCTTTAGTACCAAATCATAATTAAAATTACTTGTTGACATCACCTGTTTTAAATCACATCATTATTTAACTAATGGACTTGATTACTTGCCCTAAAGTGCTCCCGCCCCAACCTTTTTTGGAGTGTAGGTCTGAATGACAGGAAAGGATTTATATTTACAAATGAAATCAAGTTGACCAGACAAAACATGAAATATTGTGTGTTCATGTTGTCTGCAACGAAATACAAGTCAAAGTCAATGTGGAAATCACTACTTTCTTTTTTTATTAGCGTTTTCCATACTGTCTCAACTTTTTCTGATTTGAGTTGTAAATACTTATGTTACCTAATAGACTATTATTCTAAACTGCTACCAAATAACCTTTACTTTTAAGATTAAGTATGATTTAGAAGTACACCATGGTAAAAGTGAATGCAAACGTACTGCCTGCCATGTTAGCCATAGCTGAGTCCAGGTCTCCTCCCATGGGTTTGACCGGTGAAGAGGCCATGGGTGAAGCTCCAGCGGCCTGAGGAGCCATAGCTGGCATGAGCACATCACCCAATCCATCGAACGCTTTTTTATGAGGAGCAAAGAGGAACATAGTGAGCTTCAGTCTGATTAACAGTACAAAAAGAAGATAATCTGAATGCTAGCAACCCTCATTCAGCGGATATCTCAATGGCAACTAGTACTAGAAATATCTAAAGATGAGAGCAGGAAGAAACAGGCCTGAGCGCTATCATCTAACAGTAGAGTCATAAAGCACACACACACACACACACTCAAAACCCACACATGAAATATTCATTAGATATCAACATCACTGAAAAATCTTAAATGTTGGACCTGCACTAGAAAAAAGTGCTTCATTGGATTTACTAATTTTATTGTAGAGTAAGTAGTTGCAAACAATTTATATGAGCTGAGTTTAAAAAAAACACATCATGTTGAAAATTGCTTAATATAATTTGTTTAAATTCAGCCCATATAAATTGTTTACAAATTGTTTAAATGAGTAAATCCAATGAATAATTTCTCTAAACTGAAAGGTTATATGTGTGGATGTATCCTGCTGGTGGAATTAGTCATCTACCATTTACTGTGGACTGAGTAATTCATTCAGTGCATCGTTTTGTGCTGCTTTAAAACATTGATTTTGCAAAAAAAGAGTTGATAAATGCATTTAATGTTGAATTCAGTACACTAAGCACATCAGAAATAGTCCTTGCTTACACGTGCAGTGTGAATCCTGTAACCTCTTAATATGTGCGCTGAAATCAAAACACGCCACTGCTTACGCATATTGTGATACAAGACTAAAATAACTGATGATACTGTAAACCTCTGTTCGCCACTTGATATGTGTTTGGCTATTTGTAAAGATGTTCTGTCACTAAATTGTTATTTTAATAAATAAATCTGCTTAATAAATCTGTGTTGTTCAAATGCACCAAAATATATGACCTATATTCACTGAGACATGGATAAATATATTCATTTTCAACATGGGATGTGCTCATTTTTGTAGAGCATTGTATGTCTACTTTCATTCATTCATTCATTCATTCATTCATTCGTCCACTCATCTTCATAGCTCATCTGAATTCACTATTCTGAAAAGGCAGCAATGCACTCTGGGATTGCAGCTAATGTAGGAGCATCAGAACTCACCAGCAGCACAGGAGGAAGCAAGCAATGACCCAAGAGCCAGATGAAGGGAAGGAGAGGAAGAAAATGAAGAAAAACAAACGATAAAGAAGAGGGAATTCGAACCATCGGAGGAGGAAATGGACGTGAACATGGTTAGGAAGAAGAGAGTGTCGTCAAGCAAAAGTGAATGAGCAGATGAGAGAAGAGAGAGAGAGCAGAGTTAAGCAGCAAGGCATTGGGAAGAAGTCTCAGTCTGTGTGATGCAGAGATGAAGATAAACCACAGATGTGTGAGAGAGAAACAGATGGAAACAACGCTGAGCTCAACATATCAAAAACACCACGTCTGAATATCTCACATCAGCACACACACACACACATCACTAACAACTGATGTTATCACACAAACAAATGTAGAAAGGAGTGTATGGACCAATTGTTTGCTATCATATAATATATAACATATAATGTTGACATTTGAGCACATTTGCTTTCCATCATTGATCTCAATGAGAATCTAAAATGTATGTAAAATGTAAATATAAATGCTTTTTAAAAAAGCCTGTAAAAGTGCTACAGTAAAAACAGTGACAGTAATATTCCTCAATATGTATGTACACTGCTTTAAAAAATAAAGGGAATACTTAAACAACACAATGTTACTCTAAGTGTTCCCTCTACTTTTTGAGCGGTACGATTGATAGACTTTAATTCACACCCCCTGATCCCATCCCCTGTCTATGCGTTTATGCCATGTGCTGGGTTTTTTCCCCCTGATCTCACACTGCCCTATTTTAATGACAGTCTGATGGGGGCTTTTCGTCTCCCTCTTCTCTAATGTATCTTATTTCCTCTAAAGCTACTTTTCATTGACCTGTTTTCCTCTGCAATGTGAATGTTTGTGTATGGTCAGGGGGTCCAATTTCACTGCATGTAAAAATGTACAGTCGAAGAATTTTTAGCCTGCTTAAATTATTCGCCCCCGCCTGTTTTTTCTGTTTAACGGAGAGCTGATCTTTTTCAGCACATTTCTAAACATAATAGTTTTAATAACTCATCTCTAATAACTGATTAATTTTATCTTTGCCATGATGACAGTAAATAATATTTGACTAGATATTTTTCAAGACACTTCTACACAGCTTAAAGTGACATTTAAAGGCTTAACTAGGTTAATTAGTTTAACTAGGCAGGTTAGGGTAATTAGGCAAGTTATTGTATAGCGATGGTTTGTTCTGTAGACTATCGAAAAAAAATTAGCTAAAAAGGGGCTAATAATATTATCCTTATAATGGTGTTTTAAAAAAAATAAAAACTGCTTTTATTCTTGCCGAAATTAAACAATAAAGATATTCTCCTGAAGGAAAAAATATTATCAGGCACACTGAAAATTTCCTTGCTCTGTTAAACATCATTTAGAAAATATTTAAAAAAGAAAAAAATTCAAAGGGGGACTTCAACGGCATGTGACATAAAGGCTTTTCATCATCATCATCATCATCAATTGACTTTTCTACAATTTCCTGCAATATGATTCTTTTTATTATTATTTTTCTTAGCTGTAATGCACATTGGAGTTTTATGCTACATCTAATGTTGATAAATAATGTTTATTGCTTTCATTTAATTTGATATGTGTTAGGCTGATGGTGTTTAGTAGTTGTGTGAATGACACAGAGCGTATTATTAATATGTTTCTCTGCTGGTTGGAAAGGTTTATTGTGATGCGCTTTGGTTCACTATATGCATTCCTCATCCACACATGCTTATGTTTGTGTTTTTGTCTGTCTAACAAATGTATTGGACTCTATTTTACCAATCTTAGTGCAAAGTCTAAAGTGAATGGCATAAAAGCAGTGCATGCTCAAATCTGCGTTTGCTATTTTAAGGATGGAAAAAAATGGTCTGCGCACCAGTGCATGGTCTAAAAGGTTTGTCCTTATTAAGTGAAGTTTCACAGACTAATATGAGAGGAGCACATGATATGGTTAATTGCGGCTGGTCTCTCACCCATAATGTTTAGTAAGTCAATCGGATCAATCCAAACTCACTAAATAGCCTGTTTGGTATTGCTCCCTTTTCTTTGTTTTTTTGATTAACCACCCCATCTCCCCTTATTCCTCCTTTACCAGGGGGAGCTTTTAAGACCTACCCGATCTCGTACCCCCTTACATGCTCATCGACCAGAAGGGAGCCCTGGGCTCAATTATCTCTGAGCTCAGGGTTCTCACCTGGGACAGCATGCAAAACCTGCTAATATTATCAAGCAATATCTAAGTGTGAACTCTTGAAACCAGTCTCATCGCCAATTCCCTTTAACAGTCAGTTGTGTCATGCCATGGCGCATTTGCTATTTACATGGCCGACTTTGTAAGCAGAAACTCTGAACGCTTTACTAGCAGGAAAATTGCTTAAGAGCATCTACGGCATGAGCCTTTACTATTTGGCTACGTGGTGGATGCACTACACGTAGTTTGTCATATTTTTAAATATGTTTGTGTGTTGCTGTACATCCCTGTGTGTGTATTAAGCAACGTGTTTGCATGTTTTGGAACCTCATGGGTGCGTAACACTACCATGTTCTTTAAATAACAAATAAAAACTCTGCATCTTTGACTTTAGAGCAGCTTTTAGTTGGCCAGTGGTGCAGACTATTTCCTCATATAGCACTGTGTCAACAACACCTGAACACACTCCCTTTTCAGACCAGCCTATGAGTGCACAGTGGTGCAAATGCATTTATAATTAAAACTGTGTGGTGCAAAACGTGAAAATGAAACCAGCGTCGGTCTGAAAATAGCAGAAAAAAAAACAACATTTGCGACCAGGACCAGTGGTGTGTAGTGTAAGTACTTGTGTAATACACTGGTGTAATTTATATAAACGCTGGTGTATTATATTATAAGTTAATGAATCACAGTAGTTTATTGTAAAATTTAGAAAAATGTTTTAGGATTTCTAACATTATTATTATTTTTTTTTTATAGTGTACTAATTTGAGGATTTGTCTTTTCTTAGGTGCACTTAAAAGTTGGACTTTGATGGTTACAAATGTGGCTTAAACACTGGACATAAATATGTGCACAATGAAAATGTCATGAAGATGTAGAGGGCTGCAGGTGACGTACCCGACATCAGATCTCCTCCTCCTGCTGCTGCTGCTGCAGCTGGTTTGGCCTCACTGGCACCCGCAGATTCTGCTCCATCCATGCATCCATGCAGCATGAAGGTAAAAGAGTTTATAATGAGCCAAAGCCATTACGCTGAGGGACAATAGCCCAGAGAGAGACAGAGAAACTTTATGTTGTCATTTTGGCATGCTTAGTCTTGTCCTTAATGTTCACAAAACTTAAAAAAACGTTCAGAGAATGTTTTAATATTTCAATGACAGAAATGGAACTTCAAGCAAACATTGTTAAAACATTTTGCAAGAGCAAATACTGTATATTAAAGCCAGAAATGTGCTTAGAAACAAACTCGCACACACAAGCAAACCTTTTTAAGAATTTCCACCTTTCTTGTCAGGTCAATAAATCCCTTTAAACCACTGTCCGTAGTTGATCGTCCAATAGAAAACCTGTATTTCCCCCCAAAAAAGACACTATCTACTTGATATTAAGATGCATACAAATGTGTTCTCCATCACTTTTGTAGGAGAGCTCACTGAGACACTGTGATTATTACTGAACCAGCTTCATTTCTGATTGTAATTATACAGTATTACAACCTTCTTTTTCTGATCTCACTCACAAATCATCCTATAATGACGCTGTGTTAGTCCGTAGACATACGTGCAATTGTTTATATTCATATATAGTATTAAAGCAATCCAGTCAGATGTGTTTTTAACTACCACTGGAACTGATCAAAAGTGGAAAAAACTAAAACTAACAATTGTTAAATTGATATAATATATAATAACCTTGGTCTACCTGTGGTAGGAATGATAATACATCTTAATACCAGGTGTAAAGAAACCACAGCAACTCTGAGCAAATCAGACGCCCATCATGCACACTGGGGTAGTTACCAACCCCCAAACAGGTCCAGATTTGCCCCACTGTCTGGCCAGCTCATGGGGGCAGATAAAGCAGGAGCAGGAGGGCCAAACACATCTGGAGCACAGGAAGGAGTTTAGTTCGCTACTTATTTAATGCTTATTTAAAGCAAACACTGTCAAGATTAAATATCTGAATCTGTATGAATATTTGTGTATCATAGATAGAGATTAATAAGAAAAGCCCAAGGGAAAAGCCTAAGGGATAATAGGCCCCTTTCACAAGATGTTTAACGGTCATCAGCATCTTAAATCAGTGAAAGTTTTTAATATTTAGATTTTTTTTTTTAAATGTGCGAACATTTATATTGATTTATGTATATATTATATTTACATCATCTTTGTAACTAAATACAAAAATAAAATACTTCTTATGCGAGCTGTTTCTAATGCAGCGTCTATGGAGCTAAGAGTAAGTCTGACATTATTCTCTCTTCTGGCTGCCGTTATCAGTCTCACACAATTTTTTCCTTTTCATGAAAGTCCTATTAACAAACATCGTGGAGTTTTTCTTTTAATATATTTGTTATTATAATATATTTGTTGTATTCTCCCATTCACTGCGCTCTAAGTTCACCAACTACGACGACTTCCGCTGCTGAGAAACCTGCAAATGTGAAAAGGGTCCATGTAACTAATAGGCCTTGGAAACACGTCAGGAGAAACACAGACAGAGAGGTGAAGGGATTGAAGGCCTGAGGGAGTGAGAGAAATTAAAGTGTTAGACGGTCAGTTCCTTCAGCTGCCTCAGGAGAGAAGCATATTAGGCTCACCTTGAGCAGTCAAGGACAGAATAGAGAGAAAACAATGTACACCCGAGGCAGGAATAAGATGCACTGCAGCGAGTACCTGCTGAAAACAAGTCTAGACTGGGGTTTGGGTCTGGTTTGGGAACAGATGAGTCTGGCATGGGATCGAAAAAACCTAAACACAACACAACATTTATGAACACAAACATAAAGAAATGATATTCCTATAATAAACAAATCAAACCAATTAAAATCTGGAAATGGGAAATAATCTCTATGTGTATTTCTCTTGTGTTTATGCTTTGCACAAATATCTAATGTGAAATTAAAAGGGGTTTTAAAGGCTTAGTTCAAGCAAACATGATAATTATGATATTAATTACTTATTACTTGTGTTGTTTTGATCACCTGAGACCTTCATTTATCTTCAAAACACAAATTAAGATATTTTAGATGAAATCCAGGAGCTCTCTAACCCTCTATATATGGTCCCGGGACAGAAAATGAACCCAAAACACTGTCAAAACATTCCATGTGGCTTCAACTTTAATCATATAAAGCTCCAAAACACTATTATGCACCAATAAAATGGTAAAAAATACTTTGTTCACTTTTGTCTTCTCTTCAGCAACAGGTTATTGTCCAATACACAATGTGTTGCACTTAGAATCAGCAGCGCAACATGCAAGCGTCATATTAACCATAGTAAACGCCTGCTTTAATTTGATGCCGAAGGCATTGGAAAGTCATTTAAAAAGAAAATTCTCAACAAAAGTGTTCCTGGAGCTCCGTATGAAGTTTATCGTTTTCTATTCTGAACTTTAAATGGCCAAAGAGCTCTCAGATTTCATCTAAAATATATTCATTTGTGTTACGAAGATAAATGAAGGTCTCTGAGGATCGAAACGGCACGAGTGTGAGTAATTAATATCAGAATTATCATATTTGCTTGAACTAAGCCTTTAAACCCAGTGTGAATTCAGATTGTGCAATTAAAGGTAGATTTTTTTCAATGAAGGTCTCAGGGGATTGAAATGGCATGAGGGTGAGAAAATAATAACATAATTTGTATTTTTGGGTGAACTAATCCTTTAACTCTTTCTTTAAAGCAGCAAAAAAAGAATAAACAGATAAAACTAATATGAAAAAGTTTGTTATTCCAGATTTTAAGAAGTGGGATGCTATACAGTAAACATCTAGCCTGTAAGAGATTATTTATTTATTTGGTTCTTTTGTTTTTTTTACCAGCAAACAGGTCTATCGTTGGGGCTGGGGAAGCAGTTGGTGCTACATTGCTGGTGTTGGTGGAGAGTGACTCCTGGACAGTAGAGGGCGCCACTGAACTAAAGAGAGAGTTACTGTCATCTACTGGCTGCATGGAGAACAAGTCCAACTGAGGGGAACTATCAGCAGTACCAGCCGCTGAAGCAAAGGGATCTACCGGCAGAAGAGGATTAACATTTGAAAACAACTTCCTGTTTGGGTAATTGGTCATATTCACCTTATATTACTTTATTTTTATGAATGTGCAAGACTTCCGATTAGATGCTACAGTAAATATCTAAATACACTGTAAAAAGACTATATTTGTATAGATAAAAAGCTTGAACAGTGGAAGTCTCGCACACTCAAGCTACAAGTTAACTTTTTACTCACTTTATAAATATATAAGAGTACACTTCCTGACAAAGGTCTTGTCGTCGATCCCAGTTGTAAGAGCGACAAATAATCATTTGACTTCTAGTTGATCATTTGTAAAAGTGTCAGAAGTGTCAATTTTTCAGATGAATCATCTGTTGAACTGCATCCCAATTATCAGACCTACTGGAACCCGCATGGACCCACGATTCTCACAGAAATCAGTCAAGTTTGGTGAAGGAAAAATCATGGTTTGTGGTTACATCCAGTATGGGGGCGTACGAGAGATGGATGGCAACATCAGCAGCCTGAGGTATCAAGACAATAGTGCTGCCCATTACATTACAGACCACAGGAGAGGGCAAATTATCCAGCAGGATAGTGCTCCTCATACTTCATCCTCCACATCAAAGCTCCTGTAAGGTCAAGGTGTTCCAGGATTGGCCAGCCCAGTCACTAGACATGAACATTATTGAGCATGTCTGGGGTAAAATGAAGGAGGAGGCTTTGAAGATGAATCCAAAGAATCCTGATGAACTCTGGGAGTCCTGCAAGAACGCTTTCTTTGACATTCCAGATGACTTTAATAAGTGATTTGAGTCATTGCAGAGATATATGGATGCAGTCCTCCAAGCTCATGGTAGTCATGCACACTATTCATTCTTTTTCCACTGCAGCATCGCTTTATATTCTATACTGGACAGTGGCTCTTCTAGTTTTAATGGCATCCTGGGCGAAACCACCCCAAACACCCCACCCCATCCCCCAAGAAATAAAGACACTATGTTGTTGACTTTATATATATATATATATATATATATATATATATATATATATATATATACATATATATATATATATATATATATATATATATATATATATATATATATATATATTTTATATATTTAAATATATATTTTAAATATATCTTAAATATATTTTAAATATATCTTAAAAATATTATAAATACATTTAAATATATTCATTTATTTTCAATAATTATAACTAAATTAAATTAGTTTATTATTATTATTATTATTATACAATTATTATTTTTAATAAATAACAGAAATCAATCCTAAATGGAACCGAAAAACTATGTAAAGACACAATTGGAGTAATATTGTAAGATTTTTGCATTAATAATAATTATAATATAAAAATACATTTTTTATAGAATTATCTATCTGTTGTCTTAGACCCGACTCATGGCCGAGAGTTCATGTTATGAAGTCTTAGTTACCTCCCTGACTAATTATTCCTTTTTTCTGCTTCATAGCCACCCTTAGTCAAAGTATCATCCTCATCACATGATATAAACTTTAGTTTTTTTGACTTGACGGTGTGCATGTACAGTAAACAACCGGGATCAGGAGAGCGCATGTAAGGCATGCAGCAATGGCTTTCTGCGCATATGCGTTAATATGTTTTTACCAGCGTTGTTTCGGTTGCACTTAAAGAATAACAAACTTGCTCGTGCAAAAGACACTAAGTGTTAATACCCCCTAACATCTTTAATCTGGGATAACCCCTTTAAATGAATATACTTGCATAAAGTAAATCTCATCTCAAAGCTGTTACTGGGGCACCTTTTTTAACGCCATCTCCCCATGCCGTCCCCAGGAAGATGCCACCCTGGGCGATGGCCCATACTGCCCATGGCTAAATCTGCCACTGATACCGGACATTATTTCTGTTCAAAGTTGAGACTTTTGTCCAAGCAAAGTCAGACTTTACTGTCCTAATAAATTAATTATAAATCAAGGCATGATCATATTTCATTTTGGTAAAATAAGCGTAATCTAGAGGCTTTTGCCTTTTACATAAGCCACTTCTGACACCAAATGATCAACCAGAAGTCAAGTTATTATTTGCTGTTCCTAAAACTTGTATAAGCAGCAAGACTTTAGTCAGGTAGTGTAGATGCTTCATATATGTACCCTTAAGATGAAACTTTAAAGAAGGAAGAATGAGAAAGAAAACTAGATAAACCTCTCTCTCTCTCATGGAAGCAGAATTAAAGCCGGTGGAAATTGAGCAGAAAACCAGCTCTGTCGGATATGTTGCGCATGTAACAAGTCAACATATGCCTCTGCCCTCCAGAGAACAGAACTTCAGTGTTCAAAGACGAGTGCCCTAGCAACACAGATAGCAATCTCCATGGCAACACCGATGCCAATTCAGAAAACTCAGCAGTGACCAGAGGAAGCTTCATTAGAGGCTGCAGGAGATGCTCGATGTGGTTCTTCAGTTCGGTCAATGAAAACACTCAGACGAACAAACACACACTCTCTTTCCTAATAGGCTGATATTGTATGCAGTGCTGTCACCCACCAGCTGGCGCGGTGCCATCGGCAGCAGGAGTAGGCGTGGACGCGGTGGCCCCGCCCTCTGCAGCAGCAGCTGTTTCAGGGGCCGCAAACATATCTGGAGCCCGAGGCCAAAGAGTTGACGTATAAAAGAAAGAGGAAAAAGAGAGAACAGGCAGCATAGAGAGACAGAGAGAGGAAGATGACAGACTTCAGTGTCATGCAAAGTTCAAAAGGAGAGACATTTCACAAGTAAATTACGCTGATTTACGTTTTTTTAGGCTAATTTTAAAAATCGCTAGTCTATGATCTGATCATTTTGGTTATATGGAGCATTCATAACTAGGCATGGGCCGGTATACGATTCTGATGGTATGATAACCTTGAATATAAATATCACGGTTTCACTGTATCACGGTATTGAGATTGCTGTTTTAAAATATATCCTTTTTAAATGTCTGAGAGAAAACTATTTTTCCCCCCTTTGTACGCAATATATTTTAATTTGGGAAACATTTAAAATATTTTGCAGCAGTAAACATGTCAGGTTAAATAATGAAAATGAATCATTGACTTCTGCTGTCTTCATTAGTTTTAAAAACCTTTTTTACAATTTAAAATGGCATCTTTGGAGATGCTTTCTGTTGAAACTGCAGAAATACTGCTGTCCTTAAATATATATATATATTTTTAAGTAAATAAAAAATATTACTCATAACTTAGGGTTGGTATTGCAGAAAACTTTGACGGTTTTAAAACCTTGACTTTTCCAGACCGTGGTATACTTTGAACACGGTTATCGTCCCATGCCTATTCATAACCCATTTCACTTTCATACTGTGGTGCAATGCCAGGTAAAACAGGAAAATCCAATTAAAGAAAGCAGATAGTAGCCTTCATAAGGCATTAAATATTTTAAAATAATGCAATTCAATCAGGTAAAATAAAGTTAAGATAATGGTGTAAGTTTTCTGAGGAGGTTGCAAGTAAAGGTTTCTGAGGATGATGCAAGTTACTGTTTTCATTTGGAATGTACATAAAGTTACTGACTTTTTTAAGAAGCAAATAAAATGTTAAAAAAAGGAAAAGTTCCAGTAAAATGTATGTACATATGATGATTTTTATAATGTATGTAAAATAATATTCTATTCATAGTGATATTTTAAAATTGATAATTTTATTCATAATATTCAAATTCTATTATAATTATTATATAAATATATATATATATATATGTGTGTGTGTGTGTGTATATAAATACACAGTTGAAGTCAGAATTATTGAATTTTATTATTTTATTTTATTATTTTCTAAAGGATGTTTAACAGAGCAAGAAAATGTTCACAGTATGTCTGATAATATTTTTTCTTCTGTAGAAAGTCTTATTGGTTTTATTCTGGCTAGAATTAATGCAGTTTTTAATTTTTCATTAACATTTTAAGGTCAAAATTATTCGCCTTTTTAAGGTACATTTTTTTTGGATTTTCTGCAGAAAAAAAAACATCATTATACAATAACTTGCCTAATTACCCTAACCTGCCTAGTTCACCTAATTAACCTAGTTAAGCCTTTAAATGTCACTTTAAGCTGTACAGAAGTGTCTTAAAAAATATCTAGTCAAATATTATTCACTGTCATCATGACAAAGATAAAATAAATCAGTTATTAGAGATGAGTTATTAAAAGATAAGAAATGTGTTTAAATCTCTCAGTTAAACAGAAATTGGGGGAAAAATATACAGGAGGGCTGATAATTCTGACTTCAACTGTATATGTTAGAAAGTAAAATGGGTCAGTTTTGATTTCATCTTGATGTTAAGCCTTCTGGCATTTGCTAACTTTAAAGCTGTAAATGAAAGCCGGATTAATCTTACTGTGCAGTCCATGAATGTGCACATAAGAATAATCAAAATGATTAAAATTCACGTGTAATTTTAATTCACAAGCATTGATGACAAACGAATGAAAAGCTGCAAAAGTGTGGCATGGGAGAAGATATAAAGCGGAAACAGAAATGAGGAGATTTCTAGATTTCTACAGCAGACACAAATGGTGGAGCGATGGTGACTACAGACTGCGCACAAATGTGATCACAAATGAAACAGCACAGATTATGATTCAGTTCTGGAATGTTTCTCTGCTTCTGAATGTGGCACAGCCTTTATCCCCAGAAAAAAATCTTCTTAAGGAAGAAAGCTCTCTACTGACCTCCGAGGAGATCCGCTGAGCCGGAGGAAGCACCGGCAGCGGAGGGAGGAGGAGCCAAAGAAACGGCTGCCTCTGCGACTGTGGTGGTGGGCGTGGCTGAGGAGGCGGAGTCTACGGCGGGGGTTGGGTCAGGAAGGAGAGTCTCTGTAGTAAGGGAACCTATTTCTGCATAGCCACGCCCCCAGCAAGCCAATATAAACAGCAGAAAATCAACATAAACAAGGAACCAAAGAAGAGGAAAAGAGCATAAGGGAGAGAGAGAGAGAGAGATTCTACTGAGCAAACACTAAGAGGAGAGGCTAAACGGGTGGCTAGGATTGCCATACATAGGACTGTCAGGCTGTAATTTCAATTTTCCAGATGAACTACAATGTTTAATCAAGTGAGTGAAACATTTAACACAGCAAATCACATGAAAACACACCAAATGAAAAGCCAGCAGTGCTTACCTGACCCCAGCAGATCTGATGTGACGGCGGCAAATTGCAAACAGAGGGAAAAAGATGCTTGGTTATTAAATGTGGTTAAACATTTATTGAGACAAGTGCATTAAAGCACAGGTGTCAAATCAAGTTCCTGGAGGGCAATATAAAATACAGTTTGTGCAGCTTTAAAACAACTGGATGTCCTATGGAATGTCCTCACAATTCACAAAAACAATCTGTGTGTCTCTCTTTGAGTGTGTGTGTGTGTGTGTGTATTTATGTATGTTTTAGCTTGTACCTCCCCAAGATGTGGGTGCTGCTGATGCTCCTCCCGACGGTCCAGAGGAAGACAGCGGGTCCAGATCCAGAAGAGAACTATGGTAAGATGGAGACACACACACTTTTATAAACTAATGACAGCTATGATGTGTTTTTCTGATTGTTTGTTTATCCTCAGGAGGTGTTCGTGTGGTCACTTGGATCACTGACTCGGTGGCAGTTTCAGCAGCAGGCGCGGCATCAGCACGCGGAGGCTCCAAAGTAGGAACGGCTGCACCGGATTTGGCAGGAGTGGAGGTTGGAGACACGTTATTGGTAGGCGATCCCTGAAACAACACAGAGCGACAGTTTGAGCATACAGTTGAAGTCAGAATTATTAGCCCTCCTGAATTATTAGCCCCCTTTAGAATTAATTAAGATTATTTTTTTCAACATATTTCTAAACATAATAGTTTTAATAACTCTGTTTGGGATGGTATACAGTTTGACCCAAAGAATGACCAGTCTGGTAGATGAAGAAGAGCCGGAGTCAGAGATTTATATTGAAGATAGTTTGCAGTTTCATCAGCAGAAGCCAGCTTCAATGCTCACAATGAGTTCCTAGGACGCTCTTCCTCATCTACCAGACCGGTCATTCTTTGGGTTAAACTGTATACCATCCCTACAGTTTGGTGGAGGACGCGTGGCATTTGTTTACTGGTAACACCATTGATCAATCAACAAAAAGAAAGGTAGGAAGATTTATAATATTATAGACTAGGGATTGTCTGTGAAGTAGTGGGTAGTAACGGAACGCTGTTGGGTTCTCATTCAGTGAATAAAAGGCATCAGTGGATTCACAAAATTTGTGGTAAATTTTTGTGGAATCCCATCGCAAGCTGATGTGTTTTGCGGCACACCAATAACGATACTGATACATATAACAGTAGTTGTGGGGTGTACCTCCTCCACCCAGAGTTAAGTACTCAGTTGATGGGTGTGTAAGAGGCTTTTTAGGACATTCTCGGGGATCAATTAACTGCTCCAGAATGCAGCAGCACGAGTGGTCTTCAATGAACCTAAACGAGCACATGTCACTCCGCTGCTAGTCCGTTTGCACTGGCTGCCAGTTGCTGCTAGCATCAAATTCAAAGCTCTGATGTTTGCCTACAAAGCGACCTCTGGCCTTGTTCCTTCTTATCTGCTCTCATTTCTGCAGATCTATGTGCCCTCCAGAAACTTGCGTACCGTGAATGAACGTCGCCTCGTGGTTCCATCCCAAAGAGGGAAGAAATCACTTTCGCGAACGCTCACGCTCAATCTGCCCAGTTGGTGGAATGAACTCCCTAACTTCATCAGAACAGCAGAGTCACTCGCTACTTTCAAGAAACGACTAAAAACTCAACTATTTAGTCTCCACTTCACTTCCTAATCTGCAATTGCCTCTTTGAATATCACACTAACTGTACAAAAAAAAAATACTAATACTACTAATACTTCCCTTCTTAGACTTTACAGACCTGAAACTTGCCTAAAGCACTTATTCATTGCTGCTCTTAGTTGTGTAAATTGCTTCCTTGTCCTCATTTGTAAGTCGCTTTGGATAAAAGCGTCTGCTAAATGACTAAATGTAAATGTAAATGTTAATAAAACTTGGACTGGTGTTTATTTAGTAGTGGACTAAATCAACCCCGAGATTGTAATTAGTTCCACCACTGCCATCTTGCTGTTTCACAGAAAAAAGGGCATGCCCGAATCTTAAGAAAAGAGTAGGTCAGCTTATTAGGGAAAGAAATAGTTGAATAAATAAATTAATAAATAAATTCTTAAATAACATCTTAATTGATATCCATTAGATAGTAGTGGCCACAAAAGTCAAACGGTATACCATCCCTACAACTCATTTCTAATAACTGATTTCTTTTCATCTTTTTCATGATGACAGTATGTAATACTTGACTAGATATTCTTCAAGATACTAGTATTCAGCTTAAAGTGATGTTTAAACTAAGTTAAGTGTAATTAGGCAAGTCATTGTATAAGGGTTGTTTATTCTGTAGACAATCGAAATTAAATATAGCTTAAGGGGGCTAATATTATTGACCTTAGAATGGTTTTAAAAAATTGCACACTGCTTTTATTCTAGCTGAAGTAAAATAAATAAGACTTTCTCTAGAAGAAAAAAAATTATTGGAAATAATGTGAAAAATTCCTTGCTCTATTTAACATCATTTGGCAAATGCGGAAGAAAATCAATTTACAGGAGGGCAAATAATTTCAACTTCAGCTGTATGTTAGTGATATCAATGACATTATAATGATTTTAACCCAGGGGTGTTCAAACTCAGTCCTGGAGGGCCGGCGTCCGGCAGATTTTAGCTCCAACTTGCTTCAACACACCTGCAAGAATGTTTCTAGAATGCCTAGTAAGAGCTTGATTAGCTAGCCTAGGTGTGTCTGATCAGGGTTGAAACTAAACTTTCCAGGACACCTGACTTCCAGGACCGAGTCTAGGCATCCCTGTTTTAAGCAAATAAAGTGCTTGCTTACCTTTGTGGGTGACCTGAAAGATAAACACAGATACAAGTGAACGGATGGTTTTAAATCAAAACAGCAAAAGGTCACACTTTATTATAAGGCAGTGGTTCTTAAAGTGGGGGTCAGGACCTCTTGGGGGGTCACAAGACAATAACAAGGGGTCGCTTGGTGATTTAGAAAAGTCAAATTAATTTTATTTAACTATCAGAATTGAAATATTTTAACCATAACCCATAGTAAAAAAACAACAACATGCAAATGAAAAGCCGTCAGCTTTAAAATATTTTTTGTTTATAGGATCGGTGTGTTTATGTTAGATTAACAACACAGCAACAGCGTCAGCGGAGGCAGATTGATTTTATAGCATCAGGTTAAACTTTCTGACACCTTTATGGCAGTCAAACACATTAAAAATAAATACACATCACAGCTGAATATTAAGAATGATCTTTGATTGGCGGTCTCCCAAATTAAACCAAGAATAGACTTGTGCTGAAAGCATTGTGTCCACATTGTGTCTCTTTAGGTGAGCTTAATATTAAATTTAAAAAATCCCTCTAAAAATGATATGGTTGGACTGTTGCACTTTTTTTGTGTGGTCAATATGCTCGCGTTTATTTAGGCCTATTGTTGTATGACTACGTTTGCATATTTCTAACCACCTAAGATGTATTTGGGAGTCGCAAGTGAATTCCACTGTTATTTTAGGGGTCGCAGGCTGAAGTGTTTGGGAGCCCCTGTTTTAAGCTATAGTTCCTACTATTAATAAATCAATAAGCACAATAAACTACTAATTTGTTGCTTATTAATAGTTAAGAAGGTAATAGTTGGGTTTAGGTATTAGATAGAATTATGAATGTAAAATAAGATCACACTTCATAAGTACTAATAAACAGACAATATAATAATAATTATAATGATAATAGTGTGACGCAGTGGCGCAGTAGGTAGTGCTGTCGCCTCACAGCAAGAAGGTCGCTGGTTCGAACCTCGGCTCTGCTCGGCTCAGTTGCATGAAAAAACGTGCTGGATAAGTTGGCGGTTCATTCCGCTGTGGCGACCCCGGATTAATAAAGAGACTAATCCGACAAGAAAATGAATGAATAATAATACTACTAATAATAAGCCAGTAGTTAATGGTGGGAATACTTCAAATGAAGTGTTACCAATCAAAATCTTCAGGAGTTTTTTAAATCTACTCACCCATCCCTAAGTAAATCCATGCGGGAAGAGAAAAGAAACATAGGATTAATATTAATGCACACACACTTTCTGATTTTTATATACAAAATTGGCAAAGACATGCAATGGTTATGTGTTTTGCTTTAATTATTTTTTATTAAAACACTTTAATTGGTGATGTAGTTACACATGCTCCATACACTTACTATAGTAACTACATTGAATTATGCATAATTACAAGCCCTAAACCTAACTCACACTCTAACCCCAAGCATATAGTTAGTACATGCAATTAATGAATACTACTCAATAATTATGAAATGACTAGTTATACTGTAAGTTGTACAATAAAGTGTAACCAGGTGCAGCTCATCTGCAAGGTTCAAGTGGATAGATACACAGAGAGTTTTTTTTTTTTTTTTTTTTTACAAATTTTATAACTCTTTGAATTATATATCTACATAACTACATATACATATATATAAAACATACATATCTATAACACCCTGACGTTTCCTTAATATCTATGTATTTTTTCTTACATTGTAATCTTTTTAAATGACAGTCTACCTTTAATTATCATACTGGTCAAAATGACTGCATGCATGTCTGCTGCTTTTCGCTGTGAAATTAAATATGCATGAATTTTTTGCCTAGCAACTTCCTGCTAACAAAAAACAAAACTTTCTGATAGCAAAAACAGAAATTTACTTCAGATATATCTTTTTTTTTAAAAACATCATATTCTGTGCTGTGAAACAGCTCCTGTTTGAAAGTGAAAATGAAAGTGAGGTCCAGACCTTTGCACGTGTTCTAGTATCTTAACTACATATTTATAGGCAGTATTATTAATTAACATAATACTTTTAGTGTAATGGTGTCATATAATATGATGACAGACATTCAAAACCTAATTTTAGTATCTCAATCGAAGCTTTGAATGTAAATATGATGTGACAATATGACAATCAGAATGAGCAGTCTGGCATTTCTAATAGTTATAGAATTCTAGTTTCAATATTAATATAGCCTACTCTCGTGTCTTTGTTAATGCAGAATGAAGCGAGTGCATCAACGCCCATTCTGGCCAATCACAGACATTTCTGTTGAGCCTACGCTGATATGCTCTCTCATAGGCTGCAGCTCGTAACCACATGTGGCGTCGAGTCGGCCATTTACTTTGGAACATTTAGCATGCTAATTATTGGATTTCCGTCTGCGAGGTGTTGGCGATGCTTCAGCGAGCCCCTTTGATGTGTTCTGTAGTAGTTCACTCATAAAGACTGCAGAGCGCCGAGCACCCCCAGATTTTTCCCCGATGATAGCCTGATCTGTCGGCGAGCTTGCTAACTTCCAAATAAGGCCCAAATCAGGCTTAAAATCCTGTAGTGTGAACTAAGCTTAAGTTAACTGTTTTTACAAACTTAAGTGCATTGAACATAAAGCAATTAAGTTGTCCCTTAGAAAAGCTCAAGAATTGTGTTGTTTCAGCTCATTTTAAAAAAGTAGTTTGAACAAGCAGTATAAATAATAGTTTTGAGTGGATCAAATGCAGATTGTTTTATGTCCCCTCCAACATTGATGAGTTTAGAGGTCTCCTACCCTTTCTTCCCTTCTAGACTGTTCATATGTGTCTCCAGTGACTCCAGAATACTGCTGGGTGCCTGACAGAATGAAGCACACATATCAGTGATGAGCAGCTCAAACATTTGATTTGAGTATCTCTTAAAGTTCCACTGCAAATCCAAACAATTAGAATAGCACATCAAAACCTGCTGAAAACCTTTGCTCAAACCACTGCAAAATCCACTCAAAAACCATGGGACAGTGCTGGACTTCAGTGCTTTGCCTTTTCCAGCTTCTGAATGAAAGGCTAATTGTGATGTGACCTCTTAGAAAAGCCAAGTCTGTATATAGTCTGTATAGTCATGTATATAAAAGCCAAGTCTCCTATATATATATATATATATATATATATATATAGCCCCCCTGTATTATTAGCGCCCCTGTTTATTTTTTCCCCCAATTTCTGTTAAATGGAGGGAAGATTGTTTCAACACAGTTCTAACCATAATAGTTTTAAAAACTTATTTCTAATAACTGATTTATTTTATCTTTGCCATGATAACAGTACATAATATTTCACTTGATATTTTTCAAGACACTTCTATACACCTTAAAGTGATATTTAAAGGCTTAACTAGGTTAATTAGGTTAACTAGGCAGGTTAGTGTAATTAGGCAAGTTATTGTATAACAATGGTTTGTTCTGTACACTATCGAAAAAAAAATTAGCTTAAAGAGGCTAATAATTTTGTCCCAAAAATGGCTATAAAAAATTTTAAAACTACTTTTATTCTTGCCGAAATAAAACAAATAAGACTTTCTCCAGAAGAAAAAATATTATCAGACATACTGTGAAAATTTCCTTGCCAAACATTGTTTGGGAAATATTTATAAAAGGAAAAAAAAATCAAAAGGGGCTAATAACTCTGACTTCAACTATATATATATATATATATATATATATATATATATATATTGTAATTTCTAAAGCAGCTCTAAATAGACAACCGTGTCATCATTATTCTGTCCAATACAGATTGTGTTGATTAAATTCAATAACCGTGTCAGTGTGTTGCAGGTCATGAATTATGAAACAACTTCAGCAGCAACTGCAGGGAAGACAATAGGGTAACACTGTACACTAAGGTCTCGTTTGTTAACATTAGCTAATGCTTTCATTAACATGAATTAACTTAGAGCAAGGTGTTTTTTTCACAGCAATGTTAGTTGATAAAATACACTATTATTACTTCATGTTAACAGATATCACCTTAGATTTTAATAATGTATTAGTAAATGCGCTAAATATTTTCAACCAAGATTAACAAGATGCTGTAGACATATTATTATGTGTTAGTTTGTGTTAACTAATGTAGTGCTCATTTGTTCCAGCTTTTAGGTGTTTGTGTTTTTATCCACTAGTGTCAGTACAGTCATATTTATAATATGTGAGACTGGACTACAAAACCAATATACATAGTCTGCATAGAACAAGATTTGTCAGAGATAATGCTGAAAAAAACGTATTAAAAATACTGAGAAAATCTCATTTAAAGTTCCCAGCAATGCATATTACCAATCAAAATTTGAGGTTTAATTAAGTTATAATTATATATAATTTAATTATATATATATATATATATATATATATATATATATATATATATATATATATATATATATATATATATATATATATATAAATTGCATATAATTAAATTATACATAATTTAATTATGTTATGGTAGTAAATATACAAAATATCTACATAAAACAATATCTTTACTTAATATTTTATTGATTTTGGCCATAAGAAAATCTATAATTTTAAATCATACAATGTATTTTGATTATAGCCATGGAAAATACCCGTGGAACATAAGGACTCGGGTCACATATGTTTTTATATGGTCTTTTAAAGGGATAGCTCACCCAAAAAAATATGAAGATTTGCTGTTACTCACTCTGTATGCCATTCAGAACATAGCTGACTTGAAAGTGAGTAAATACCAGCAAAATCTGAGATTTGAGCCTCCTGTAATTTTTTTTCTTTTTCAGATATTTCCCAAACGATGTTTAACAGAGCAAGGAATTTTTCACAGTATTTCCTATAATATATTTTTCTACTGGAGAAAGTCTGATTTGTTTTATTTCGGCTAGAATAAAGGCAGTTTTTAATTAAAAAACCATTTTGAGCTCGATATTATTAGCTCCAGCAATATATTTTCACTGTTATACAATGATATGCTTAATTACCCTAACTTACAGTACTTAATTAACCCAGTTAGGCCTTTGATAGTCACTTTAAGCTGAATAGAAGTATGTTGAAAAACATCTAGTCAACTATAATGAACTGTCTTCATGATAAAGATAAAAGAAATCAGCCATTGAGAAATGTGCTTCTCTGTTAAACAGTAATTAGGAAACAAATATAGAATTAAAATTTAATAAGAGGCCTAATAATTCTCAACTGTATATAAATCAGTAGTGTTTTGTGATTAAATAGCCCACATAAGAGATATTTCAGGTAAAAACAATGCACTGAGATGTACAGTTCACGGCGTCCCATATCAGCCTTAAGGTTACCGGCTCTTCGTTGCGGCAGTCTTTAAAGGGACAGTCTTCACTGTCTGAATCTGCTAGATCTGCAACTACGCCGGGATGCAGACACTGGGAATCCCCACAAGGAAAGCAATTATGGCGCTTAGTTAGCATGGATGAAAAGCTCTTTGACACTCACACAGATTTACTTCATTACTGTAAAAGCCTTGTAGACTGGGGTATAGTGTTTTCTCAACCATCGACATCTAGAAATCAATATTTGCCTTGATTTTTACTCTGCTTTTCTTCTAGTCAGGTAGAAATAAAACACATTGTCTTGTTTTCAGAAATAATATGTCAAAATTAATTGAGTTTTTCCTTTAAACAAGCTAAATAATCTCCCAACAGGGTGAGCAAAATAATACCATTTCAGAGCAGCAGCAACGTTATTTAATTTTAGGTTAATTTGCTCTGTTTAAGGAAAAACTCACTTCATTTCGACTCATTATTTCTGAAAACAAGACTATGTTTTACTTGTCTGGAAGATGCTTCTTGATTTAAAAAATGTTTAGACTTCAGGACTAGAAATTAGACAAGCATCTACAACAATTAAGAGCTTGTGACACACTAAACACATGGAAATGCCATAGCTGACTTACATAAGAGATGTCAGGGATGTCGTTCTTATCCACTCCTACTTGCTGCAGAACAAATAACACAGTAATCATGTTGTGAATAGATGTTGTACACATATGTCTGACATTAACACATCTCTGCTGCCCGCCTCACCTCAGCGATTTTCATGAACTCTGCGATTTTGGTCACTCGGGTCAGAAATTTCTTGTAAATCTCCAGAGAGTCCTTGCACTCCGACTTCTTCATTTTGAAATATTTCTCTGAATGATAAAAAAAAAACATCACAGTTTTAAAAAAATGTTAAAAAAAAATCAATAAAATGTGGTTAATACATTGTTTATCACATGCCTAATAGATTGATGATGCCGTCATTGTAGGAGGCGAAGAGCTTGATCAGATCCTTAAAGAGAAGCATGAACGCTGCGTTTATAATGCCGTTGTTTAAGTCTTTAGGATGAACCTGTGTTTTAAAAAAAGAAAGACAAAATTTAAGTTCAACCTACTTAATTTATCAAGTCCTAATCTGGGCTTCTTAATTGCAGTTTAAAGTGTATGTGTATATATTAATGTGCCATTGTAATCTTTAATTAAAATGACGTCTGTTTACTAGTTTGAGGACTGGACTTAAACCTGTCAATCACATGGCATCAATCAATAGCGGACCAGTCATCTCCAGATGTGCTCAAACTATTTTATTTTATTGGTTAAGCAGATATTTCACTTGAATATGAGTCACAATAGAAAAGGAAAACATATTGCAACTATATTATATGCTGTCTTGATGTCTTCAAAGAAGATGTTACTCACGTCAAACTCCAGCAGTGTGTCCACTTGAGTCTGCAGTGCTGGCATGGCTTTCAAGAGCTTCTCAGTAGCCATAGTCCTCATCACACCTTCAGCTCTGAAAACACACACACATTTTATATCATATAGGTGACGTGGAGCTCATATAGGTATATTTTATATATTTTCACCCATATTTTATATCATATAGGTGATAGGATCTCTAGACTAATTTTTAACAGCAGATGGCGCTCTAGGCTTGTTTGGGACAGCAAATGGCGCTCTAGGCTAGTTTGTAACTGCAGATGGTGCTCTAGGCTAGTTTGTAAACACAGATGGCGCTCTAGGCTAATTTGTAACTGCAGATGGTGCTCTAGTCTAGTTTGTAAACACAGATGGCGCTCTAGGCTAGTTTGTAACTGCACAGGCTGTTTTAAGCTAGTTTGTAAAAGCAGATGGAGCTCTAGGCTAATTTTTAACAGCAGGTTGTGCTTTATTGTAGTTTCTAACAGCAAATGGTGCTCTAGGCTAGTTTGTAACCACAGATGGCACTCTAGGCTAGTTTGTAAACACAGATGGCGCTCCAGGCTAGTTTGTAACACTTTATGCTGTTTTAAGCTAGTCTGTAATGCCACATGGCACTCTAGGCTAGTTTGTAACAGCAGATGGTGCTTTAGGCTGGTTTGTTACAGCAGATGGTGCTCTAGGCTAGTTTTTACCATCAGATGGCACTCTAGGCTGGTTTGTAACATCAGATGGCACTCTAGGCTAGTTTGTTACAGGGGATGGCATTTTAGGCTAGTTTGTATCAGCATATGGTGCTTTTTTTCACTGGTTTGTTACAGCAGATAGTGCTCTAGGCTAGTTTTTACCATCAGATGGCACACTAGGCTGGTTTTAACAGCTGATGGCACTCTGCGCTAGTTTTTAATGCCAGATGACACTCTTTTTTTCACCACAGCTCCAGTAACGATAGGTAGTAAATGTCTCCTTCTGTTCCCAGAAGCGATTGACGTACCCCTTCTTAACTCGAGTAAAGTCGAAGGCCATGGCGCGGTAAGCATATGCCTTCTCATTCAGATATCGTGCATATCGTCTGATGAATGTAGACATGTCATAACCTTGAGGACAGAAACAAATAACCAACATTAGACAAACAACATTTTATTGAATGTTATGCAGCAAATTTTGTGGAATTACTTTATGCAGCACGCTACAAATTGAGTGGCAATGGGGTATTCACTCGGACTTTTAAATTCAGTCCGCCAGCCCCAGCGCTTCTGGTCATCCCATACAATATCGGCGCATTTAAGATCTTAAATCTTAGATCTTAGATCTTAAAAAACAGCAATCTTCACGGCCTGTCTGAGATACGATATAAAGTTGGTATCAAACCAAACAAGAAGCACTACATTAAATTAAATTGTTTCACGTCATGTCTTTAAAATATGAAAATTAATTTTACACCAGTATTTTTAATAGAATTTCTGTGCTAGCTGTTGTAAATGACGAGCCTGCATTTAAGGGGCTATGAAACCCCCTGTTTCAGCAGGGTGTTTTCACACCTCTAGTTTGGAAAAAGTGAGGAAAGTGGGTGTGTCTAGCTCTGTTTGGGTGGGAGTGTCGGGGAAGGAAAAAGGGAAAGCATTTGAATAAAAATGGGAGTTTCCATTTGGGCACGCGCTGATTTTCACAGAGGCAGACACGCAGGGGAGAAAGACAGTGACTGTGTTTAATGACGGTGGAATGTTTGATACCGCACGTCATAAAAGAGGAAAAAACCTCTGCATTTTTCGGTACCTCAGATGCACTCAATAGGTCAGAAAGCCATGTGTGTGTAGACAATCCTGTTCCAAAATGCGGCAAAAATTAAACACAACGGTCGGCAATAGTTTGCTTGCAGTGTTCACGTTTTCACCCGGAGAGCAGCATTTACAGCAGATCTTTCAGTCCATAATATTGTAGTGATATTAACGTAAACTAAGTAACTTAGAAATCATTTTGACTTAGGTCTGTCTTTAAACAATAAAAGAGTATTGCTGATGATACGAACTATAACTCTACCATCTGAATGAACAATGAAAGGGCACTAATCGCACACACTTACCAAATCTGTAGAGACAGGACAATCAACACATACTGGAGCTGCGTCTTTTTTTAAAGGAGACGAGCAACAAATCCGGATTTCATAATTTCCAGATGCGAAAAGCTCTCGAGTAAAAAATTTTCCTTACAAACGTAATTCTGTCGCGTGTCGCGAGCACTGATCCACACTTGAGTCCAGTTGTGCTCTCATAGCGGGAAAACAAAAACAAAACCTTCACTGCAGCAAATTATAAAAGCAACACTGACCACCCATATCTCCAAACAATTCTTATTCTTTTCCCACTTCTTTTGGCAACACAACGTGTCTTCTCTCTGCCGTCTGAACAATGTTTCAGGTACAGTCTTCAAAGCTAGCATGCATATTAATGAAGTTGCAGCACATACTTAATAGAGAGTGCTGATTGGTTTGAACCAAGCCATACTCATGAATCAATGCAGAATGCTCAGAGATGGCGAAAGGTACTCCCAGGTACTGACATCTAGTCTACATGCTGGAATACACGCTAAGATCTCATGGCTGTGATGCAGTTTAAAAAGATTTGTTTCAAACCGAAAAAACGAATTTGCTTGAATTTTTTTACTTTTTAGTGAAATATTTGTGTTCTAATAGTGTTTTTAGCAGTGTGCGACACATATACTACTCAAAAAATGTGTTTTGGTGTTTCGTGACTCTTTAAATGGTCGTTCGTCTCTTTTTACGCTTTAACAACCAAGTAAATGCTTAACTCCATTTAACTGAATGTATTTTAATTACATTACAACACCGATGCTGTAAAAGTTGAAATTGAAAATAGTCATATAAAGCTCATCATTGGCTGAAAAACACTAGCTCTGCATATGCCCCATTAATTGAAGTTTCTGTCTCTGTGTACATTCAGCTCACACACAAATGCACAGGAACTCACCATGGGTGCCTGTTTTATCAATAAAGTTGCTGAGATTGAACAGGGAAGTCCTCGATGCCAAATACTGGATGAATCTCTGCAGGGATTTAAAATGAAGAAATCTTAAAACATTTAAGAATTTATTGCAAGAACTTAAAACATTTAATAATTTATTGCAACATGTTATTGTTATACAAAAACTGTATTTTGATTAGTAACATTAACAAACATTAATAATATTGTAATAAATGTTTTGTTCAGTGGTTGTAATATACTAACATTAACTAATGGAAGCTTACATTTTCGTTAACACTTTACTTGAAGAGTTGTCCACAAGGCTGTCATGAAACCTTTATAATCATGTGAATGAGATTTTATGCATGCTTATAATAACTTTCATTAAGTGTCATTCACTCAACTGTGAGATTTTAAATGCAAAGATTACATTGTTTGTTATGACAAATTAACAAACAGATACATCACAACCAGTCTTTGTATTTGTCATGACAACTTGACATTCCCAAGACAGCAAAACATGTCATACATCTATCATAAACATTGACTGTGTAATGTGAAGTGTACGCTGGCAGGGAAGTGTGGATGGAAATGCAGGGTTTATTATGCAGAGAATGGTCCGGCCAGCAACATTCAACACAGGAGCAAACAGATGTATACGGGCAATCCAGGGTCATTGTCAATTCACAGGCGGATGGTCAATAGGCAGGTAGCATACAATGTAAAACAATCAAACAAACAAACAAGGCCAGGGTCAAAACTGGCAAGGCAAGGAAAACGCGTCGTAATGTTCTCAAAAGCATTATAACAAGACTCAGCAATGTGTGCGTTTAGGAGGTGTATAAATAGTCTGTGTAATTAGTCCTGAACAGCTTCAGCTGTTTGATTGTGTGTAATCAATGGAATGAGGAACTGGTGCGTGTGAGCGTTGCATGACTGGAATATGTAGTCCATGTAATGGCAGATTTGTAGTCCGTTGCGGTCTGTTGAATGCGTGATCACACTATTTACGCTTTTGCTTACGAATTTAACATCCACGAGCATTCTATGCTATTAAATAGTGCTGCAGGATGAAGTTTGCTTTCATTTTCAAATTCCTATAAAGCACCTACACCTTTTGCATTTTGCTTTGGATCTGCCTGCGATTTCAAGCTTGCTTTGTTATAAATGAAATATAGTTGTATATGTGTGTAAATTTGGAGCAGATCGGATACTATTGGCAGATCGACAGATCGAAAATTATGATGTTAAATTAGGCTGTTGGCTGCTGTTATATGCTCAATTAAAATATTTATTTAATCTATGAATAATTCAAAAATAAATAAAACACTAGTCATAATGGCAAAAGTAGCCAAGTTAGTTTATTGTCAAAAAATCAGACAATACATGTGGTCGTGGTTTTGTTTTGGCCCTGAACAAACTTAATTTCACCTCTGATTCTTTCTTCTTTTTATTTTAATGACTACAAAAATAATCAGAATTATACCAAATGAAATTCGTTTCCAAAAGAGGATTTTTAAATAAATTTATAGCCGAGGTTAAATGTTCAAAAACTAGGCCTGACTCACTCCTTTTCTTCCAACGTAGACAATGCGGTTCCCACACCCTTATTAAATTACATTAATAAACAAATTGCACAAAACAAACAGTGATATTTAAAAGTAAAATAAAGAGCTATTTAAAAGTACAGCTTAAAGAAAATTGCATTTACGAGAGAGAAAGAGAGAGAGAGTGAGAGATAGAGAGCAATATGATATGCTTTTAGGGACAGTCTGTCACGCTGCTTTTATTTATTATTTTAGTTATTATTTTTGTTATTGTATGAATTATTTAAGTTTAATATTTCATTTTCATATTTAATTGGTCATTAAATCTAATGAAAAATCTAGCTACTTTTGTTTATTGATCAGTTGGGGCATCAAAAAGTAAAGAAATGAACAACCCCAGATTATTTCGTTCTCTTGGTAAAGTATTCAAGTATCAAACATTTACATTAAGAAGATATTTAGACTATTCTATATAATTTTTTTAATCGATGTTTGGGCTCAATTAGGATGTTTTTCATGTTTTTTATTTGGTAATGAACTGCCACTCATCTTTCCATTAAACAGTCTGATAATAAACAGATTTTTTAACTTTATGTCTCTAAGATTGCAATGTAATTTTGTTAGTTATCTTAACCAGACAATTAAAATGTGCTGTAAAAAAGTGTATGTTGTTAACTACTTTATTTTAGCTGGAAATGATTTACTTTTGGTTTTGTTTAATTGGTGAACTGCACAGTGTTGCTACTGACGCAGTAGCATTGTGTAAAGCATGATATGATACAGCATATTTAGTCCTTGCGCTATTTTAAATGAATGTAAATGGAGTTGATTCCACAGTCGATTCCACCGACTCCAAAATTAGGAGTCGAGAATTGGAGTTGACTCCAAAAAGCTTAGAACTGAAAATCCCTATTATAAATATCTCATACATTTTTTAACAGCATCATTAATATTTTTTTTTACCTTAACTACAGTGGTGCAAGCTGAATTTGTCAATAAAATGTCATTAAATATGAATGACACTCTTATAAAATGAGTAATGACACTTTTAATAAGGCATTTTATTAACAAATAAAGCTTGTTTCTCTGAAAACGTGATCAAAAAAATAGTCATGACACAACTACAATGGCCTAATGACAATCATGTATATTGTCATCTTTGCACATAAAAGGACACTTAATAACAGTTGTCATAAGCATGCATAAAATAATGTCAGGTCATGATTATATCTTATCTTACACCCCTTCAAGTAAAGTGTTAGCAAATTTCAACACGATGACAATTTTAGATAAAAAGATATAAAGGAATAGAGTTTAAGCAGTAATCTCCCTCTGATTTACCTCATTGCCGTAGATGCAGATGTGGTGGGTCGTGGTTAGAGCTTTAAACACCACCACCCAGCTGGCATTGGTGGATCTCTCAAATAGTGTGTCAGCCATCTGAGGGATGTTCACGTTTGTCTCGTTGGTGGTCGAGATCAGATCTGCGCACAGAAACACACATGGATTTACCACCACAGCGCTATTCAGTGCTATGGGGAAGCGGGAGAGTTTTATGATTATTGAGGCAGCAGACAGTCAGAGAGTCTCAAGGGGAAAATTCATAACAGCAATTGCATTAGGAAGCAAGAAACAACCCTACGGAGACAAGCAACAAAATGACTGTGCATTTTTTGCACGCGCAATACAAAAACCTGGAATTCACGAGCAGTGAAATGACAGAAATGTTATGGTCAGAAAACTGTGGTCATTCGATATTTTAGTTTCCAGCAGAATCAATGCAAATCAAATGTGTCGTGAGAATGTGGTGTGCTTTGATTTGGTTTAAAATCAATTTCAGTGGAAATCTAATGTTTGGAAACACACTGAACATGGATTGAGAAAGTACTCGCACTTGATGGGTTTAATATAAAGCCTTTAGAAGAAAACAAACAAACTAATTTCTGGGTGAAATACATGTCAGCTTATAATGAGGTGAAAACATGTCCATTATAAGATTTTGAAAGGAAAGGTTTTCACTATTTTGACTAATTGCTCAGTTGTGATTTTTACTTCAACAAAGTGTAAAAATCTTGATGGTTCTGTGGGTCTCGTCTATCAAATCTGATCTTTATTTTGTATTTTCTATTGGATTCGACTCAGGTGATTGGCTGGGCCATTCTACAGCTTGATTTTCTTTCTCTGAAAGCATCTGAGAGTTTTCTTGGCTGTGTTTTGGAACACTGTCTTTCTGAAATGTCCACCCTAGTTTTATCTTCTAATGTAGATGTTGGACTGAAGCAGCTGATATTCCAACCCAGGCTCATTGTGGAAACGTAACCCCGCGGACGGATCTGGAGGCCGCGAAATACGTCCCGGGAGGTACGTATTTGTGCAGTTTTTGTTTTCGCGAAGGCCGCTGTGCTGCACTTTTTCACGTCTCGAACGTCTCTTGGGAGTGCACGCCGTTTGCGCCCGCGCTGTTCTCGTACAAAAAGCCACCGGAGGCCACTGTCGAGCGACCGTCTGTCCGACTGACTGAATGACTGAACGATCGACTGGTCGGCCGGCCAATCAGTTGACCTAGCCACCCTCCTCCCCCTCCTTCCTTAAACCCAAGCGATGATTTACAAAAGCCATCCAGAAAAGAAAGCAAAAGCCCTCTTCATCTCACCTGATTTCTGGGACTGCTCTTCTCCAGACTTGAACCCGGCCGTCGCCGCAGGTGGCTCCTCCTCCTCCGGGCCTCCGCTCCGCCGACGTTACACTACGAGCTAAGCGGACAAACTGGTTGCGGCGGGAAAGCCCTCCACACAGCCGGCGAGCACGAAGAAGAGGAGCGGCGTCACACCGCCCCGTAGCATTCGCTTGAATTCGCTCGAAAAAACAAAATGCGGCCAAAGTACCTCCGGCCAGGTAAATCGCGGTCTCCAGAAACATCCGCGGGGCTACATTTTCAGAATGAGCTTGGGTTGTGATATACATTTGCACTGAGGAAGAGCGGAGGGTTACTGAACAACTGAGAGATTTCAGCTGCAGTCTGGGCTTTCACTGCCTTTCTACACCTTCCTTTCTTCATGTGTTCATTACTTTTTCATTTCATTATTTATTTATTTTATTACACAACTTCATTTGTAAACTAATTAGGGTTTTTTTCCTTGCATATATGAATTTCTTTGGTTGTTATCAACATCTGGTGAACATTTCTAGACAACAGCACCTTTAGAAATATGTTTTCAGAGAAAAATAGTGACGTGTCGAATCCTTACTTTCCCCATTGTAAATCTTTACACCTTGGCAATATCATTTACACCACTATCAGCAACTGTTTTAACAATTATAAATTTACTACAATTTTGTAACTATATATATTTTTATCTATTTCAATAAGTAGAGGTCAGAATAAGTATATTATTTCAGTTACGCTAAACGATGGTTATTTTACACATAATTCTATTAGTTTTATTTTCACGGTTTATTTAAAAGTGCATTCATTCATTTTTCTCCACCTTAGTCCCTTTATTCATCAGGGGTCACCACAGTGGAATGAACCACTAACTTATCCAGCATATGTTTTATATTGGGAAACATCCATACACTCTCATTCACACACATACACTACAGCCTATTTAGTTTATTCAATTCACATATTCCGCATGTGTTTGGACTGTGGGGGAAACCGGAGCACTCCCTTGCCAACACAGGGAGAACATGCAAATTCCACATAGAAATTCCAACTGTCCCAGCTGAGACTTAAACCAGCGACCTTCTTGCTGTGAGGTGACATTGCTAACCACTGTGCCACGCATTATATTATTCATTTATTTTTTGATATGTTAAATCTTTACACTTGGCAGTATAATTTACACCATTGACATTTACTACGTTTACTACAATTTTGTATATATTTATTCTATTTTAATAAGTGTTAAGTTATTAATAAGCAATAAGTTATTTTAAGTATAATAAGATTTGTTTTATATTCACTAAGTTTATTTGAACCATTAGGCACATTGCATTTTATTATTTAAAATGTGGTCTGTGTATGCAAAATCACTTTTGGGCATTTCATTTACAAACCCAAGCAAAACTGTAATGCAAGTAATTTTTGCCAAGCTAAAATCAAGCATCAAAGACAAAAACAAATCTTAATAGTCCTAAAATGGTATACATTTTCTTTAAACAAGTTATTTTTACCACATAAATAGGAATGAAATGCTCAAAAGTAACGCTCATAATAGACTTTCCTGCAGAAGGTTGTCTTAAACACCATATAAAGTTGCCAATATGGTAGAAACTGCTAGAAAGCACACTGCAGTGGAGTTAAGAAGCCAAGAATAGTCCAGATTAGCACCCATTGAGCGCACAGTGTGTCACCACTAGTGCAATGTGTTGCTATGTAACATCTCGATATATTGAAGCGTATGACACAATATGTGTGTACATATGTAGGTTATGAATATGTGAGCAGGTGCAGCTTGTTGGGATTATGGAAATGCTCAATGCATGCTTCATGTGACCGGATTACAGACAGTGTAAATACAGACACACACATACACATGTCAGCACATGACTACAGTCTCAGCCAATCGGGCGCTTCGGTCTCTTTACTACATGATGCAGGATTGTATGATGTAATACAGAAAATGCATGTGTAAATATTTTAATAGACTCCAAACAATCAACACTTTTAAATTTCGATCGTTAATATTTAGCAGATTTAGGACAAGCTGGCACTGCAATCAAACTGTCTCACAGCTTTAATTCATAGCACATGCCATCTATCCTATCCGTCTCCCAAGTGAAGACCCTCTTGTGCAGAACGATACCATGTCATCATGATGTCACTCACTCCTCCCCCCGTCCCCATAATCTACTTCAGTTTCCATGACAACCACACCACCCCTCACGCCTTCCAATTCAACAGACAAATGACTGGAGTAAAAACTCGTACAACACACTTCATGCATGCTCTCTCAGCAGTCTCTAAAGACTTGAATATCGGTAATATTAAGGTACATGTTGGTTTATAAATATTTGCATTTTCTTTAAAGCATCAGTATGAATAAATAAATAAGTATCCAAATATTTGACAAGGGACACTATTGTGCATTTTAGGTACTAATGTGCACCTTCTTCATCTCCGGTGACAGCTTTATTATGCTTATTGCTAGTGTAAAAAGAAAAGCATGCTCTAAGTAAAGCGATAGGCAGGCCAACAGGTCTGTGCCCAGCTCAATTATGAATCTATGGATCTGGCGGGAAGCTAAAGTTGGCATCTTAAGCCCAAAGTGTGATTCCCTGGCCTTTAAATCCTCCGCGTGCATACCAGTGTCCTCACCTTTGGCTTTGTAAATAATACATGCATGCTTTGGCTGATCGATTTATAATTCAGAAGGCCTTCTCCTGCAGGACACAGAGCTCCAGGCGGCACGAAGATGCTTTTGTAGCCTGTGTTCTGTATAAATGCAGTTGATTTCCCTCTGTCTTCTCCGTTTGTGTGTGTCTTCCTCTCAATCTCTCAATTTCACACAAGCCACCCACATAAAGGCACTTCAGGGGGGTATGTTCTGCTGTCAATTTGCTTTAGTAGTAAATTCAGTGAACTGCACACTGCTGCTTAGCCTTTATTTGATGTGCTTTGTATAGGGTAGAATTGCGATTACAAAGCATGCATAATGCAGAGCGTTTCTGTGTTAAATGCACGGTAAACACCGCTTTATTGTAGCCTGTGTGGTGCTGAAGTGGACAGCGCCAGGGCGAGGAATGAATGAATGAACGAATGCATGCTGAAGGAGAGTCAGAAATATCAGACTTACACTCCAGGTGCTTCTTCTTGGGCGCCATCACCTCGTGCGTGGTGGCTTTGCAAACGGCACGAGCCACATCGGAGCCGGTGAGCTGGTACTGCGCCGCGGCTATGCGATCCGTCAGAGTCTGTCCCGACATTTTCTCCCGGTAGCGTCGACAACCACCTTAAGATTCAACTTCAGGGGGAAGGACAGCCCAAATGCATATGAAATTAGCCGACAGAAAAGCAGACGGAATCCAAGGTGGATCTCTTGAAACCGACAATGTCAATACTATCTCCTTTCGTCGTCCAACCAACGCGTGTTTAAAAGCGCGAGTTGAGTGTTTGTACTAGGGTAAAATGCGCTCGGTGTAGGCTTGTTTTGTACATGGGTTGGTTTCAGCACCCTGGATAATGCCACTATTACGTAACGCCCTACGCCGAGCTATTTTTTTTTTACTCTCGTGGGAAATAAATAATCAAATGAAGACGTAAAACTGTCAGCGTCGATTATGATATGTACAAAACACACATCTAATCGAAACGACGCGATGTTTTGCGTTTATTTTAATTGTTATTATGTTTTAATCAATTTAATCAAACGAACAAATAATGATCCGTTGATTTAAACCTGATCGGGATTCCGGTAATATTCGGTCGCAGCCCGTGTGTCCTTCCCGTCCGGTCGGATGATGATGTGGATGATGACGCGTCTCTTGCAGGCCTTTTTTTAACGGCGAGACTATAACACGACAGTATATTTTCACGTTTTAAACCTCCTATATAGTGTATATCTTGGATGTTTATTCGCTTATTTTGCTGGTAATGCAGGTTACGGTCCTGCCTTGTCGGTGGACCTGGTCAGGTGACGCATAACGGGCTCTTAAAGGGAAGCGGCGTCACACGGTCACGCGCCTTTAAGGGGTCTCTGCGCGTTCATCTGTCTGCATTCTGCTCCCTGAACGCAAAGGTAGATTCTCAGTCACGAGCGTTCATTTAGATGCTCGAGTAGTTTGTGTGGGAATATATTTTACTGGTTTCTCGTGTTTTAATGCTTTTATGTGTGCAGTGGTCAATATGTAAGATGTTTCTCTTTGAAATAATGGATGCGGAATATGCAATATGCTCTGCATTTCAAATATAATCTACACCTCTAGTTAATGACTGAACGTAAAGGCATCTGCTTTATCATTCGTCCACTAGATGGAGGCAGTGTGCGAATTATCCATTTATTTTAATATTTACTAATATAATGGATGTTCTCAGTGTTTTGAGGGCTATTTAGTGACTATTTTAGAGGTTACTGTAGGTCAAACTTTTCAAATCATGTGTCTAAATTTAGCTTTTTTTAGGCTACATGCAGATATAAACACCTGTGTTACACAAAAAACGTGTTTTATGAATTAAGTTTTATTATTTTTTAAGTTTAAAGTTTTTTTTTTAAATCAAGTTTTAGACTGTTGAATGGTATTTTTTATTATGCTTTCACATAAATGGTTTTAGAGGGATCAAATGTATATTTATGTTACGTTGTGTATGTTTATGTTATGATACATTTTTAATTATTAATATTTAAAATATGGATCAGAGATCGGAGAAAGCTATTTCTTACTAAAGAGACAATATAGTCGGTGAAAATCATAACAAAACAAAGACTTTTATTTTGCATAACTTTTAATATAGTTTAATTGTGTCAAAGTATGGCACTCTAATTTTTGACACAAGTGGAAATGTGTATCTGTTTTATTTTATTTTATTTTTGGTTTATTTTTTTTACTGGATTGTGACCTCTGCTGATTAATTTTTGCCATGTAATATTTATACAGAATATTTTAAAAGCAAAAAATGTCAAAAACAAAATAATAAATTTATATATATATATATATATATATATGTGTGTGTGTGTGTGTGTGTGTGTGTGTGTGTGTGTATGTATATGAAACAATAAAAAAATATTTAAGGTTTCCTGAAAAATACTTTGCATCGGAAACAACTACTGAACTAAACCACAAAATTATATATATATATATATATATGTATGTATATATGTATATATATTAATATTTGTGGTTTCAACTTCAAAGTATGTGTACAATGTGTATGTTTTAATATTTATTGGGTTGACTGGATTCTTACCTCTGCTGATGAACTTAAATGCAGAGTGTATTTTTTTAAAACAATATATAAGAAACAAAACAAAATATAAACATATGTGATTTATTGGATTAAGAACAATGCACATCTCGCCACTTTAAATAATGAAGCTGCAGTTTTGGCCCATATTTGCTTACTATTTTAGTACGTCTTTGTCATTTCAGTTCTAGAAAAGCTGCGTTCACATTTCAACCCCTTTCCTGACTTTCTGCTGACGCTGTTTCTTCAGAGGGTCGACTAGGGTCATGTGTCTCCTTATTTCTGTCCTTCAGCTCCTGAAATATCCTGCTACAGTGCTCGACGCTTTGCTTCAGCTCCCACAAGTCTCTCTGGACTCCGTCTAGGATGTCAAGTTTCGACAGTTTTCTGTCTATCGAAGCCAAATGACTCTGTTCACTCTCAGTGACTCCCAAACTTTCACTGCAGATTCTTGGATTCATAGTGCTGCATTGATTCTCCTGCCACACCATCTCAAAAAACGAGTCTATAAATGCCTCAAGCTCCTCTATGTTGCTGTCACCCCATTGGTTGATTAGTTTCTGCAGGCCTTCCGATTGGACGAAATCAATAAAAGCTTTCTCTTTTGCGGTTTGAGCTGTGTAAGGTGTATTCCAGTGCAAATATGAAAGTGACGGCACATACAGCCTTTCCTCTAGTGATTCGTTCCTAAATAGTTGTTGTGTGTTCATTGATTGTTGAGTTGGGGGGCTACTTTCTGGCACATTCCCCCATGGTTCATTTGTATGAAACCATTCAGATGCGTTGAGTATCACTACTAGTCTCGGACGAAGGTTTGACATCCTGTCAGGTAATCGGACACTTCTGCAGGCCAGCGATTGAGATTTATTTTGTGAGAGACTGATTGTATTTCTCACATCAGTGAATGTAGATGGGAGTGAATGTTCAGGGAGACCAATCATTTGAGGATGTCTTTGAATGTCTGGATCACCTGTGACCGTAAAAAAGAAAACTGTAAGATAGAAAAGTGTCATTTCAAGTCGTAAACTTTGTATGTATGTTTTGTGTATTTATATAGTGCATTTATCACGTATGGCCAAACACACAAAGTGCTTCACAATCATGAGGGGGGCCTCTCCACACCACCACCAGTGTGCAACATCCACTTGGATGATGCGATGGCAGCCACAGGGGACCGGCACCAGTGTGTTCAGCACACACCAGCTACTGGTGCAGTAGAGAGACCGTGATAGAGCCAATTTGATGGATGGGGATGATTAGGAGACCCTGATGGGTAAGAGAATTAGACCAGGATTGCACCCCTACTCTTCACAAAAAGTGCCATGGCATTTTTATGACCACAGGACCTTGGCTTAACATCTTATATGAAAGACAGCGTTCACTGACAGTATAGTGTCCCCTTCACCATACTGGGACATTAGGATTACTTTAGGAACTGATAGACAAATTTGAAACAACAACAACAAAAGAGTCAGAATTGTGAAGTGCAAACTATTAATTGAGCGATATGATTATAATTATGAGTTATGAAGTTATAAGTTGAATAAATTCTGGGGGAAAAAGACTGAATTGGGGGATATAAATGTGCTTATAATGTAGTTATAATAGTTTGAACTGACAGATTCAATTCCAAGAAATAAAGTCTGGACTATGATAAAAACGTGAAATTATGCTTGGAATTAAAAGAAAACGTGCAATTATAAATCATAAAGTGTACAATTCTGAGAAAAAGTGAATTGTGAGATATTAATATGCAAATTCTGCATTAAAAAGCTAATTACACAAACCAAATACAAATTATTCACAAATGAAATATAAAGTCTAAACTGAAATGAAAAGAAAACATAGCATTGTGGATTATAAAGTGTAAAATAAGAGTTTTTTTTTTATCTGATAAAGAAAGATTGTGACGTACACACTTGAAATTCTGAATATAGTTTAATAAATTAATGGTAAATAAATGTATTTATAAATTTTGAATTGAGAGATACTGTATGCAATCTGAATTGAAAAAGTCTGAATTACTGAATTTAAAAAACTGAAAAAAAATTTAAGATGCAATAAATGTTGGAACTGAGAGGTAATATTAGTATAAAGTCCAGACTGTGAGATATAAACTTGCAATTATACTTTGAATGAAAAGAAAACGTGCATCATAATGCATTATAATGTTTAATGTTCTGAGGAAAACAGTGAATTGTGAGATTTTAATATGCAATTTTGAGTTGTAAAAATCTGTATTAAAGGACAACTCAAAAACTAAATAAAAAGTGTCAACTCAAATTAAAGACACACCGCTGTGGAGTATAAAGGTTTTACCAATTCTGATAAAGAAAGATTATCATGTATAAACTTGCAATTCTGAACATAATTTGATATATTAATGGTAAAACAAATGTATTTATTGGCCCAAAGTTGCCCCATAATCTTTGATTTAACCCACCATGCCATCTGAAAAGAGAGGGAGAATAATGATGATGGTTTAGAGATTGTATGTAATCTTTTATTCGATTGTTTTATTGTTCAGACTGAAATTAAATGTTTTAATTTTAATGGTATAAATTAATCAAATTAGGTAATCAGACTAAGAGGACAATGCAGAGACTTGGTGAGGGAATCAAGGTAAAGGCAGACTGTTATACTGTAATGTTTTTCTTTTTAGCAATAATATGAAATAATTGAGGATATTATCCATGGCAACTTTAATGTAAAATAGTTAGATAGCTATATTTGTCTTCGGCCCACAGCTCTCGATGATATTTGGTTTTTGGCCCTTTATATGAAAGGTTTGGACACCCCTGCTCTATAGGTTCTGAGGAAAAAGTTTGAATTGTGAGATGCAATAAATGTTTGAATTGGAAGGTACAATTGCAATTACAAGAAATAAAGTAAACGTGCATAAAGAAACGTTATGATGCATTATAATGTTTAATATTCTAAAGAAAACAAACGTGAATTACTAAACATTAATATGCAAGTTTGAGTTAATTTGCAATAAAAAGACAAAAAATCTGAATTGATATTAAAAACATACCGTTGTGGATTATAAACTTACAATTCTTATAAGCAAACTCGAGATTATGATGTATAAACTTGCAATTGTGTAAATTCCAATCAAATAATGGTAAAAATTGCTCACCAAGATGGATGTTGGACTTTTTGAAAGTGCTGATTTGCACTTTGCCATCATGTGCCTTTCCAATGAATGGCAGTGCTTCATGTACTATAGGTCGTTCAATATTCCCTTGATTTGCATGGCTGTTGATCATCTGCTCCAGCACCGTCTCCTCTATCTTCAGCATCAGTTCTGTGACCTGACTGTCATTGTGCTTGATCTTGTTGTTGAACACCTGATATCTATTTCCACATTTCTGCACCAGCGCTTGCAGTGCATCTCCTTCACTTTCAATATACTGCTCCACACTAACACCCCCAAGCCAGTCTCCATTTGTGAACAGCACAAGCGCGCTGCTCCATGCATTCCCTCCCAATGCATGCAAATGTTTCTCAGCTGCTTTCAGCTTTTTTAACGTGAAGGAAGAGCTTGCATTGATAACCAGCAGGAGGATGCAGATTCCATTGGCTGAACCAGAAACCCAGTCAGTGTGAAGCTGCCTGCTGAACTCTGCAGGATCTGGACACTCAGTAGACCAGCCTGGAGTGTCTATGACCTCAACCTTTGTCTCGTTGAATATAACAGAACCTCTAAAGGGGTTTTGGCTGTCAGTCTCTTGTTCTCCATTACCCAAAATGCAGCTTGCAGAAGATGTCTTTCCAGAGTGTTTGGCGCCCAAGAGAATCACTCTTACTGCTGAGGGCAGTTCAATCTGCTCTGTTTAGAGAAATAAATAAGGCGCCAATCAACCAAAAATGTCTTCATGTCTGTTGTAAAATACTGTAATAAAATACTTCAAATAGTATCGTAATACAATAATAAATACAATACTTCTTTAAAAAATACAATACTTCTTCTTTTTAATTGTCATGTGACAAGAATGTGTGTTGTTCAATACAGTGGTGTAGTCCTTGCTATACGCACGTATACTCAGTATACTTACTTTTTTCCATGAGCTGTTAAGGTATTACCACTTCTGAGGATCAATAATTGAGTATACCCTCAGTATATTCACTTGTTTTTCTGATTAAACTTCCCTAATTTGCATGTATTTGCGTCCCCTTTAACTGTATACCAAACGGGTTTTTTTTTTTTAACTCATAACTTAATTTGTTAAGATGTGCCTATCTCTTACGATTCTTACCTTAAATATTTATATGACACATTTTTCTTTGTTTACCCCAAAAGGATCTGATCCTGATCCAACCTAAAATTAAAATCCTAAAATCGCCTCTGTAAAACAGTATTTCACATTTGTCTTAATTGTGCCGCTAGTGAACGACACTATACCGTATATAACACTAAAAACAATTAGGCAAAGACTACTCATAAATCGCATAACTGTGCGATTTAAAAGGGTAACTACTAGTATATAATAGCGACAACAGAAGACAGACTCCTAATAGTTTGGTTTAAAACAAAGCATGCACGAATGTGACAATTAAATATAATTGCTGATTGATGTGTAAAGGAACCTATAAAATGTAAAGTAATAAGCCAGTAAAGAAAGTAAGCTAAAAAGCTGTCTTTTCATGTATGCACAGGCCCTTTTGAGTTTACTTAAATACAGGTAACTGATGTAAAAAAAAAAAAAAAAAAAATATATATATATATATATATATATATATATATATATATATATATATATATATATATATATATATATATATATAATCTCCAATGAATCGAAGAAACATTGACTTTCGTCGTTTCTTTGCCTACTTTCATTTAAAATTTGTGTCGGGTGTAATAGTACACCACCTTTTTTTCTAGGACTACACCACCGGTTCAATAGTTTTTGGACAACTTTGATGAAAGATGTTAATTCACTTCTAATGTTGACTCCTGTATATTTTCAAACTAATCCATATGCAGTTTGATCAAAATAATTACAGATGTTGATCTGCAACAACAACAACAAATAATTCAGAATTGTGAGGTATAAAAATCTAAAATAAGTGAAGTTTATTAACTAATTTCGAGAGGATCATGTGCTTATGATTGCTTGCCGTCGGCCCCGCATTATTCAATTTATGATTCACCAATCAGACGATAATCACCCTAAGTTCCTTATCACAGCCATCTTTGTTTTAAAGATTCCCCCCTTCCACCCCTACTCCTCCTCCTTTCCTAGATGGGTGGCACTGTGGCCCAGTGGTTAGCACTGTTGTCTCACAGCAAGAACATCACTGGTTCTAGTCCTTACCAAGCCAGCTGGCGCTTCTGTGCTGAGTTTACACGCTCTCCCCGTGCTCAGTTTGCCCTTGTTCCCTCCCACCGTTCAAAAACATGCAACTTAAGTTAATTGACTAATCCAAATTGGCACCATAGACATGCTACTAGTACGTAGTTATCTCGTAAGAGCAATCACTATCTGTTCATTAGCCACTACAGCCGGGGAGTCCTTGAGATCTACCTGAGCTCAAACTCCCCTCTCGCCTTGCAAACAGGAGGGAGCCCCGAACTCAGGGCTCTCTCATGGGACAGCATGCCAAGCTTTATAATCAATCATCAGCTAAGTGTGAACTCTTGAAATATGCATAAATTATGAGATACTGCAAAATCTTTGCCCTTATTCAATAACTGTTGCGGGGGGATTAAAGTCGCTGGCGTGATCACCATGGGGAAGTCTAAGAGTAAAATGAGAAAATATGATACACCGGTGTTTTGGAATAGGGAAAAGCTCTCTTTACTCTGTTTTCATCTGCTTTTATATTATTTGTTTCTATTTTATTTACTTGTCTCTTTTTTATTCCAGCTTATGTAAAGCACTTTGAATTGCCACTGTGTATGAAATGTGCTACATAAATAAACTTGCCTACAGTAAATACACTGTAAAGAGCAATAGAATAAAATGAAGTGCAGTTAACTTATGAAAAGTTTGTTCACCCTAACAATATTTAAACAAGTAATCCCAACTGTTTAGCAAATTAAGTTGTTAAGCTAAATAGATTCAAGTAAGCTTGACTTACAATAATATGTGTTTACAATAAGTTGGCGGTTCATTCCGCTGTGGCGACCCCTGACTAATAAAGGCACTAAGCCAAAAAGAAACTGAATGAATGAACTTCTCAGTGGTCATTGTGCATTATTTAGACAATAAAATGTTTTGGTTTTTGTCTTTACTTAAATGTTTTAGTTCAACTTACTTGATAATTGTTAGGCAATCGGTTTCCTAACATTTTCCTAGTATTGTGAACACCTGACTTTAACACAACTAATTATTTTGAGTAAACGATACTGAAGTTTACTTTATTAAGAAGTCGTAAATGCAAACTGTTTTAAGTTATGCTCACTTAAAATGATTACACTACTTAGATATTTAAGTAAGGTCAACTTATTATTTTACAGTGTACATCAAGCTTGAATTGAGGATGCCTGAATGGTTTTCGTTTAAATTAAATCACACTTCATTTGGTAATCAGTACATATTTTTGTAGAAGATGACAGAAAATATTCTTGACTTACTCTTGAAATCCCTCAAGTTCTCTCTTCTCCTCCTCACATCTACTTGCCGCACATTCGCCCTTTCTTCCTCCACTCTCCGCTTTCTCTTAATCACCTCAAAAAGCCTCTCATCTGTTTCAAAGTGGCTCACAGCATTTCCGACTATCATCTCCTCTATCTTCTCCAGTAGCTCTGTGATCTGAAACACATTCCCCAGACACTTGTTGTTCAGCACATGATAGCGATTTCCACACTTCTCCACGAGCCACTGGAGGGGTTTTCCTTCGCTTTCAATGTAATTCTCTATGGTGGTTTCTCCGAGCCAGTCTCCAAAGCTGAACAGCACCATAGAGTGGCTCCAGATGTTCTTACTTATAAGCTCTACATGCTCTTCAATGGCTCTTCTGTAGGTCTCTGTGAATGATCTGTCCAGCCGCACCACTAGAAGAAAAGCGTGAGGGCCTGGCGGACACAAATACACACTCTTGGCTAGTTCCTCTTTGTCAAATGCTGAAGAATCCTCCATAAAGAAGTTCATCCACCAACCGGGTGTATCGACCACTGTGAGTTTTCTTCCTCCAGTGGTCAATGTTCTGCTCATGCATTGCGTGGTTCGCTTTTTGTCTATAAAGCATACATCTCTTCTCTCTGCCAGGATGCTGTTTCCTGTCGAGCTCTTCCCTGAGCCTTTTGCTCCAAGCAGGACGAGTCTTAAGCTTTTTTGAGGAGATGAGTGCCCTGAGAATAGGAAGAGAAAATAATTATTAAAGAGATAGTTCACCTAAAAATTGAAACACACTCACTATTTAATCACCCTCAAGTTGTTGTTGTTTTTTTTCTTGTTAAAGTCAAAAGATGTTTTGAAAAATGTTGGACTCCTTACTTTAATAAAAATACAATGGAAGTCAATGGTGTCCAAAACTCAAAATGTCTTGTTTTCTGTTCAACAGAGGAAAGAAACTCAACTATGATTGTGACAAGTGGAAAATGAGTAAATGAATATAGAATTTACAGTTTTGGGTCAACTATCCCTTTAATTTTCACAATAAAATGTCACAATTTTAGTACACCTCATGCTCTTAAGTGTTTGGACTCAATAATGACTTCAAACCACACTGAACTGAGCTAAACTGTACTGAACTTAAACATTAAAAACTGAACTACCCTGATCCAGTTACTATGACCATTTATGTGAAGCTGCTTTGACACAATCTACATTGTAAAAGCGCTATACAAATAAAACTGAATTGAATTGAATGTTCAAATGCTTGATATATATTCAGCCAATAAACTGGCTGCAATTCAGAGCATTTGCATATCATTTAGTATATACCCATTGCTTTTAAATAATGTAATTCTATTGCATCGCCTATTGCAGTGGTTCACAAAGGGGGGGTCAGGACCCTCAGAGGGGTCACGGGACAATAAAGGCGGGGTCACCTGGTGATTCCAAAAAATCTATTTATTTTGTATTAAACCATAAGAATTGCCATATTTTATCCATAACCTATTGAAGAGAAGTAGTTGTTTATAGTTGCTATATACTATATAGCTACTATAGTAGCTTAAAGTAACTAGTTCTTTTGGATTGACCCCTGGGGTAATTACATTATATTAAAGACACAGCAGTAGTGTCAGATGCAGAAGATTGATATTATAATACCAGGTTTCTGTATTTATAACCAGAGGATATTGAGGGTCGCGAGTCACTGGCATTGTCATTTTGGGGGTCGCGGGCTGAAAAGTTTGGGAACACCTGGTTTATTGTATTTGTTTTATGTGAAGTTTAATTTTAAACTAATTTCGAGAGGAGCAGGTGCTCATGATTGACCCAGCTGGTCCACATTAGCTAATTTTGATCCTCCAATCAAAGGATCCCAAGTCACTATATACATCCTCATTTCCTTTCTACAACTATCTGCGTCTGGAAGAAACTTCCCTCCTCCTCTTCTTCCACCTTCATCCAGAATGGGCGGCACAGTGGCCCAGTGACTAGCACTGTTGCCTCACAGCAAGTATATACCAATGGCTTCGGGTATTTCTGTGCGGAGTTTGCATGTTCTCCCCGTGTCCGCGTGGGTTTCCCCCGAGTTCCCCGGTTTCCTCCCACCATCCAAATATGCTCTATATTATAGATAAAATAAGCCTTAATCTTTTTTTTTTTTATGTCTTACTCTCAAGAAGTTCACCTTGGCCTCAGCAGCGGGGGAGTTTGAGCGTGACCTGAGCCTTGCCTTGTGAATGGAGGGAGCCCTGGGCCCAAGGATCCATTGAGCTCAGGGCTCTCTCCCAGGACAGCACGCCAAACAAGCTGTGTGATAAATCATGAGCTAAGTGTGAACTCTTGAATTATGTGTGCTTTTTCTGTTGTGTTGTTTGCTTGTAATGTGCACTGAGAAAGCAGCTTTTAAAGGGTGCAATACAATATGAATGTATTGTTATTAATTAGGTCAAAAAGGTCAAACTAAGCATCAGAACTGGTAAGATAGGCAATGTTTGTTACCAGATGGAGTGGTCTGAATATTTCTTAAGCTGCTGAGGACTTTTATTTACAGACATATTTATAGCTGGTGTGTCAAAGTTGAACCCTAAGATGGTCTTTGTACCCTAAATGTGTACAAACCTAAAGAAAATAGAAATCGATTTATTTTTTGATTATGATCATTTGGGGAAAAATCAGTAGAATTCAAGATTTAAAACAACATCATTGAATCTTTTTCTACTGTTAAAATTGTGATTTTTACCTGTGTCAATCGGAGGGTTAAATCAATGTTTGTACTTAATATTAATGGTCATGGTGTACTTATTGTATTAAGACCTTTGTATTCAAATGTTTACAGCCTTCATGAAAAATAGACAGTCATTTATTTCATGATAATCTTGGGGTCATTTTTGAAAGTCACTAAACTTCAAGATAAAAAAAATATATATAATTTCATTTTTTTTCTGCTGTTAAAATGGTCATTTTGGTCAATGGTCAACAGGAAGATTAAATTAACATTTGTACTTATTATTAATGGTCATTGTGTGCATATTTTACAACTCACCCTTCATATTAGACCTCCGATCGAGCATCTCCATCAGTCTCTGTTGAGCCCTGAGCTCCACTTCCCTCTTCCTGTCCTCTATTTCCTCTAAACTCTTCACTTCTATTTCAAAATGACGTCCTTCATGTTCTTCCACCAGTTTGTCAATTTTCTCCATTAGCTCCATTACTGTGGATGTTTCCTGGTCATCTAGAATGTGAAATCTCCCATTGCACTTCTCCAGGAGCCACTGCAGACGTTTACCTGATGCCCGAACATGATCTTCAAATGATCTATTCCCTACGTTTTTACCCTTTGTGAACACCACCATGGTGTGACTCCAAACTGTCTGTCCAAGGAGCTGGAGATGTTCTTCGACGGCTCTCTTTCGTTTTTCCATGAACTTCGAGTCGGTTTTCACTACCAGCAGAAAGACGTGTGGTCCTGGCCGACTCAGAGAGACGCTGTGCTTGATTTCTCTCTTGACCAGCTCTGGTGTGTCTTGTGCTGAAAAGTCACACCACCAGCCGGGAGTATCCACCACTGTCACAGTTCGGCCTTGATTTTTTGCTTTCCTCTTCAGGCATGTTGTTCTCTCATGCAGGATGAACTCTTCTTGGTTTAAGATGGCATTTCCCACTAGGCTCTTTCCAGAATTTCGACCTCCAAGGAGGATGATCCTCAAATCATGTTTGCCTTTAATTAAGAAGAAGGGTAAAGTGTTTTCACTTTTAGATCATACGAAATAATTATCTTGCTGCTTGTTCAAACTACTTATTTAAAATGAGCTGAAACAACACAATTCTTAAGACAACTTAATTGTTTACCCAATTCATCTATTGTGCAGGTGTTTGGACTGTGGGGGAAACCCGGGGAGAACATGCAAACTCCACATGGAAAGCCAACTGACCCTGTCGGAACTCGAACCAGTGACTTTCTTGCTGTGAGGCAACTGTGCTAACCATTGAGCCACCATGCTGCCCATATATAGTTTACATACAAGTCTTGGCTAGATTTCAAACAAGAATCAAGTCTATTTAACCTGTTCAGTCATTACTAATTCATTTTAACTCAGTATACTTTGCCACTTTCTTTCAAATAAAGTTTTTACTATTTGTCGGGAATTAATAGTTTTTACCATTTATCAGCAATTAATAGCTTTAGAATTTGCATGATTAATTATAATTTTGCATATTTTATTAAATACAGGTCTATGGAGCAAAATCAATGCCAAAAGTCTTGAATTAAAAAGCTTGTCGAATAACAAAAACTGAAAAAAATAATACACCGAATCAACAAGTTCTTGCATTTTAATGACTTGAATTCCAGGGTTTGTCTTTTTAGGTCCTGAAATTTAACACAGCTGTTTATTTAAGCTGTGAATATTTCAACTAAAAATATTTCAAACACGTTTTTATACTTATAAATTCAATAATTCATATTCAGTTCTCAGATTTCACATACAAAATATTTTCCTTGCCTTTTAAAAATACGATGTAAAATATTCAAAGGGAATGTTCAGTTCAGAAAGAGCCAGCTGCTCTTTCACCAGCAGGTGGAGATGGAATAATTTAAGGTTTTTAACCCAGTAAGCAGGTTTTAAAAAAGCTAATGAAGACACAAAAGTAGCATTTAATATTAATATCAATGCCTTGGACATTATAAGTAATAAAAGGAGTATGAGTAAAATCAGTAAATGATGTTTTGGTCATCTTTATATGCCTTATTTAACAGAAGCCAGCTGGTGATCGCGTAAACCTCACTTCTCTGATCCAACGACAGACGTTGTTCTGCAATCTTTAGCATCCTCACAGCATTTGTCTCCCATGCCGGTATCGCCGGCTCGCGCCCTGCTCGGACCGGTGCGGTTTCATCCACATAAACCGTCTTTTGATAAATAAGATGTTAAACATTCTCTATCTTTATTAACTTATTCTTCTATAGATGCAAGAACTTGTTAATTCGGTGTATTATTATTATTATTATTATTATTATTATTTTTCAGTTTGTGTTTTAATTCAAGACTTTTGGCATTGATTTTGTTCCATACTGGTCAGAGTAAGATTTTTACAGAAAGATATATGTTACACAAAATGATGGTGGAAGATTATTTCACCCATATTTTGGCTGTTAATTTTCACAAACGTTATTTGAATTGTTAAATTAGACATTTCAGTGTGTCTTATATGTTTATGAATATAAAATCACTATTGAATATTTTAATTATAGCAGACACTAAAATGAGACATCTCACATTTGACCCGCATGTACTGTTTCCATTATCCGCAGTCCAGATTAATAATTCAAGAAACAGACAAGACTGTGAGACAAAGTTAAAATATAACCTGAACGGAACATATGCAATTTTTTTTATTCATGACCCACAACTGCAACTGGCACTGATATATCACTGCTAAACATTACAAATACAAAATAGCTATAAATAATAAGGTTGAAGTTATAGCAGCAAATTAAATGACATTCAAATACAGTATTGCAGAAATATGCTGATAAATAGAAACAGAAATGGCGCAAATGACAAACACCACAGGGTATAAAGTCACAATTGGTACATTAGACAATATGTTTAACTAAAGAAATCAATTGAATATACCTACATATAACATATAAGTAATGTTAAACAATCCGATCCTTAGTTTATCTCTTCATCTTCTTTTCCACCTCATGACAGCAATCATTAATAAAAGAGAATATATGTGGGGACATATTGAGAGCAAAATTATTCGCCCTTCTATCATTTATTCTCTTTCAAATACTTCTCAAGTGAACGAAATTTCCACAGTATTTTCTATAATATTTTTTCTTCTGGAGAAAGTCTTATTTGTTTTATTTTGGCTAGAATAAAAGCAGTACTTTGCTTTTTAAAAACCTAATTTAAAAAAAAAACTAGTTAATAATTAATTAAATGTGCTGTCATCATAGCAAAGATAAAATAAATCAGTTATTAGAAATGAGTTAATAAATCTATTATGTTCAGAAATGTGTCAGAAATCTCTCCTTGAAACAGAACTTGAGGAGAAATAAAAAATAATTCAAATTTCATCACTCAATTTTGGACAATCAAAAGCTGAATAGCATACCTTGATTCTGAGAAGCTCCTCTGAAAGCCATAATAGGTGTTCGATCCCAATTCTCAACATGCAAACATCAGCATCAGCGCAGTCCTGTTATCATAATACATACTGTTTTTTTTTTCACAGCATTATTGTGGATGGGTTTTCAGTGGAAATGGACGACACTTCAGTGAATCATCGTTAGGTGTGTTTTGGATCGTCAGACTTTTTCCACAGGTCCAAAGTTTATATTGTAATAAACCAATCCCTCAAGTAAAATAGCAAAACACCACTCCCTCATACATAACACAGCTATATAATGTTGAGCTTAAGCCTGGTTTCTGTTCAGTCAGAGAGTTTTGAACATTGAATTTTGCCATTTAAAATACCAAAAATGGAAATTTTTAATGTCTATTGATTATTACAATTGGGATATCAACACATCATGAATAAACAAATTGTACTTTCATCATTGTTGGATTATTTCTATTACACAAAGGGAGATTGAAGGGCAATGTCTATAACAAGTTAAATCCAACTAGCAATCAGCAAACCCTGAGTGCTCTTCTCAAGCGAGTGACGAAATACAAACAGAAACACACAGATAACCTCAGAGATAACTTTGATCATGCTCTCTTTATAGATCCATCAGCTGAAGGAAAAAAACAAATCCCAAGTGAAGACGACTGGAGAGATTCATTCAAAGAGCTTTCAAAGGAAGAAATGTGAGGGGCATACAGCGAGGAAAGCAAGAAAAGTTCATGGTAATTTAAAAAAGGGCATGAATTTGAGAAGTGGAAGTGGAATGAAGCAGGTGAGGTTTTTAATATTTTCCATTAATCTACATGCATACAAACTGAGAGTTGTGATCTTATCTAAAATATTGCCTGTGCTTGAAAGGTTATGTCTACATGAATCATGATGCCGGTAAAGGAATGACATGCTCAGTATAGGGAGCATGTGATTGGACAATAATCTGTAGTGCAGGATGAGTCATCAGTGTTATTCATTTCTGTAAGCTGAGGCCATAAGCTTACTCATTTTAATGTTATACGACCATTTGTTAACTGCATAAATATACCAGAGTAGTCGGTGGTTCATTCTGCTGTGGCGAAGGCTGATAAATCGGAGACTGAGCTGAAGGAAAATTAACGAGTGACCTTTTCTTATTTCGGGTGATATAAATACTGCTTTAAACATTGTCCTGATATTCATAAAACATATACCAGTTTAGTTGGTGGTTCATTCTGCTGTGGCGAAGGCTGATACATCAGAGACTAAGCCAAAGGAAAATTAATGAGTGACCTTTTCTTATTTCTGATGATATAAATATTGCTTTGAACATTGTGCAGATATTCATAAAAACATATGTCAGAGTAGTTGTTGGTTCATTCCGCTGTGGCAAATGCTAATAAATGGGAAACTAAGTCGAAGGAAAATGAATGAGTGACCTTTTCTTATTTCTGGTGATATAAATATTGCTTTAAACATTGTCTGGATATTCATAAAACATGTGCCCGAGTAGTTGATGGTTCATTCTGCTGTGGGGACCGCTGATATATCAAAGACTAAGCCAAAGAAAAATGAATGAGTGGCTTTTTCTTATTGATATAAATATTGCTTTAAAGATTGTTCGGATATTTATAAAACATATGCCAGAGTAGTTGATGGTTCATTCCACTGTGGCAAAAGCTAATAAGTGGGAGACTAAGCCGAAGGAAAATTAATGAGTGACCTTTTCTCATTTCTGGCGGTACAAATACTGCTTTAAACATTGTTCGCATATTCATAAAACATATGCCAGAGTAGTTGATGGTTCATTCCACTGTGGCAAATGCTAATCGTATAAATAAATGCTAAATATAGGCTACCATTTTATTTCAATCGCATTTGATGAAATGTAATGGTTGAATTCAATTGCACGTGAATGTACAGCTATATCTGTTTGTTTCTAGCATTTTGACCAGCTGTATACAGTCCAAAGTTCTTGTTATCATTCATTACATAATTTCAAATCGTGTCACGCGCTTTCCCGCTCTACCTCGCGCTTGCAGCAGCAGACCGGAAACTGTCATCGCCCAGCTTCCCCCTGGTGACTGTCACTTCCGTACGATCCTATTAAGCAACACGCCGCTGCGCGACACTCTCACGTACACAGACCCACACACTAAAGTCCAAACCACGTTTAAAAACCGGAGCTATCACACCGAAATGCATATCAAAACAGGTAAGGGTTGTCTTTAACATACGGGTGAGTTATTTTGGAGGTTTAATGGCGGAAGTGTTTTGTACTGTGAAATTGTTTTGCGTCTGAGCGGGACGGATTGTGCTCGAGACTTACGAAACTTTTAATTCTGGGTGTTTCTGGATCTTTCCGATGTCACTGTCACCTTCAGTTGGTTTCGTGTATGTTTTCAATAATCTGAAATCGTTGATATGTGCTCTTATTTTATCTGACGCCTCGGGTTTGCTCTGTTGGCCGGTGTAAAGGCGGTTGTTATGGGCGCTTAACTCCCAAACACAAGCGGCCTGCTGTTAGCGTTAGCATCTTAACACGTAAAAATCGTTTTAAAATGTTGTAAATTACATGTCGACTCTTTTTAACACCCTCACGGTGGTTTAGATTTCAAAGCTAGCTTTTTATGTCAATTCCAATATATTGAAGTGTGTGTCAAAATATCCTCGTTTGTCTGGTAACGTTAGCGGTGAAAACTGCGTGAATCCTGATCAGCAGTGTGATGCGTTATTAATAAATGTTTATGTGAAGACATATTTTCCAGATATGTCCTAGTTTTTCCTCATCAGGCCTCTGAGTCTGCAGCTGTGAATGAGACTCCGACTAGAAATTTCCAGTTGCGTCTTGCCATGGTTCATTGACTCAGGCTTAGCTCGGGGCATGTGCATGAACGTCTTCCTCGTGTCAATTATTTAACTGATGTAAAGATGATTTTATAGTCGCATATTCGGACTCTCTCCTTATTTATATACTTTCAGAAAACAGGGTTCGTACGGGTGCTAGAAATCCTGGAAAATGCTTGATTTTTAATAGTGTTTTCAAGGTTAGGGAAGTGCTTGGATTTATAGAGGTAAAGTTGGTTTTATATACGCACATTCATATTTTACCATAATCATATAGTTTCATAGAAGTATTATTTGCAAAATCTAAATAGCGAAATCATATTAGCAGCAAAAGACCATCAAAGTACAACATTGTTCACAGTCAAATAAACGGTGTAAATGTTGTTTTCAATTCATACTTGTTTGCTAATGCAGATCGAATATTCAAAGTAACATGGTAAACAATATAGAGACTTCTAAATGAATGAATGTGTGAATATAAAACCAACTTTACCTCTATCTTGGATTTTTGGACCAGGTGCTTGAACCTGCTTGAATTTGAAATTGTCGGGCTCGAAGTTGCGACTCTTTTGGTCGCATATGCACCCGAAATTTTATCAATACGAGCTCAAAATATATTTGAGAGCATTTGTGCAAGTGCATAAAATTGTTGTTTTACCAATTTTCACTGCAAAATGTTCACAGCATGCGCATATGTAGCAGATATTCACACAGAATGCATATTTGCTCCTAAAAACGCCAAACAAAGTGCTCAGGAATGGTTTGAAGCGGACACGTTAACCTGCTACAATATCCCCAAAAAATCTGACTGTAAGCTCATTTTTGAGATATCAACTTTAGGTAGAAAGAAACCAAACTTAAGATATTTCATCCAATAACCGTTTTTTTTTTACCATTTTTTTGTTTGAAATATCCCAACAAATCTATGCTCTAAAGTATTCAACAATTTAAATTGAAATGTCATGTTGTTGTTGTTTATTTAAATAGCACAATCGGATTAAATGTGTAAAAGTACATACAGCATATATAAATGTAATTTACCGTGCGTGGTTGTTAGGTTCTGAAAGAGCATAAATTGCACCTTGAAAGTGTTTGGAAAAGTACTGTAATTTAAGTTGGAAAAGGTATAAGAACTTTGAGAAAAGTATTCATTGCAAATTCTAAATTGTGAAATCATATTAGCAGCCAATAACCATCATTGTTCACAGTTAGTTAAATAGTGTTAATTTTTTTTAAAAGTCATACTTGCATGTGATTTCAGTCCGAATATTCAAAGAACCATGGTAAACACTTTATGGAGCTGTCACTAAATGAATGTGCGGATATAAATCTGTCTTTACTTCAATAATTATTTGTGCATTATTATATACCATTTTGCGTTTTTAAAATGAGTATGCTTAGGGGTGTTGATGTTGTTGGGAATGTTAAAGGGGTAGTTTATTCAAAAGTAAAAATTTACTGTGTGTTTACAGTGCAGTTTACTTAAGTGTTTCTTTACGTTTGAGTTTCTGTGTTGTGTTGAATTGTAAAGAGAGTTGGAAACCTGTAACCAGTGACTTCTATTGTAGGAAAAATAAATGCTGTGGAGTAGGCATGAGACGATAAATGTTTTTAGGGCATAACGCGGTTTGGAAAAGTCAAGGTTTTTAAAACCATCAATTTTTTTGCTATAATGTTTCTAGGTGTATTTATAATATATTTTTAGTTTTTTAAATAGTTTATTTTAGGACAGCAGTATCTGCAGCAAAAAAGATTGTTTAACTGTTCCAAAATGTTTCTCAAATAAAATATATTGTGTTCAAAGTGGATACAAGTTCTTGTTTTTTACCCAGACATTTAAAATATATATTTTAGAGCAGTAATTGCAAAACCGTCAAACTGTGATATTTTTATCCAAGGTTATCATCTTACTGTTAGAATCTTATGCCAGCCCATGACTATTGTGGAAATCAGTGTTTACAGGTTTCCAGCTTTTTTAAAAAAAGAAAGAAAATCAAAAAGATTTAAGTCAACGAAGGGTGAGTAAATGACAAAATGTTTTGGCTGAACTATCCCTTTGTTGTTAGATTTGAATGTTAAACTGTACACTGTAAACTGATTTCAGTACAATTTAAAGGGGCATCTTTAGATTTTTTTTTTCTGCTGGCTGTCCTAAAAATATATATATATTAATAAAAAATCTTACACATACCTTAGGAAGAGTATTACAGAAAACATTGGCAGTTCTAAAACCTTGACTTTTCCAAACCACCGTATACCTTGAAAACGGTTATCATCCCATGCCTAAAGAGCAGCGACACATAATTTAATCTCTTACCCAAAGAGCACCGACAAATTATTTAATTTCTTACCCAAAGAGGAACAACACATTATT